ACTTGGGCCTTCTTCTTCCAGGCTCATTGGCAGGGAGCTGGCATTGGAGTGAAGCTGGAACCTGAACCCACCAACTTTTACACTGGATGTGGGTGTCTTGACTGAAAGTCAAAAGGACCACAAATATTAGCACAGTTTTGATGGGATATATTTGCTGGTTACTTTATTTTTTTAAAAGATTTATTTTATTTTATTTTATTTGTGTTAACAAGAGAGAGACAGAGATATAGAGACAGAGAGAGATTGATATTCCATCCACTGGTTTAGTCCCCAAATGGATGCATTAGCTTGAACTGGGCCACAGACTGAAGTGACGAGTTTCTTCCTGGTCTCCCACATGGGTGCAGGGGCCCAAGGACTTGGGCCATCTTCCACTGCTTTCCCAGGCACATTAGCAAGGAGCTGGATTTGGAAGGGGAGCTGAGACAAGAACCGGTGCTTATATGGGATGCTGGTGCTGCAAGTGGTGGCTTAACCTGCTGTGTCACAGCATTGGCCCCTGCTGCTTTACTCTTGAACTAAACGTTATACAATCTCTAAGTTTTAAACATGCAACCCCCAACTTGGAAAATCTTGATTTACAAATGTCTTTATTTGATTAGAGTGACTATTAAAGGAATCCCCTCTCCTGTTTTAATTAAATGTGTTTTTAATTTGGGCATGAGATGTCTTTTGTTGATAATAATAAAAGAGGGACAATACTTTCAGCCTTTGTTGAAAGTGGGTGCCTGGGGCTGCTGCTGTGGCATAGTGGGTAAAAGCCGTCTCCTGCAGTGCTGGCATCCCATATGGGTGCTGGTTTGAATCCTGGCTGCTCCACTTCTGATCCAGCTCTCTGCTTTGGCCTGGGAACGCAGTAGAAGATGGCCCAAGTCTTTGTGCCCCTACACCCTCATGGAAGACCGGGAAGAAGCTCCTGACTCCTGGCTTTGGATTGGCATAGCTCTGGCCATTGTGGCCATCTGGGGAGTGCACCAGCAGATGGAAGACCTCTCTCTCCCTCTCTCTTTCTCTCTCTCTCTCTCTGCTTCTCTAACTCTCCCTTTCAAATAAATAAATAAATCTTTAAAAAAAGAAGTGATTGCCAGCCAGCCACCAGGCCATGTTTGGGTCTGCAGGGTTTAGCTCACGCTCACCACAGTGCTCTAACAAGGACAAGTTTTAGACGAGAAAACCAGGAAAGTAACTTGCCCAAGTGCCCTAGCCATAGTTTACAGAGGTGGACTTTCTGTGGCGTTTCTCACGTCTCTGGCGCTCCCTCACTTCGGGCTCTGGCACCTTGCTTGCAGATCACTTTCCCTTGAGAACTTCCATTGTGCAGCAACTTCTGTTTTTGCTTTCACTTTCTCACGACGTGAAGAAAGAGAAACTGACACCCCAGGCAGGGTCTTTGTAAGAGGAAAGCCAGGATCCGCTCCTTAAACAGCTGTCTTTGGTTCAGAATGCCCCTTGTGCGCCACAGACTGTGGCGTCGGCATCTTTGTGTTGAGCAGCTGTGCTGGTGGTGCTGTAGCTTGTTCCTGGATGTGTTGCTACAGTGCTTAATTACTGAAGATGCGTGCCTCCTGCTAATTGTCTTCCCATTCGCAGGAGAGCTGTGCTGCAGTATGACCTGGGAAACATAGGCATGGAAAGCTACCTCTAACCCTAGTGGCCCTCAGCGACAGGGACCACTCACAACTGCCAGTCAGCAGCTAAGGAAACTCAGACACTCCACAAAGGCACCCTCACAGGTCCTCCCGGGGCCCCTGAGGACCGGCTGAGAGACGACTTGCTGGTGTATTTTAAATGTTCTCAGGGCCAAGTAGGTTTGTGGGTGGTGTGCAGTGTGGGAACTGAGGTGATGGTTGTACCGGGAAATGCAGTGCTATGGGGGCCTCATATTTATTTAGGGCCTTTGGAAGTTGAGCATGTGGAATGTTAGGGAAGAAAATCTCCCAATTTCCAAAATTTGGACCCGGTTCAAACATGTGAAAAAGTCTGAGGACCAAACTGCATCCCAGTCAGAATCAGCTTCTAAGAGTCCAGTTTGTGACACATTGGTTTAAGAGGTGTTGATAAATGGAGCGCTTGGTGCTTGACTAAGTGGAATCCAGGAACGATTTATTTTATTTTGGGAAATGTGAACATAACTCATAAAAGAAGTCACATATTTATCATTATTGGAGGTGCTTGTTCTTTTTGCAAAAATGGGAACCTTAGCATCAGGCACTGAGTCCTCTGTAGGTGGCAGCCAGCCGTTTGCCATGATGGTGATGTTTCCTGCCAGGGCCTGTAGGGTTTGGTGTGTGCACTTGTCTGTCTCTAGAAACCTGCTTCCCAGAGCCTCCATCCAGTGGCATGAAATCACAGCTGTTTCATACATTGATCAGTGGCATACCTTGGAGCAGTGGATTGAGATCTTTCCTCTGTAGATCCTACTTTTCAACCAAAGGAAGAGAAATGTGGTGAGCATTATCGGATTAAAGGATATGTTATTCATTATAGAAGTTGGTCTTCCCTCAACCAAAAGAGGAGCTGAGAGGGAGAGAATTCAAGCAAGTTCCTCCTGGAGTCTAGTGTAGGGGTAGACACTGGAGCTCAGGAGGCTGCTGCAGGGGGACCACAGTGCAGGGAGGGGGTGCCTGAGAGGTTCCTAGGACCCATTGTATCTGTGTCTGCATGGTTCCCAGTTCTGCACACTGGCCTGTGTGCTGGAGTCACTGCATTCGTTGGGAAGATGTGGGAGTGAGAGCAGAAGGACTCAAGGAGAAGCAGGGACCCACCAGGCACTTCTCTGCGTTATCTTGCACCTTCCACTGTCCAGACCTTGCACAAGGTCTTTGTATGGGCAACTCTAACCTGGGTCCGTGTCTAGGTGGGGAGTGGGGAGGATCTGCTCCGTGGGAGTTCCCCCTGAACCAAGTGGACAGTGCACTTCTGCATCATTGTGAACAAGGAAGCCTACACCCTTAGAACCACGCTACTGAGGACTGCTGGGTTCTCTCCTTCTTTTCCCACCAGGACACATAGTGCTGAAATAAGAGGATTTGGGACTCCTGCCTTGGTCAGAGATCTTTTTTGTTTGTGATCCTTGCAGCATTTTGTCAGCCATTTATGTACTCTTATTAAGATTAATGATATAATGTGATTTTTCTCACTGGAAAATTTGGTCTAGTGAGTTGAAGGAGAGTGGGATACTTGGGACCATTATACAGAAAAGCAGAAAAGGAAAAAGAAACTTTTGAGGTTTCTGAATTCTATTTGCCTGGGGCTCAACACACATAAATCCTTTACCTTGTAATTTTATCTGCTTGCATATCTGATGACCCATCTATTCATCTATCAGTCATATATTGTATATGTATACCTTTTGTATATCCACATGATTATTTGAATTTACAATGTATTTAATCTATAGCATCTAATCATTATCATGCTATATACACATCACAAACTTTCTAGTTGGAAATTGGTGTTTTTTGGATCATCTTAAGTTAAAAACATTTTGTATCAGATAGATTAGTAATCCTCTCTTGAAAGAAATTTTAGGCCTAGAAATTCTCAGTTTTGAAAGTATGAAGTATGCTTTCTGACACAAAATAAAGCCCAAACAGTCTTAGATGTTGTCTTTTCAAAATCAACCATTTAGTGAAGTAATTGGTTTCTCTCCATGTAAGGAGAAACTAGGATAGATAAGAGCTCTTGCTGCTTAATTTGTCTACCATTATCTCACCACCGTGTTATCAGAGAGTTAAGTCTTTACAGAGACGAGAAACATATTTGTAAGCTTATGGTGGGGTTGGTGATTTTTGCCAAAGTATGAGCCTAAAAAGTGATGCTTCAACATTTATTCAAATACTGGCTACTTCTACTTCTGGAATGGTAGATAGTATGGCTGCTGAACAAGATAAGGCAAATCACTTTCAAACCCAAGAGCATTAATTTGGAAATCCTAGACCATAGAAACCAGGTTTTTCCTTCCTTATTTTGTAATACTAAACTCTTACCACCTACTCCCAATTTGGTAGACCCATGTTATCATAAGTTTTCCTTGCCATAAAAATGACTAAGATGTTTTGGGTAGAGTAGCAGTTTGCTAAGGTACAGATCATTTTAGATTTTTAAAAAGCAAACATTTATTGAACTCCTCAATATGATAAGCACTCATGTGGGTGCTGGATAATCCCAGGTGCTCAGAGGTGGAGATTGAGTTTTCAAGACCCTTAGGATACTGGTCCATGACCCAGATGCAGAACGGGAGTTCGGTGTTCATGAATTCAACCATTCACATTCGTTCACTCATTACATAGTTTTTGAGCACTTGTTATATATCTTGGGCATTGTCTGGATGCTGAGGGTATAGTTGAGAGCAAAAAGGCAGTTCTGTTGGAGCTTATAGTAAAGTGGGGAATAGGTAATAATCAAATGATTATACAGATAAACCTGATAATTACTGTGGTATGTGTTCTAAGGGAGTGCGAATTGGGAACCTAGTCCTGGGGGTTAGGAAAGGCTTCCTAGCGCAGGCTGGGATTCAAGGTAGTCATGGACTGGGAGGAGAGCTGTCCCGTGCTCCTCTTCAGCACTGAGCTTCCCTGCAGCCATCCAGGCTCTGTAATCAGCAGGAAAAACAAGCTTGAAGGGGTGTTGCTCTGCATCCCAGGCCTGGTTTTGGGAGACCAGTGGCGCCTCCACGGCGGTTGGATAATAGAGCATGGCTGGGGCCGGCGCCGCGGCTCACTAGGCTAATCCTCCGCCTGCGGCGCCGGCACACCGGGTTCTAGTCCCGGTTGCCCCTCTTCCAGGCCAGCTCTCTGCTGTGGCCAGGGAGTGCAGTGGAGGATGGCCCAAGTGCTTGGGCCCTGCACCCCATGGGAGACCAGGAGAAGCACCTGGCTCCTGCCATTGGATCAGTGCGTTGCGCCGGCTGCAGTGTACCGGCCGCGGCGGCCATTGGAGGGTGAACCAACAGCAAAGGAAGACCTTTTTTTTTTTTTTTCCCGGTCCCCTTTGCCTGTCAAAAAAAAAAAAAAAAAAAAAAAAAAAAAAAAAAAAAGCACGGCTGGCTCTTCCTCTGCGAAGCTGCCCTCCCTGGGCTGACTGTGTCTTCTGTGCTCCCAAACTCTGGCTGCCAAGCCCACCAGGCACCAGCGCAGGCTGCAAGCTCACTAGCTCCCCCATGCAGGCTCGCACTCTAGAAGGGCTTGCCTGCAGTCCTCCCTGGCTGTGGGTTCTTCCGATACTTCCGTGTCTAGTCCCCACCCCTGGCATCTCTGGGATGCTTTCTGTCTCCCTGGGCCAGACTGCCTCGAGCAGGGACCCTTCATGCTTCTGTACAGCTGGTCCCCCGGGCTCAAATGGCACAACCCGTATCTTCTTCACTTAGGGCCAATGACCTCTCTTTCTGGCCAACGTTGCCCACACGTGTGAAAGGACAAGGGACAGATTTAGGGGACTGATAGATGGGGAGGTGCCGCTAGCAAACGGGTATGCAGGAGTCTCTATCAGTCTTCCTGGAAACCAGCTGGTTTCACGGAGTCCTTTCGTTTCCTCCTTTCTGATGAATGAATAACCCAGTGATTCACACTGAACTGCTAGTTAGAGTTTGCAACATGTTCTCACTCGTTCTGTCCTATTAGATCTTGCGAAATGGGTTGTATTTGGTGTGGTTTTAGGCAAAAAAAAAGCCAATTCTTACTATATTTTCACTTATTTTTGGTGATTTTCTTTTATTTCTTGTTTTTCCCCAAAGAAGCATGGTTTAAAAATGGTTTGATAAGCACCACATCTGACCGTCTTATGTTCAGCATATGATTTTAAAGTGGTAGAGGGGGCATATGAGGCATAGTCAGTATACAGGAGTTCGGCAAAAATAATGGGATTTTGGCCGGCGCTGCGGCTCAATAGGCTAATCCTCCGCCTTGCGGCGCGGGCACACAGGGTTCTAGTCCTGGTTGGGGCACCGGATTCTGTCCCAGTTGCTCCTCTTCCAGGCCAGCTCTCTGCTGTGGCCCGGGAAGGCAGTGGAGGATGGCCCAAGTGCTTGGGCCCTGCACCCCATGGGAGACCAGGAGAAGCACCTGGCTCCTGCCTTTGGATCAGTGCGTTGCGCTGGCCACAGTGTGCCAGCCGTGGCAGCCATTGGAGGGTGAACCAATGGCAAAGGAAGACCTCTCTCTCTCTCTCTCTCTCTCACTGTCCACTCTGCCTATCAAAAAAAAAAAAAAGGGATTTTTAAAGTCAAAATGAGGCTTAGTCATTTTTCATAATGGATCTGACTATTAATAGTGAGCACATCCCATATTCATTGAGCACTCACCATATATTAGATGTAGGGTTATGATTTTGTGTAGATAGTCATTTTCATTTAGTCTTTATTCCAGCCTTGTGAAGGAAGTTCTATTATATTGATTTTATCCAAAGGAAAAGTAAAATTAGCTTAAATTATTATGAAAGGAAGGTTCCAAATGATGAGATAGGCCATCTGTCCTGGAAGAACACCCTCCCATGTTTTCAACAAGAGAGCAAGGTTTTCTTTCTCATCTGAATTTCTTTATGCTGGCAAAAGGGCTCAAAATTTAATACAATTTTATGATTTGGCAAATTTTGCTTTGCACAGAGATGAATTTCAAAGAGAATGGTGCCTTATCCACAAATATTCTTAGCTGTACTTGTAAATGGCCTCACAGTGGAAATAACACAAATGTCTATTCACACATGAATGCATGCATAGACTGTGGCGTATCCATATGATGGAATAATTATTACTCAGCAATAAAAGGGAATGAACTGTTGATATACTCTGACATGGATGAATCTTAAAACATGTGAAGAAAGTCAGAGCAAAAGAGTATATACATATATGCATATATATGCATATACCTGCTATATGATACCATTTAGATAAGATTCGAGAAGGTGCAAATGACTTTACAGTAGCAGAAGGCAGATTAGTGGTTGCTTGGTGTCACCTGGGGGTATTGTGGTGGTAGTAAGGATAGGACCATGAAGAAACTGAAAGGTGATGGGTATTTAATTAACTTAATTTTGGAGATATTTGTGTGAGTGGGTAGGTGTGTTAACATCATTAAAATGTACAGGTTAACTATGTGCAGTTTATTGCATGTCAATTATAGCTCTGTAATACTGTTGAAATATCAGTGCAATAAGGGAAAGCAAAGAGAGTATCATGATTATGCATGGGGGTAATAAAAGAGACATTTGTTCAGTGGTAGACTCAATCTTGGAGTGGCCTTTGAACCACAGAGGGGTTGTTTTCTGGTCAATCCATCAGCAGATATTGGTTGGACCCTCTGCCAGGCACTTTGGTAAGATTGGACATGTGAGTAAGACAGCACACCCCTCTCCTTGGCAGTGGATTCATTTGAAGAGAGTGAGATTCTTGGGTTGTTCTGATGTGGGTTTGAATCCTGGCTCTCCTCTTCCTTAGTTTAAAGCTTTTGACTCCTTTACCTTTTCTTAGCTTTAGCTTTGTTGTGGAAATGACAGTGTCCTTATTTCAGGGTTGTGCTAGGGAGTAATACATAGGAAATGCTTGCCCAGGGTGAGGGTGCATTGTAGGAAGGCACAGATAGCAGTCATCCTTTTTTTTTTGGTTGTTTTTTAAAGATTTATTTGAAAGAGTTACAGAGAGGCAGAGGAAAGAGAGAGAGGTCTTCACTCCCCAGATGGCCACAATGGCTGGAGCTGCGCTGATCTGAACCCAGAAGCCAGGAGCTTCTTCCTGGTCTCCTATGTGGATGCAGGGGCCCAAGAACTTGGGCCATCTTCTACTGCTCTCCCAGGTCATAGTAGAGAGCTGGATTGGAAGTGGAGTAGTTGGGACTAGAACCAGCACACACATGGGATGCCGGCACTGCAGGCAGTGGCTTTATCCACTACACACCACAGTGCTGGTCCCAGCAGTCATTCTTTTTTTTTTTTTTTAAGATCTATTTATTTATTTGAAAGTTGGAGTTACACAGAGAGAGGAGTGGCAGAGACAGAGAGAGAGAGGTCCTCCATCCGATGGTTCACTCCTCAATTGGCCGCAGTGGCTGGAGATGCTCCAGTCCAAAGCCAGGAGCCAGGAGCTTCTTCTGGATCTCCCACACGGGTTCAGGGACCCAAGGACTTGGGCCATCTTCTACTGCTTTCCCAGGCAATAGCAGAGAGCTGGATTGGAAGTGGAGCAGCTGAGTCTCAAACCGGCACCCATGTGGGATGCTGGTGCTTCAGGCCAGGGCATTAACCGTCTGTGCCACAGTGCCTCCCCACCCTGCTTGTTTTTTTTAAAGATTTATTTTATTTATTTGAAAGACAGAGTTAGAGAGAGAGAGGTAGAGACAGAGAGAGAGGTCTTCCATCCACTGGTTCACTCCCCAGATGGCCACAACAGACAGAGCTGCGCCAATCGGAAGCCAGGAGCCAGGAGGCTCCTCCGGGTCTCCCACGTGGGTGCAGGGGCCCAAGGACTTGGGCCATCTTCCACTGCTATCCCAGGCCACAGCAGAGAGCTGGATCGGAAGAGGAGCAGCCAGGACTAGAACTGGTGCCCATATGGGATGCCGGCACTTCAGGCCAGGGCTTTAACCCGCTGCGCCACAGCGCTGGCCCTCTCCCCCCAGCAGTTATTCTTAACCAGCAGTGCGAGGTGGTGGGTTTTTACTGTGAAACTGGACACAGGTATTTCAGGAGGAGGATGGAGTTGCTGTGGGTTGGGATTCTTCTTAGGTGAGACTTTGCTTGTGTATTCACTTTCGAAGACTGCGCAGGAATTAGGAGGACTGGAATGAGCTGAGTCCCAGTGCAGAAATGGGACTACTTAGAACATTTAGCTTTGTTTTGGACCATGGGTATGGGATCAAGTAGAGAAAGGGCAAGAAGCCTAGTGCTATCATTGGGATGTGGTTTGAATGTCCCTAAGGGTTCATGTGTAGACATTTAATCCTCATTGTGAACTGTCGAGAGAGGGCAAATTGAATCCAACAGTGGTGTTTAGGTATGCGACCTTTGAGGAGGATTAGGTACAGTCATCTCGATGGAGCCTCTGTGACTGAATCCTGGTGGCTTTATGAGATTGGGTAATGAGCCCAGTAGACACACATGCACACCCTCTGTCTCTTGCCACCTGATGCCCTGCACTACTTCTGGACTTTGCCGCAGGAAACTCCACCCTAGATGCTAAGCCTTTGAGCCTTCAGCACTGTGAGCTCAGTAAACCTCCTTTCTTCATAAAATTACTCAGCCTCCATTATTCATTATCGCAATGTAAACTGAACACGTGTATCTCTGCCTGCTTACTAAGAAAGACAGTTTCTTAGATAGTTTGGGGTGTGAATAGCCAGCCATCGTCAGTGCTGTGGGGGGAACTGGATGGACATCTGGAAACTACTTCTCTGATTCTTTGGCATTAATGACCTATTGATCTGGGTTATTTGTTGCTGTGGGACCTTCCCTGTATGTAGTCAACATCCCTGGCCTCCACTTGCTGCATGCCAGTAGCATGTCCCACCCCGTGTCCGCATGACAATCAGATGTATCTCCTAAGTGTCATGTGTCCCTGGGTGGTGGTGGTGGGGAGTCGTTGAGGACCGCTGCTCTAGTGATTATACCAAGTATCACTGATGATGAGATTTAAGAGTGGAGTTCATTTACAATAATGGACTGAACTGCTCTAATTGTAGAGGGTAGGCTGAAGTTGCATGGTTCAGAGCACTGACCAGGAGGAGGTCACTTACATGCTGTATGGCCTTTGATAAATTACCTATTTGTACTTCCATTCCCTTATCTGTAAAATGAGGTCAATAATATTATGCACCTAGGCTTGTTGTGAGGAATAAATTAGTTAAATTGTAACGGAACCCACTGATGATTTGCTTAAATAAAACGGCCTAGCATTTCTTTCTTTCTTCAAGAGACTTTGAAAGCAATCTCTTGGAGAAAAGTGAACCTTCCTGTGTCTGGCTCTCTCAAGTTGATTTTTAAAGTGCCCGTCTCTTGAAAAAAGACCTGTTAAAAAATTAGTGTGAAATGAGGGCATTGAAAGATAAATGTGGAAAAGTGGCACTTTGTCCTCGAGCTGATTTCCTCTTTCCTGGGCCCACTGAAAGATCCTCGTGTTATTAAGTCAGGACGGAATCTGCTTGAGCAGAGCAGGAAAATGCTGTTGAGGGCATGAAGTGGCTGTTACCGCCGTGAGTGGTGATGGGTTGCCGGGGAACTTCTGAGGGAGAGTCCCCTTCTGCAAGTGGATGATGGCCCTCCCAGACGCAAAGGGGCTCAGAGCAGGCTTGCATCCCGGCGGCATTTTTCAGGGACGCTGGGGAACCTCTCCTGACCATTTCCCACCCCAAGCCTCCTGCTGCTTCTGTAGCACACTTGTTTTAAAGGCTACTTAGGAGATACCATGAAGGATGTGTCAGGTTCAACAAATTATAAATTTCCTCTCCACTGCCCAGCGAAGGTGGCAGGTGCCCAGCGAAGGTGGCAGGTGATGGGTGGATGCGCTGGCTTGTCCAGGTAGTGAGTGGCAGCCAGCCCCACTGGGTCCCCACTTCAAAGAGGGATCCCCAGGACTGCACCAGGCCAGGGTTGTGTCCGAGATTCCTTGGATTCCAAACACGCAAAGGAGGGACCCTAGTCCTAGAGCCGCTGTGCCCTAGGGAAGGCAGACTATTTTTAAGCTTTTGTGTTGGTTTCACTACCAATGGATGGCTTCTCTGTTTTCAGCAGAGGCTACTTAATCAGATTTGCTTCTTCTGCTTCTTCTTCTTTTTTAAAGATTTATTTTATTTATTTGAAAGAGAGTTACAGGGAGAGGGAGACCAGAGAGAGAGAGAGGTCTTCCATTCCGCTGGTTCACTCCCCAAATGATTGAAATGGCCAGAGCTGAGCTGATGTGAAGCCGGGAACCAGGAGCCTCCCCTGGGTCTCCCACGAGAGTTGGGCCATCTTCTACTGCTTTCCCAGGTCACAGCAGAGAGCTAGATCAGAAGAGGAGCAGCCGGGACTCGAATTGGTGCCCATATGGGATGCTGGTGCTGCAGGCTGGGGCTTTAACCTGCTGTGCCACAGTGCTGCCCCCAGATTTGCTTCTCATTACTAACTTTTTTTCTTTACCTGATGTAATGAATCTGAACCTCTTTGGAGCACCCCTTGAAATACTCTAAAACAAAGTGAGAATCACTTGGCCCAGGACTTCTTTTGAAGAGATGAGTATTAAAGGGGTTTTAGGGTTTATGTTTTGTTTTAACTTCAAAGATTTGGAGCTTGTTCTGTGACTTGCACATGTCATTCTGTGAACATGATGCCAACATTATCCCATGTGTCTTAAAAATATGTACAGTATCCCAGCAATTCACTTTCATTTGACAGTGTTGCTGAATTTACTATGGGTTTGGACTGGAATGAGAAAAATGATAGAAATACAAGCAACCTTCCCCCAAAAACTAAAATGGCAGACAAAGAAATGGAGACAAAATATTTATTCATAGCTTGTTAACCAGACCAATTGATTGGAATAGAAGTTGCCAAAATTTTTAAAATATCCAACTGCATGTATTATGGAGAAATGCTCTGAGAATTTTTGGGGGTATTCTTTCATAAATAATTCTGTTTTTTAAAGATTTATTTATTTATTTGAAAGATTTACACAGAGAGCCAGATCAAAAGAGGGGCAGCCGGGTCTCGAACTGGCATCCATGTGGGCACCGGCCCCATTTCCTAAATAATTCAACCTGATAGATAAGGATAAGAATTTATCATTTTGCCTATTGTTTTTGTGGTACTTTAATGTTGAATTCCAGGAAGTAGTTTTAATTACACTGACTTATGAGTCTGCTTCCCTTTGTTAAAAGGTGGAAAATGGTTGACATGGTTCACATAGGATCTTAATGAAGGGAGACATTCAGGGGGCAAAGACTCCTAGCTTCTAAGTCTAGTTCCTCTGTTAGACCCAAAACTATCTGTGATGCTGGAAATAAGCTCACATCCTGCATACCTTTACTTTTTAGGAAGCCTGCAGTATGGTAACCCCCTTTCCAAAGGCCAAAAGCAAGGCCACGGCTGATTTCAAAATGTGGTTACACTTCTGCTGGGAATCTGTAGCAGAAAATAGTAGGCTGGCCATGTGGAGAAATAAAGCCAGAAGAGACAGTGTATTTTCAGGAGCAATTTAGTGCATGATTGATCTTACTGATACTGTTAGTGTCCTGTTTATAGCTGAGTGGTTTTACCTGCAGCAACTGGCCAGCACTGTGTGTTAGGGAAAAATCAAGGGAGAAAATACATTGATTAGTAGGCAACTCCACACTCTAAAATTAGGAAACCAGCCTCTCATTGCTAACTTGGAAAGACATTGATAATATCCTATATCTCATGATTTCTGGCCAGGGTCACTTTTACTTCACCTTGTGCAATCCTTGTCCAATCAGGTCCTCTCCTATTTTTTGTTTTAAGTTTTATTTATTTCAAAAAGTGCCAGGGTAGGGAGGGAGGAATATTCTCAGTCCATCAGTTATTTTCTCAAATGCCTGGAATAGCCAGGCTGAAGCCAGGAGCCAGGAGCTCAGTCTGAGTCTCCCATGTGGGTGGCAGGTACCCAAGCACCCTGGGAAGGAAGGTAGATGGGAAGCAGAAGTAACACTTGAACCTGGGTGCTTTGATACAGGCTGCAGGTGACCCAGGTGGCGGCTTCACTGCTGCAGAGCAATGTCTGCCCCCTTCCCTGTGTTTGTGATTTTTTTTTTTCAACAGTCTTTATTTGGACTTCGTTACTCTCAAGATGGACTGAGAAGCTATTGGGCCCAGGCTGTAAACTGTGTTTATAGGATGTTTGAGAGATGGGGGGGGAAAAGGTTTCAAAATTGTTTGTTAGTATGTGTCCTGAATTTATGGTAATTTGGATATCACTAGGTTTTTTTTTTTTTTTTTTTTTTTTGTATTTTTGCCTTATCCTTTCTCTCCAATATTAATGACAGGAATTCTTTTCCCATTCATTCTGGATGGTGCAATGTGGGGAAATGAATATGGGGTTTCAAACAACATTAAAATCACACAGAACGCTGCCCCCACTCTCCCATCTATTTGTTAGGACATTATAATCTCCATTTTTCATTACCCCCTTAGAAAATCCATCAAAATGTTAGTGAGGAGCAGTGTACAGGTGGAGGGGCCAACTGTGACTTGTATTGTTTTATTTAATAAAAAGATTTATTTATTAAGTTGAAAGGCAGATTTACAGAGAGAGGGATGGAGAGAGATCTTCCATCTGCTGGTTGACTCCTCACATGGCTGCAATGTCCAGAGCTGGTTCAGGCTAAAGCCAGGAGCCTGGAACTCCACCTGGGTCTCCCACGTGCTGCCAGGGGCCCAAGGACTTGGGTCATCTTCTACTGCTTTTGCAGGTACATTAGCAAGAAAGTGGGGCAGCCCGGGCTCCTACTGGTGGTCATATGGGATGCCGGCCTCACATGCAGTAGCTTAGCCGGCTATGGTGCAACTCCGGCCCCATACTGTGACATCTCATCCACATGCTGCCCTCTATCAGTTTTTGTCTGGTCTGTGGGCTTAGAATGGCTTTCATATTCTTAAATGGTTAACAATCAAAGGAAGAATAATGATTTTGACATGTGAAAATGATGTGAGATTCAGATGGCCATGTTCGTAAATAAAGCTTTATTGGAATCCAGCCAGGCTTGTTGGTTTCCTTGTCTTCCCTGGCTGGTCTCCCACCTGCTCCAGTGGCAGAGTTGAGTCGTTGCAAACAGAGACCATATGGCAATAAAGCCTAAACTGTTTGCTCTTCGGCTCGTCACAGAAAAGTTTGCCGACCCACCCCTGGTGTGGAGACAAATTGGCGATGGATGGAGAACCGTCAGTCACAGAACGAGGGCAGCCCTTAGAGTAAGGCAGTACAGAGTCCACGTGAGGCCTCCGCTTCCTCGAAGGTGCAATGACTGCGGGTTACTCTACCTGGGTTACTCTACTCTCACTAGTCCTAGTGAGGATGAGCTGAAGCAACGGATGTGGGGCGTTTATCTATATGTGGTGTGCTGCCAGGAAGGCGCAGGCAGAGCTAGTATATTTGCTGTCATTTGCCTTAGCTCTCAGGTCACCTGTTCAAACAGAATTGGAGCAAAATCAGCCTTCCCCAAGTGAGAAAGTCGCCAGAGGGTTAGAAACCCGTCTCCCCCCTCTCTCCACCTTCCTTTACTCAGTGCAAGGTGGTGAAATGTCATTTTCTCTTGAGGTGAATGGTCATGTGGAATTGATCTTGACCTTGAATGAAAGAAGAGCAACAGGGAGTAGAACTTCAGAGAAACTGCTGTGTGAGAGTCGCACCGAGTGGAGCGCTGACTGCAGGTGGAGGGTTTCACATGTGACCTTCTCAGCCCCTTGCAGCTCAAGTCTCCCCGGCAGCCAGCGAGGGAGGCGCCTGCTTCAGAGACACTTCTCATTGCTACACTGTACATCCACAATGGCCAGAGATAAAGAGAAGCTTCCCTGCGTGAGGACGAAGGCTCATTGGCAATGTCATCTTCTGTCTCTTCACGGGGACAGCAAACAGAGACCTCCCTTCTTTCTGACTTAAGTTGCACATATTTTTTTTCTTTCCTAGCTGGCAGCCTCATAACAGTGGCATTCAAATGGTCTTTGCCAGGGATGCGGGTGTCGTGAATGGGGCATTTCTTGTCTTCCTCCTGGCCCTCTTTCCCTTTGTGTTGTCTCTTTTCCATGTATTATTAGCCACCTTGCAAAGTGGGAGTTTTGCCAGCAGCTTGCTTCTGGGTCCTGTAGGTTACTGCCTGAATGTGCCACTTGTCCTGTGGAGTGATTTTGTTTGCAGTGTTGCAGAAAGGATAACTAATCTGACTGTGTCAAACCCACTTAGGTTACTAGTACCAGGGTACTTCAAAATGTTCATGGAAAATGGAAAGAAAAGATTAGGATTTTTGGCACCATACTTTTTTGAAATCTATGCATAGGCTTTTCATAATACCTATGTTATAGTTTGAATAGATTTTGATATGCAGACGTTTGAACCCCAAAGTCTTATGTTCATGATGAGTGGATCAATGCTAATGGTTGATGGATTGGGGTGGAGGCATGCCTCAAGTATGGTGTCAGAACATGGGGCCTTTGGGCTGTGATGGGATTGGATTAGGTTACAAAGAGGAAGCCATGATGAGGGCGTTGTAAGGGAGAGATCACAGGGAAGGTGGAAAAGAGTGTGCTCCCTGTGGCTCTCTGTCCTTTCTGGTCTGCATGTGAGCACCCCTCTGCCATCCTCAGGCCTCACCAAATGCCTGAACCAGTTGGGCCACCTGCTCTTGGACTGTACTCCAACTGTACACTGAAATGAACCCTCTACCCTGTAGTGAAAATAACAGAGTCACTAATACAACACAGCCTTTTGAAGACCCTTGTATGCCTAGATCTTAAAAAGTTTGCACCAAGATAAGCTTATCTTTTTATTCCATGAACTTTTTGCAGTACCATCATATATGCTATCGCTCAGCTCAGTAAACTGAGAGTAATGCTGATGCTATGTGCTCAGTGAATTTTAGGTTTTAATGTCAATTTGGCACAATTTGGCCTTTTACTTTTCTTGCTAACTTCTCCCTTACTGTCTCTTTCATTTTGAAAACATATTTTCATGTGGACTTGTGGTCCGAATTAGATGGCTATAATTGGGTAGGAGTTGTTACTGCAAACCTTTCACAGTAAGTAGTGCTGTGGTGGGGGGAGAAGTACGTAACAGAGCTTTAGTTCTTGTTATTAGCTTATGCTGATAGTCTCGAGTTATTTTATAGATTGTGTGTGGATGCCAGCATGGTGCTTGGGTGTGAATAATTTGTGCAGCTAGCCAGTGGACAAATAATTTTCATCCTTTGGATTCTCTTCAGAGGGATTAGTCAGGTGAACTGGAAGCTTTCTTTCCAGGAGAGCTTTCACTGCTTGTGATAATCAGTGAACAGCCTAGTGGCTGATTTAATTCAACTCTTACAGAACTAGCTGACTCATTGGCTCTTAATTCTTTCTTAACTTCTCTGTAATGTTTTTAATCTTCAGTTTCCTACACATATACCGATGTTATGGTAGATGTAGCTCTGAACTTAACATTTCCCCAGAGATCTTGCTCTGAGAATTCAAAATAAATACCTTGTGAAATGGGTTTCCAGAAAGCTGTTTTTCTGATAAGTTGTTTTCTGCCTTCCTGATAATGGAAAAAAAAGTGCTTTGAAAGGGCAGAATCAACTTTTTTGTGAAAAGGAGGGCTAAAACAAAGAATAAAAGAAAAATGGGACACATTGGAGCCCTACAAGGCATTAGGACTCTCAGTGCCTATGACATAGCTCTGGGTTTTGATATTGCATCATTTATAGGGGGTAAATAATGCATAGCTTTTGCCTTGTGGGATGACTGGAACGTGTTCCACCAAGAGGCGGGAGTTTCTGCTCAGATCTGCCATTTGTTTGATTTATGGATCAGATAAATGACTGTAAAAGGGAAAGGTGGATTTGGGAACGCTTTCTCCCTTCTTGACATGTTGCCTTTAACTTGTTTCCTCCTGGGTTTTGTCCATCGGAACAATTCATTGATTTGTCCCCGAGGGGGGAGCTGGCCAGGTCCTTAGGGACTGTGGTCCTGTGTCTTGTGGCTTCCAGAGAGAGAAGCCAGAGAAGTCCCAATGTGGTGCCTCCATGAACTAGATTCTGCTGCTCCCCTCAATTTTAGTCTAAATTTAAAGAACCTGAGTGTGTAGGGTTGCCAGATTTAGCAAAGAGGATACAGGGCACCCAGTTAAATTCAAGTTTCAGGCAAATATCAGATAATGTTTTAGTGTTAGGGATGCCTGGGGGTCTCATCCTACACCCCAAGGTGGGTGTCGGGGAACTGTGCTGCTCTTTCCTGAGGGCCCTCAGGTTTGGTCGGGTATTCAGAGATAACTGTGAGTGGGAAAGCAATTGCACAAATAGCATAATTGTACGAATGGGAAAAGAGACTGCTCTTTATTATGCACTTTCTGTATCAAGTGCTAGTGCTTTAGTGCTCAGCTTGAGAGGTAGATATTATAAATCCATCATACCTTTGATGATAAAAGTAGCTAACATTTATTGAGTGCTTTTCTCTGTGCTGGGCACTGTTCTAAGAACTCTGATGTGTCCTTATCCTGTGCTTGAAATAACTCTATGAGAGTTAAGTACCATTATGTTTGCCATTGTCCCAGGAAGGAAACTGAGCTGAGGTTAGGTAGCTGGGTTAGGAGTTGTTTTGGGATGAAGGGAAAGAATACCCGAGGTAGGGGTGCGGGGAGGAGAGGGGCATCTCTTGCCCAAGTCATACCATGAGCAGTGGAGCCAGGATTCAAAGACAGATGCCTTTCCTTCAACTCTTCTTAGCTTCCAGGGCTGCACAGTGGCACCACCTGGAGAACTTTACAAAGTACAGAGGTCTGGCACCACCTCAGAGAGATGGATTTAGTTGGTCTGAGGTTGGGCTTGGGCCTGGGAACTTGAAAAACTGCCCTCGGTAGTTCTGATGGGCAGTGGGGGCTGAGGACCCCTGCGTCACTCCACTTTTGGAGTAAGATGAATTTGACTCTCTTTAGGAAATCTGGTCACTTTCTGTGGCTCTTTCTTTGGTTCCTACCCCCTGAAACGCACCATTCCAAATCTGGCAGCTAATTTTTCACGGTCTTTGTTTCTTCATAATTATGTTCAGGAAGTTGTGGTGAATATATGTTGAGGCATAAACAAACCTCAAAGAAAGACCTCTTGGGGGCATTCTGTTGATGGATTTTCTGAGAGATCTTTGCTTTTTCTTTCTCCATTGTACCTCCCGGAGGAGGGGATATCCCTTTGTTTTTCATTTGGCTCCAGCTGGGTACCAGGCTGGGTATTTGAGGAGGTTTGCAGATTAATAAACCTGGGGCACTGCAATCCAGGAGTTTTCGATTTTGGAAGGGAAGTATATAAATGTCATTCGAGGTGTAATTGTCTAGCAGTCACTTCAGAGGAATATAAAATATTAAGGAATTCGAGGTGGCAGGAGCAGAAAGGAAGTGGTGTGGAGTGTGGCTGTAGCAGTGGCAGCTTTGGTTTGAGTTCCTGCCCTGCCATTCACTCCCTTTAGAACTGCGGCCAGTTCTTCTTGGTCTCCATGACCTTGTTGGCAGGCTGGAGGGATCAGTCCTTTGATGGGAGGCATAATGAGCTGTGCTTGTAGCATGCACTCAGCCAAGCTGGGTGAGCCAATGGCAAGCCAGGGAGGTCTGTGAATGGGATGCCAGACCTAATCCTACTAGATGGCTGTGGCTTGGTTGGGACTGGAGTGGGGAGCAGGGGTACTCTAAGACCCTGCTTAGGCTTAAAAAAAAAAAAAAAGTCCTGACCTCTGGGCCTGGACGGATAGGAGCCTTAGTGTAAGGGCAGTGGAAGTAGAAGCAGAAGAGGCATTTGGTGCAAGGCTTCAGAGTCATATGACATATGGTGGTTGGGGGAGGGTGGGTAACTGATTCTTCCAGCCTTAGTGGTGACATTCACAGATGCACGACACAAGAGGGGAGGCTGATTATTAAAGGGAAACAAATGATGAATTAAGTTCTAGGCAAAGTGGTAGCCCAGGCGCCTTTGTAAGCAGTGCAGTGCCCCATAGCGTGTTATTGTGCATATGTGGTGATTGCACACTGGGAGATAATGGGCAGCCTGGCTCCATCGAACTCCACTGAAGAAACCTTCACACCACTGCTGCCATCTCGGCTGCCATTGAGGTTGGACTTGTGCTTTTTTTTGTTTAGATCTAAGTATAATACTTTGCATAGGAAATCGATACATTTTCTATTGCTGTTTGACCAACAGAACTTTTTTTTCCTTACTACAAGATAGTTCTGCAAGCAATAAATACTTTTAATATTTTGAGTATATTTCTTTCTAAATTAGAGTTAGAAAAAATGAGGCGTTTATTAATGTCAGGCTCAACTTAGAATTCAGAAACAAGTGATGACTTATAGGGACTGTTCCCAACCTCAATTATTTTTTTTAAAATTTATTTATTTATATTTGAAAGGCAGAGTTACAGAGAGACAGAGGCAAAGGCAAAGAGAGAGAGAGAGAGAAAGAAAGTCTTCTATCCGCTGGTTCACTCCTCAAATGGCTGTAATGGCAAGAGCTGGGCTGATGAAGCCAGGAGCCAGGAGATTCTTCTGGGTCTCCCACGCAGGTGCAGGGGCCCAAGGACTTGGGCCATCTACTGCTTTCCCGGGCCATAGCAGGGATCGGAAGTGGAGCAGCTGGGGCTTGAACCAGCACCCATATGGGATGCGGATGCTGCAGGTGGTGGCTTTACCCGCTATGCCACAGCTCTGGCCACCTCCAACCTCGATTTTTAAGGTCATTAGAAGGCTTTTGTTTGTGTTGCAAGTTCTCCACTTCGTGTAAGGTCTTATTGAACTGTTTAGAAGGTTTCCAACACATTTCATTTTTGCCAGTATAACATGGCTGGCATACATACATTTTCTGTGAAGTGTCACATGGTAAATTAGATTTTGCACATCTGATCTCATAACTACAAGCAACAGAAAAGCAGCCATTGACAGTTTATATAAAAATGAGCTTTATTTTGTTCCAGTAAAACTGTGTTTAGAAAAACATGTAGTAGACTGGAGTTTGCTCTCAGTCTATGGTTTTCTGACCCCTTTCTTAGTACTTAGGTTACGGGCACAGAAGTTCTTGGTTTGCTCACCATCAGTGTTATGATTCACTCTCACCCTCACCCTCTGTGAGTTTCCGCTTTACCAACTATAAAATGGAATCAATTTGAGAAGTCTTCAAAAAGTTTATGGAAAATTTGTGTACTAAAAAAAGACACTCATGGATTCCAATATTTTTCTATTCGATGAAATAATTTTCAATTTATTATTATAATTTTTTTTCTCTCTCTCTTTCTCTCTCTCTCTCTCTTTAATTTGTGAGACAGGCAGGCAGACAGAGAGAGCTCCCATTCAATGATTTATTCCCCAAATGCCCACAGTGGCTGGGGCTGGCCCAGACCAACACCAAGACCTGATACATCAATCCAGGCCTCCCCTGTCAGTGGTAGGAACCCAGTTAGTTTCTTTAGCCATCACTGTCAGGAACTGAAACCAGGCAGTCCAATGTGTGAGTCTTCACCACTGGGTTAAATATTAAATGAGATCACACAAGTAGTTTTGCATAATGGCTAGAACACAAGAAGGATTCAGACAATGTTAGCTAAAGGGAAAAATAACCCATTTCAGTCTACATTATACAGTAGCTCTGAAGCTTAATTGCAGTCACCTTAAGGTATAATGGAGGCGATATTTTTGAAAGGACATTTTAGATCTTTGCTGTTAACAATGTGCAGTTGTATACAAGAAGAAGTTGATTACAAAAAGGTCTACATCACCAATATTGTTTATTGTTTGGATGATTTTTTTTTTTTTTATTTGACAGGTAGAGTTAGACGGTGAGAGAGAGAGAGACAGAGAGAAAGGTCTTCCTTCTGTTGGTTCACCCCCCAAATGGCTGCCACGGCTGGTGCGCCGCGCTGATCCGAAGCCAGGAGCCAGGTGCCTCTCCTGGTCTCCCATGGGGTGCAGGGCCCAAGCACTTGGGCCATCCTCCACTGCCTTCCCAGGCCAGAGCAGAGAGCTGGACTGGAAGAGGAGCAACCGAGACTAGAACCTGGCACCCACATGGGATTCCGGTGCTGTAGGCGGAGGATTAGCCAAGTGAGCCACGGCGCCAGCCTGGATGATTTCTCTTCTTGGAAATTTATTTCATTTTCTGGAAGTGAGATGGGCTTGTACTTCTTTGTCTTTTTTTTTTTTTTTTCTTTGCATACATTTGGGCTTCTCTCCCCTCATCTGCTAGGGTGTAAGGAGTAAAAACTTTTCTAGAAATGGAATGTAATGAGCACTTACTGAGCGCCTGCTGTGTGCCCACGTTGAGTGAGATGTGCCTGCAGAGGAAGTCTCAGTAATCATGGAACTTACAATGGAATTCAGTAGGAAGTACACACATATGTAAAACAACCACACACTGTGTTATGGCACCCTACAAATAAGCAAGCCCTAGGAGGGGGTGGGAACAATTCATTGTAAGAGTAAAGGGCTGGTGCCATGGCGCAGTAGGTTAATCCTCCGCCTGCAGTGCCTGCATCCCATGTGGGCGCTGGTTCTAGTCCCGGCTGCTCCTCTTCCAGTGCAGCCCTCTGCTGTGGCCTGGGAAAACAGTAGACGATGGCCCAAGTCCTTGGGCCCCTGCACCCACGTGGGAGACCCGGAGGAAACACCTGGCGCCTGGCTTCGGATCGGTGCACCTTTGGCTGTTGTGGCCACCTGGGAAGTGAACCAGTGGATGGAAGACCTTTCTTTCCATCTTTCCCTCTCACTGTCTGTAATTCTCTCTCTCAAATAAATAAATAAGAATCTTACAAAAAAAAGAGTAAAGTCCTATCAAATTGTGTCAGTATGTGGAAGCCTCATGGAGAAAGACCAGGCTAGGGGCTTTGTGAGTGTGAATTTGTCCTGGCCGGGTACTTCCCTTTCCCAAGAGATAATTTTGCTGTGTTCCCTATAGACATGACACTTGAGTTTTGGTCGATATACTGTCTCCCGTGAACAACAGAACACTGAATTGTGAAGGCAATGACAGAAGGTAGAACTGTGTGGTCCCTGTAATGGCTTTCGGCATCTGGTTTTGCTTCATGCTCCAAAGAACTGAAAAGTGAGGGTGATTTATTTATTCATGAGAACATGCCCCATACAACTGCTCTTTGCGACTGGAATCCCTGTTGCGGGTGACTGGGCTGATCTGATGAGAACAGGGATGGGACAGGAGAGGTGGGGAACAGTTCCCTCAGGGCGGAAGTTCCGCAGGGCCTGTAGGTTCATTGCCGTACACCCAGCGTCTTAGAACAGAGTGTGCTGTAGCGTTGGTGCTCAGTAGTTTCTAGGTAAGGGGGTGGGGAATATCGGAGGTGCATCCACTGTCCTAAATTTGGTGTTGAGCTCATCTGCAGGGTAGTCTAGTGACAGAATGGACATACAACAAGTGAGAGCAGTCGATTAGACAGGGTCTGTGTTGAGCATTCAGGTGGGCAGAGGAGAGGGAGCCCAGCTGTCCGTCTTGGAGCTCAGGAAGGATTCAGATGTGGTACCCTATGGACGTGGTCTCTAAGGATGAGTGGAACTAGACCAGGGGTGTGGGCCACGGGACGAGGCGAGGGCATGCCCAGCAAGAAGAGTAGTTAGGCAGAGGCAAGCTAGAATGAAAGAACAAGGCAGATTGAAGGAGAGTTTGTATGGCCTGTGTGATTGAGTTTCTTTGCTGGTGAATTCTTGGTGTTCTTTAGTGGTTGAGCCACGCATTGCTTGGAATCCCTCCCTGGGCTCTGAGTATTAAAATCCCTTCAGCAGGGCAAACAGCAGAGAAAGAGGAAGTAGGAGGATCCTCATCCACACAGCTAGCAGATCTCCCCCAGGCCTGGGGTTACTGAGGTGACAGGATTTTCACCCAATGCGTCTTTCCTTTTTATTTTCTTTTTAAATTCATTGTCATTTATTTGCAAGGAAGAGAGAAAACGCTTCCATCTGCTGTTTTACTTCCCAAATGCCTGCAATTAATCGGGGCTGGGCCAGACTTGAGGCAGGAGCCTTGATCTCAATCTGGATCTCCCATGTGGGTGACAGGGACCCAAGTTACTTGAGCCATCACTTGCTAGCTCCCAGGGTGTGCATTAGCAAAAGGCTGAACTCGGAATTGGAGCTAGAACTCAAGAACCAAGGCACTGCAGTACGAGATAGAGGAGTCCCAATCCAGGTCTTAATTGCTGCACCAAATGTGCACATGTGTCTTCCTTTTTAAACACACACACACACACACACACACACTCAACTTGCAGGAATTGATGTTCCCAGCTTTGAATGATAGCTACTATTAAGTGAGGATCATGAGTCATGTGCCTGACAGCGAATTCTTATATCTCTAAGAGATAGGTACTGCCATTGCTTCAGGACAGATTGTTTCAGAGCAAGGCCTTATCTGCTTTGTTTGCTGCTCTATCTCCCCAGCCTGGAAAGGTGCTTGGCACCTGTTAGGGGCTGGATTTTAAATGGGCAATCAAGTGCAGATATAATTTGAACAAGTCCTAATGGTTATATAAGGACTTAGAGAATTATATATAAGGGAGTTGGAGACCAGGACCGTATGGTATCACAGTAGAATGTCATCTTGCACCATGTCAACTTCCTAATGCCAGCTACAGGAGGAAATCTCAATCTTTTTGCAGACTTGAGGAAACCTTTTTTAGTGGTAAAGTTATAGAAATCCACACACTGACACAGGGCACTACCAAAAGGTCACAGAGAATGGAATTCAAAGATAATGTGCATTTTCCTGTGACTTTGTGAGGATCCCTCACACTGTGTTCATTCTCTAATTTGTTGTGGATAAATATTTTACAAAGACTTGGGTGATGTTTAAGTGGCTTTTATTTCACACATATGCAGAAATATATGCACCTCTCTGGATTCCATCTCCTGGGGAGGCTTGGTTTGTAGGAGGACCAGGTCCCGGAAGATAATCCCACTCTGAAGCTGTGAGATGGGGAGCTTGTGATTTAGAGCCTGAAACTGGGGAGCTTACTGTCTGCTGGAGGAGATCAAGCTCCTGGAACCTGGGGTAGAATGTGTGAAGTGTTTTAACGGGAGCTGTATGCTTTAGAGAAGGTCTCTGAATGGGGGTTGCCCGGAATTAACTGTGGATCAGAAAGGACAGTTCTCTTCTCTTACTCTGGTGGTAGTCTGGGTGTTCTTGAAGGAAGCACAGTGAGACCTAAGTCCATAGACTGGAACATGACCCTAGCCCAGTCAGTAAGTTTGCTCGCTAGATTTTTTTGACATAATCAAGACTCTATAAACAAATATGCTTAGAATCTCCTTCCACTCATCTCCCAAGGTAACCAAAATGGTTATGTGACGATTGTTTCTTACAACCTTCCTTACTTTAAACCTGGGATTCCTATTTCAAGAGAACAGATGTACTTGTAGGAAGAGAAAGCTGCAACGGGGTGAGCATGAAACTATTCTTTGAAGATGAGTAATTAGGGTACCACATTTTGAAGTACAGTGAAAATGAGTTTCTCACCATTATGAGAACAAAACTTCCAGAGGTCACACCTTGCAGCTCTCTACTTTTCATTTGAGATTTTTATAAGCCCAAGAGCTTCTTTGTTAATTTGCAATTTCATCATTGTGAGACTATATATATATATATATATTTAAAATATTTATTTATTTGAAAGTCAGAGTTACAGAGAGAGAGAGAGAGAGAGAGAGATAGGTCCTCCATCCGATGGTTCACTCCTCAATTGGCCGCAATGGCCGGAGCTGCTCCGATCCGAAGCCAGGAGCCAGGAGCTTCTTCTGGGTCTCCCTCGTGGGAGCAGGGGCCCAAGGACTTGGGCCATCTTCCCCTGCTTTCCCAGGCCATAGCAGAGAGCTGGATCAGAAGTGGAGCAGCCAGGTCTCAAACCCGCTGCCCATATGGGATGGGATGCTGGCACCTTCAGGCCGGGGCGTTACCCCACTGCGCCACAGCGCCTGTCCTGAGACTATATATTTTTTAAATTGTTACATGCTTTAAACTTTTGAAATGTAGCCACCCTTCAGAATGAAAATCCAAAATGAAAATGCTTAAATGGACTTAGTAGAAGTGCCGTCTGCCTTTCTACTTTAGTGATTTTTTTTTATTTGTGTGCTTATTTATTTGTTTTTAGAAGAAATCATCTGGCCTGCTCAGTCAGTCATCCATTTCAGCAGATCAAAGGAAAGTGAGTTCTACAGCCTTTCACCTGCACTCATAATTCATGGGAATTATTGGTGCCTGCTTGGGTGTTCAGTGAAAACAATTCATCAGCGTTTTCTTCAGAAATTCTCATTTTTCTGGCATTTTAGCTTGACATTACCAGTTGGTGGTCTTTCCATTGCACATTCTAGTTCTTCCTGTTGAACAGAATATAGGCTAACCTTGGAGAAAAACAGTCTGCAAATAAATTAAGCCTATCTAACTCTGCATACATTTTTCAAAGAATGTACTTTTACTTTTCAGAATTTGATGATGCCACAAAACTTGAGTTCAATTTTGAGTCTACAAATATGTATTGGGCTGAGTGGTCTAGGTGGTAGGATACAGGGGAGTGAACTGGGAATTCACAATCAGGGCCTTGAAGATGCCTCAGTTCTTATGGGGGTGGGGGTGTGTGTGCGCGTGTGAGAGAGAAGACATGTAACTTAAAACACCATCAGGATCCTTTCCAGCTGTAGTTAAGTTCTGTGATGAGATGTCTAGTTCCTATGAGAGTGAGGAGAAGGAAGGAAGCCACGGTATGTGTTCAGAGATTTTGTTTTTCTTGAAGTTGATGGGAGCAGATGTAATGAAGAGTTTGGCTTAAAATGAGACAGACTTAACTTCAAATCTCGGCTTCCTTCTTGGAGTTCCCTCAACAAATGGGGTCATTCATTTCTGCCCTGCCGAGTTTTTGCTAGGAGTAAAGTTAGCCCAGGGTGGGATAGTCCACAGTGGATGCTTGCTAGATAGTAAATGCTGTCATTAGTGGTAGTGTTCTACTCGTGGGTCCTCACCAAGTACAAGGGTAAATCTTTAAAAAGCTCCAGGAAAATGCATGTTATGAAAAACACTATGCTTAGACTTTAAATGTTTTTCCACCAAAATAAATTGACTTACTTCCATTTGCCATGAACTTTTAAAATTGCCCTCTGCAACTTTGGAAGCAGGCGATGTGACTGACCTAGCTGTTTAGAAATTACAGTAGCTCCCCTCCCTGCCATCTGTGTTCTCTTTACAACGTTCAGCTCCCTGAGATGAGCCACAGTATTAAAACATTAATTGGAAAGTTTCAGAAATAAGCGATTTGTAAGTTTTAAATTGCATGCCATTCTGAGTAGTTTGAGGGCATCTCTTGCCATCCACCAGCATATCCATACTGCATTTGCCACCTGTCTGTCACTTAGGGACCGTCTTGCTTACCAGACGGACTGTTGCAGTATCAACATGTTGTCATAATTGTTTTGTTTTATTATTATTGTTCTTAATCTCTTCCTGGATCCAATTTATGAATTACACTTTATCACAGACGTGTGTGTATAGGAGTGACATCGTACATTTAAGATCCATTCCTGTCTGTGGTTTCGGGCATCCACTGCGGACCTCGGAACACATCCTCCGCAGTTAAAGGGAGAAGTAGTGTAAAGTTAAAACCGTCAGGTCCCATAGGCTGCCAGCAGAAATGGTCTAGGGGCTGTGCCGAAACTGACGGGCAAACACCACGAGGTGGTGGGCTGGGTGGCCTCTGCAGTTTTATTCTGCCTGACAGACATGCCGATTCTGCCGCTGGCACCACACTTTGCACAGTCCTGGCACCGAGGAAGCGCTTCACAAATACAGAAATTCTCATTGATGTCAACTGAATTTATATTTTATCCATTAAAGGAGCAAAGAAGCTTTCAGTGTTAGTCCCTTTTATCATTGGCCATTGTACAGCATTTTATCTTTTCATATATTAAATATTTTAAATACCATTAGGATGTCTGCCCCATTCCTGCTTTAAAACAAAATGCTTTTGGGACCCAGAAGTTAAATTCTTTCTTTCTAGATTATTTTTATTTCCCTTTAAATGTCTCCCTGAAACAAGAATTGTTTCAAAGGGGGGAAAATTGAGAGGCTGACAACTAACTCATCCAAGGACATTAAACAAGTTAGTCACAGGGAAGAAAATATATTTTGAGTGTTTCTGCCTTCAGTGGAGAAATCATATTTGATTTTGCCTAATGTGTAAAACTGGAGGGCGCTCACTCAACAATCTGTGTGCGTGTGGCCCGGGAGCAGGCACATCATTAAAGTTAGTGTGGGTGTGCACAAGAAAACACACTCATTTCTCTGTCATAAGAGGGGCGTGCTGAAAGAATTTCGTCTGCGGACTGTTGGGTATTTTAGGCTGACATTGCTGTTTTTAGACAGGAGTGCACATGTGTGTTCATATGTTTATGTCATGTTTATTTCTGTGTAGGTTCATGCTCTGGTGCTTATAACATAATGTGCACCTGTAGATGCTGAGTGCTGACAAGGCCTATTCTGTTTCACAGCGGCATTTTGCTCTGGTTATTCTGATAAAGTAAACTGAAGATGCTCATAGACATTGATCATAACATAAGAGAGTTGACCTCTAAAGTGACACAGATACAGAAATTTAAGTTCCCTTTCCAACTTTCTCCTGAGAGATTTTGAGCTTAGTGTTTCTTTTTTAGAAGACATTTATTATTTTCACTTCTATTTGAAAAGCAGAAAGAGACAGAGAGATTACATCTACTGGTTCACTCCTCAAATGCCTGCTACAGCAGCCGGTGCTAGGCCAGGTCAAAGCTAGGAGCATGGAACCCGGTCTGGGTCTCCCGTATGGGTGCAGAGACCTAAGTATTTGGACCACCTGCTTCCTTCCAGGAACACATCAGCGAGAAGCTGGATTGGAAGTGGAATGGCCAGGGCTCACACTAGGCATTCAGCACAGGATGTAGGAGTCCCAAGCTGCAACTGAATAGCTTCTTACTCTAAATCCCAACAGAATCTTGTGCCTCTGGAATCTGGTGACTGTTATGGGACACATAGGAAGATGAGAAAGAGTAAATAAGATAAAGTGCTCTTGGAAAGATATTCCAGGAATAGGGAACAGAATTTGAAAAACCTTTGAAGTTCAAAGGAGCCTTAAAGAAAGGGCAGTGGTCCCTGGAACTTCAAGGATGTGGTTGGTGAGGGTAGAGAGGAGGAAGCCAGGGAAGTACTTGAGAGACATGATGAAGGACTTCCTCTTCAAAGTTGGAGTTGGAATTTCACTGTGAATAAAGTGCTATGACCTTATTCAATGGGTTTATTTTTTTTGTCTGTTGACGGTCATGGAAATAACATTTCCATTAAAAAATCAAAACATTGCTGGAATTAAATGACCGAAAGAGAGAAATCCTCCCATAATTCTACCTTGTTCAACTTAACTGAAATCACTGTGGTAAAATGTTTGACAGTGATTAAGATGGGATGTAGTGAGAAGAGGCTCAAACTTAGACATTAGATATCATGCAATTCACTGTCCCGTGCAGGAGATGAGGGAGGCTGCACACCAAGGCAGGGCTGAGCCTGGGAAGAGAGGCAGCTGAGAGCCTTTAGACTAGAAAGGATTACGGTGGAGGAAGTGGGTGATGTAGAGGGGAAAAGGAACCCTCTGAGATTTCGGGGTTGGTTAACTGCCTAGGTAATGCTGCCCTTAAGAAAGCTTAGAAATCTGGTGGGAGGAGAATGTGGTTGGGGATATGTCAACTCTGAAGTGCCTACGGGGATGGATATATGAAGATGTTTATTAGACAGTTGAAAATTTCAGAGTTCAAAGTGGAGCTTAGGAATGGGTTGAGATTCAGGCAGATAGACTCGGGAGCCTGGGTTACATGAAAAGAAGCTGCAGAGAAAGAGAGATGAGAGACAATAGGAAATGGCTCATTACCACTTAAGCGTTTTTGTTTGAAAGGCTTAATGAGATAACAGCCCACACTTTGGTTGGGATAGTGGAAGAAGATGAGTAAATTATCCACAGGTCACAGAGGTTACAGAATCTGTTCTCATATGAATTAATCAGATTTATTCTCATACTGAAAAGTATAAAATTCCTAAAGGAGCCATTTTACAACTAAAAAAAAAAAAAAACTTGGAAGGAGTCCAAATACAGAATATTTACAGATTAAAGAAGTATTTAATTGAGATCTTTTTTTAAAGACATATTTTATTTATTTGAAAGGAAGAGTTGCAGAGAGAGAGAGAGAGAGAGAGAGAGAGAGAGAGAGAAAGAGATCTTCTACCTTCTGGTTCACTCCCCAAATGGCCCCAAAGGTGGGGCTGGACCATTCCAAAGCCAGGAGGTTCTTCCAAGTCTCCCACTTGGGTACAGGAGCCCAAACACTTGGGCCATCCTCCGCTGGTTTCCCAGGCCATAGCAGAGAGCTGGATTGGAAGTGGATCAGATGGGATTCCAACCTGTGCCCATATGGGATGTCGGCATTGCAGGACGTGGCTTAACCAGCTGTGGCACAATGGGGGCCCCAATTGAGATTGGGGTCATTTTCTTGGTTATTTGGTGAAAGAAATTGGGTTTCTGAAGAGGTTACCATTTTAAAACTATCTTAAACTATTAAGAATTTTTTTTTTAATATGGGTGGTGTGTATGTTTGAATGGTTCTAAAACCATTCACCTGACTTCTGAGAGAAATTTGGTTTTGAAATAAAAATATTATTCCTCTAACTACTCTAGATTAGAAAGACATGATGAGGATGACATCCCAGTTTTAGAATATTGAACTTTGGGAAGCATTGTGGTGCAGTGAGTTAAGCAGCTGCTTTGGGCACCTGTATCCCATATCAGAGTACCAGGTTAAGTCCCAGGCAGTCTACTTCTGATCCAGCTACTGCTGAGGTACCTGGGAGGCAGCAGGCAATGGCCCAAGCACTTGGGTCATTGCCACCCATGTGGAAAACCTGATTGGAGCTCCTGACCCTTGGCTTCAGCCTAGCCAAGCCTTGACCTTTATAGGTGTTTGGGGGAGTGAATCAGTGGATAGAAGATCTCTCTGTCTTTACCTTTCTCTGTCCCTTTGCCATGCTGCCTTTCAAATAAAAATACATCTTTTTCTTTTAATTAGTAGAAGGCAGTTTTTTAAAAAGATTATTTATTTATTTGAAAGTCGGAGTTACACAGAGAGAGAAGGAGAGGTAGAGGCAGAGAGAGAGAAGTCTTGCATCCACTGATTCACTCCCCAGTTGGCCACAATAGCCAGAGCTGCATCTATCCAAAGCCAGGAGCCAAGAGCTTCTAACGGGTCTCCCACATGGGTGCAGGGGCCCAAGGGCTTGGACCATCTCTGCTGCTTTCCCAGGCCACAGCAGAGAGCTGAATCGGAAGTGGAGCAGCCTGGAATTGAACCACCGCCCATGTGGGATGCCAGCACTGCAGGTAGAGGCTCCACCCACTATGCCACAGTGTCGGCCCCAAGAAGGCAATTTTTAAAAAAAGATTTATTTATTTATTTGAATGGCAGAGTCACAGAGAGAGGGAGAGACAGAGAAGTCTTCCATCTGCTGGTTCACTCTCCAGATGGTCACAAAGGCCAGAGCTGAGCTGATCCAAAGCCACGGGCCAGGAGCTTCTTCTGGTCTCCAATGCAGTGCAGGGACCCAAGGATTTGGGCCATCTTCCAGTGCTTTCCCAGGGCATTAACAGGGAGCTGAATCGGAAGTAGAGCAGCTGGGACTCAAACCAGTAGCCATATGGGATGCTGGCACTGCATGGGACGGCTTAACCTGCTACGCCACCGTGCCAGCCCCCAAATTCTTTTTAAGATTTAAGGTTTGGACATTTGACCTAGTTGTTAAGATGCTTGTGTTCCATCTGATTCTGCCCCTGACTCCAACTTCCTGCTAATTCACACCCTGGGAGACAGTGGTGATGGCTTAAGTGATTGGGTTCCTGCCACCCCCATGGGAAATCAGAATTGAGTTTCCAGCACCCAGCCTAGCTCTGGCGATTGCAGGCATCTGGGCAGTGAACCAGTGGATGAGAGTTCTGTTTTTCTGACTCGCAAATAAATAAAAATGTTTAAAAAAAAAAAAAAGCAAAGATTTTAAATAGCTGTGCTGTTTGTAAGTGGATTTGAGGCAGATTCCAGTGGTGTGGTTTTGGAAAGCACATTGGCGTCCAGTGGCTTCAGAACTGGATTTGAATTCCAGCTCTGCCTCTCACCTGCCCTGGAGAGCCACCTAAACCACCCAGGATGGTTTGAGGATTAAGTTACACTGAAGATGAAAAGCTCACTCACAGTTCTGACCGGCTCGGGTTTCCTGTTCAAAAAGTGTCCTTAGCTTCCCATTCTGTCTTTCCTTTCCCAAAACCTTACTGCTCTGTGTCTGCTAAGGTCTTTTTGTCACACTCTGCCTTAACATGAGACTTAATATGTTGTCAGAAACCGTTTCTCCATACATACAGTGCATTTCCGGTTTCTGTTTTAGCTTTTTAATTAAAAACACACCTTTTGCCACTGACACTTGTGAGAGGTTGGTTCCTAGCTCTACTTTTCCAGGCGGCAGCTGACTTCCTGTTCTGTCAGCAATGAGTTAAGCCTCCTATGTGCAAATAGCAACATCATGGCTGTTGTGCTTTGCCCATTGGTGTAATTGTTTTTCCTACCTCTGCAGCCCGGATAGAATCAGAGAGGTCCGTAGCCCCCAGTTGCCCTTTTGAATTACAAGTCACCATACAGGTCATAGCAGCTCAGGATCAGAGACCAGGTCATGAGAACAGCCAGGGAGGACGCTATTATGTGCTGATCCATTCCATTCCAAGATCCCGAGGTCATGAGGAGCTCTGTGGCTTCTGCTGTGTGGGTGAGACCAAGTCCCTGTCACCTTCATACCTGTGTGGCCCCAAAGCCATGGTGCTTTTCCATCATTGTTAGGAATGCTGCTGTTCTTGAGCCTAAAAACGTAGCTTCTAACACCACCCACATTCCTGAACTCTAAGAGGTGTTCTTGGCCTTTGTCAGTTTTCTTCCTGAAGACGATAGACTCTGCCCAGCTCCCAGGAACAGTTGTCTTAAGAGAGCTGGAAGGAAGTGTTTGAAATGGCACATATGCCTGGGATTCTGGTAACCAAGGAAACGTGTCCCCAGTGCAAACCTTCCTCTAAAAAATGATGGTACCTTTCTGGGATTGTCTCAGAATCACCCTCAGCAAGATTCCCAAGGGATGTGGAATTAAACTAGGTCACTTCCAGAAACTGTACCAAGAGTTGACTGCACATGAGAGTTTGCCTCTTTAAAAATGTACCTTGCAGAAGAGGAATCCAATGCATTGTGGATACAGTATGCTGAAGTTGGAATAATCTGAGTCTTGTATATAATGGGTGTTTAATCAGTCTTACCTGAATTTAACTTTCCTTTGCTCTTGCTTATTATTTGTGTTGTTTTTATTCTTAGTCTGCTTCCCATTTTCAATTAGCCTTTAGCTTCTTTGTATTCCCTTTTAACAATAAATTATTAGAATTACGTAATGACGATTTTACTCCTCAGCTACCTGTGTCTTGCATGTGGACTTTGCTAATACATCCATCATGGATAGAATAATAAAAAATGTTGTTGAGTTGAGGTGACTTGAAAGCCAATCCATTCAATAAATGAGAAAGTGAATCTTTAGGAATAGTTACTTAGAGGCAGAAGCCATGGCCTGAATCTGAGTATGTGCTTTTTAGTAACATTCTTGAACAAAGACTTGAGCATTGGTACAAATCGTGTGATATTACCAACACCATGTTATCATTTTCTTATGCTTCCCAAGAATTATGAGCAGTGGGCAACAGAAAAGACATACGGAATTCACAAACAACAGAAGACTAGGATGGCTCTTCTGAATGCAGGGGTCTCAACCTCAAATATAGTAGCCAGACAGACTGTGCAGACCGCAGACCGACCTGATTTAAGAGAACAGGGAGTGGGTGAGTATTTTGTGAGTTTCAGAGGCATAAATACCTAGACCTGCTTAGCCTGTGGAAGTACTTTTGACAGCCAGGTAGGTGGCAACCTCTTTCTTGGACGTTTTTGTGAAGATGCTGTGAGCTGAAGTCATGCTGCATTTTTCTAAGTGATGTATTTCATAATTAATGAGGTTGAAGTGGGGAGAAGTGTACATAGAATTTTTGCTTGAGGGCAGATTTTACACCTGATGCCTTATTATCTATTAATTGAATTATACGCCTGGGGATAAAAATTCAGTTTAGTTTTAAAGTTAAATTCTTTATTTCTGTGAAAGACCCCAGGAAGATTTTGTAGAATTTTATAGTACCAGATTACTAGAGACTCAAAAAATTAGTGCAGACCCTGAAACAGGTCTTTAAGGTCCAGAGGCAGTGATTCTCAAACGCGATCGCGTCTGCGCTCCGTGGAGGGCTTCGTGAACACACATTCCTGGGCCTTCCAATTCACCAGGCCTGGGGTGGGACCTGGGAATTTGCACTGTAGTAAGTTCCTGCTCCCCCTCCTGCTCAGGGACAACACACTTAGTATCAATCATTGCATTAAAGGAAACCCGACTGTTTACTTAATTAGCGAAGCCATACTTCAACCCACTTGCTCAGCCAGGCGGGGTCCCTGGCTCCTTACAGAACACATCATAATCAGTGTGTACCGGTAAACACTAACAAGTGGCTTTAGGGCTGGGGTGTAGGCCTGATTTATAGGCTTGCTTCTGTGGGGTGCACATGCTCCACCAGTTCAGTTTAGACAACTATTATGACAGCAGCCCACTTGTGAAATTCCTGAAGATTTGACAGTCATCTTTGGGACACCACTGAATCCAAGGAAATGTCAAGGGTAGTGCTGAGATTTACCCTTAGCTGAAACAGAGCCTTAGCACCCTGTAAGGGTTAGGTATGGAGGAGGTAAGAAAAGCAAACAACCCCAGCATGGAGATGAGTGCAGTCAGCAGGAAGTAGACACTATTGCTGATCAAAGATGGATTTTATTGGCTCAGAAGCCCTTTAGTTTTGAATGAGTTGCCATCTTGAACTGAGATGTTTCACATGGGAGAAAAATCTATATTTTTATCTTCTATGAATGAAAAATTAGAAGTTGTAGCAACTCCAGCCCTGATCAGATTCTCACTCAGCAGCAATTAGCTGGAGCTGGGTAGCAGCTGTTTCCCTCCCCCCACCTGCACCTCATTCACGCTGGGCTGGCCATTTCTAGTTCATCATTGTCCTGCTTCATTTATTCACACTCTTGACTGCCTTGCAGTTGCTGGCATGCCCTCACTGTCGCTGGAGGACTGGGGTCCAAGAGAATGTGCATCCCCCATCCTTGCATGCCCTTTTGGAGGGGAAGGAAGCGTGTATCCACCCTTAAGAATAAAAATGAGTCAGGGGTCCCTTTGTGTTCCTCTTCCTTGTTTTCATCTCTCCTTTCTTTTGAGAATAGGAGAGGAAGAAAGGCATTGCATTCTAGAAACAGAAACAAAGACCTGAAGAACCTTCTAATTTCTCTTTATAAACACTAGACCTGGTGTCTGGGTTAGGATATTCCTGATAAGAGAATCCATGCACCTAGGTGGTTTAATTATTGTTTATATGACATACTTTTCTTTTCAGAGATTCTGTTTTTGGTCACCCCAAGTCTCTCTCTTCCCATTTTGTCTTCTCTCAGCATCTTGTGTCTGCCCTGCACAGATCAACTTTTATATCCTTAGCTTTTGTTCTGAGTATGGGAAAACACAAAATTCTTGCCTCAACCATGCTGTGGTTACTGTATTTGAGGGTGGAGGAAGAAGGGAGATGTTTGAAGAGTCTCAGAGAGAAAAACTATGGTTTTAAATCTAATCATTATCAGATTGAGAGCTAAATACTTTAGCAACTTTCCTGAGGGAATAGCCCTGGGAATTTTCTGGATAAGTATCATTCTTACATTTTGGCAGGGTGCAGAATTGAGGCCACCCACTTTGGGGCAGAAAACTGTTTAGTACAGTTCAAATAATGTATTTCGAGAGTTTGGGTGAACTTGTAATTTAACCTGGGGGAAGAGCAAATGCTCGTGGGAAAATATTTGTGCTGAAAATGAATAAGGAATGTGCAAGTACTGTGCCCACACTCTGGGAGCTCTGGTTTGCAGTTGAAGCTGCTGCCAAGTGGTGTGGGTCAATAGCAAGTAGAAGAGAGCAAAGCATACAGGAGGTGACTCTTGGTTGGGTAGATTTTGCTTGCTGCTTAAGAACACTGCCATTGGCTACTTGGCTTGTGGCATTCCGATCAGGTTCACCTGCAGATGAATAATCAAATCACTGAGATTTCTTAAGCATGTACTTGGTGCCACATAGTACAACACAGGTGTTCATTCCTATCGATATCCTCACTTGCGAGTTTGGGAAACTGACTCTTGAAGTTTGTGACTTTGTGGTGATCTTGCAGCTGAGACCAGAATTTGGGTTTAGCTCTCCTTGATTCTACATTTTAAATCACACATGGTCTGGTCTGCTCTGTGGCGCAATAGGTTAATCCTCCGCCTGTGGTGCTGGTATCCCATGTGGGTGCCGGTTCTAGTCCCAGCTGCCCCTCTTCCAATCCAGCTCTCTGCTATGGCCTGGGAAAGCAGTAGAAGATGGCCCAAGTGCTCAGTCCCCTGTACCTGCATGGGAGACGAGGAGAAGCACCTGGCTCCTGGCTTCGGATTGGCGTAGCTCTGGCTGTTGCAGCCATCTAGGGAGTGAACCAACGGAAGGAAGACCTTTCTCTCTGTCTCTCCCTCTCACTGTCTGTAACTCTACCTCTCAAATAAATAAATAAAATCTTCTTTTGAAAAAAATTACACATGATCATGGGGCTGGCATTGTGGCATAATGGGTAAAGGTGTTGCCTGTAATGCCAGCATCCCATATGGGTGCCTATTCATGTCCCGGTTGCTCTACTTCTGATCCAGCTCCCTGCTAATGACCTAGGAAAAACAGCAGGATATGGCTCAAGTACTTGGGTCCCTGCTGCCCATGTGGGAGACCTGGAAGAAGTCTCCTGGCTTCTGCCTGACCCAGACCTGGCCATTGCAGCCAACTAGGGAGTGAACCAACAGATAGAAGATCTCTCTTTCCCTCTCTGTCTGTATCTCTGACTTTCAAATAAATAAATCTTTTTAAAACAATCACATGTGATCTTCATTTGCTGTGACTCTTAAAAAAGGATTACTTATACTCTTTACTTGTTAACTTTATAGATGTCCAGCCTACAGATTATCTCCAAAAGTTTCATATTTCAAGCCCCCTAAGATGGGTAACATGTCTTAATTATTGTCTGGTACGTACCCTCTATCCAACTATGCAGTGATCCTTTTTGACTTCTCACAGATATGGATATGTGTTGATGGTGAGTCTGTCCTATTTTATAACACATTGCTTTATGACTTGCCTTTCTTCTTATTTATGTATTTTTCTCTGCGTGTAACTGATTTATCCACCAACTAGCCATATATATATATGTAAACAAGGATAAATACATATATATATCTATATATAATTTCATTTGGACAAATTGGAGGACACCAGATTTTCAGGCACCCGTCTACTAAGGCAGGCAGATTCCTATACTCTGTAAGAAGTACAGCATCTGGTGAATGAAGCATGTTACAATTTCCATTGAGAATTCTCTCATGCATCAATTTTCTGGAGATAGCTGCTGCCCTCTCAATTAACCCGGAAGTAGGCTTTGATAAAGAATTTATTTTTCCTAGAGGCCAGCTGCGTCCCTGTCCTTTCTCTGACATGGCCCTGGGCCACCAGTGGAGTGTGAGTTGCTGTGGAAAGAGAGCGGCTGCTGCTGGGGCCTACGCCTGGGTGCCTTTGCCATCCGTCCAGTATTGCACGGTTTTATTGCTTTAGATGTTACTCTTACCACAAGGGCTTTTGGGGGTTAGGGCTCATGTCAGCCTCCTATACTCCCAGTACACCTGCATGCTTAGTTGGAAAACTTTCACTCATAGGTGAAACTCATTTCGGCAATCATTAATTCCGCTGTAATTCATTTAGAAACTGCACCGTTTCTATTAATGGAAAAGGAAGCTCAGGAATCAAACAGGGAGGCTCACCTGTGCTGATAACTGCATATGGCTGATAACTGTAAACTCTGTGATTGCACCAATAAAAGGTAATAATTCCCAAGACAACCAGGAAGGGGAGTGGGGAGCAGCTGCGTATTCAGCCCTTGCCATCGTGCCGGCGTTTAGTGGCATTTATGTTGGTGGGAACTAACGTGAGTGCTGATAATGCACTGGGAAATTTTCTCCTAGGCTACATAAGAGGGACTGGAGACGGAGCATTTGTGTCAGTGTGGGGACGTGGGATGTGACTGATGATGGAGCAGAGGATTTCTCCAGACAATTGCTAAGAGTGGCGCGTGCTTCCATGAAGGCTGCAGCACAGCACAATCCTTGTGTGGTCAAAAAGGAATCTGCTTGCCTTCCGGATCCACGGGCTGTGGAAACTGATACTCAGAACAGGCAACCACAGAGACGGCTGAGGCTGTTTGGAGGAGCTTGAGGCTGCCTCTATCATATAGAGGAATGCCCTTTAACCTGACCTGTTCAGTTCTTTCCAAGTCCAGTTCTTCGACATTTGCAGAATACAGCTATTCCTGTAAAGCTGTTGGGGGCATTAATGCCTACACAGTAGTCCCTTGGTATCAGTGGGACAGTGGCTCCAGGAACCCCTGAGCATATCAAAGCCTGCAGAGGCTCAAGTCCCTTGTACCGAATGGTGCAGTATTTGCATAGCACCTGCATACATCCTCCCATGCACACTCAATCATCTCTACATTGCTTGCAATACAATGGACATGGCATGTAAGTAGTTGTTATAGTGCATTATTTACAGAATGATGACAAGAAAACAAGTCTGTACATGTTCCGTGCGGGTGCAGTTTTCTTTCAGTGTAAGGTTGGCTGGATGCAGGGATGGGGAACCTGTAGATATGGAGGGCTGACTGTGTAAGAAACTGCTTAGCAAACCTGAAGCCAAACATGAATAACCCAGGGATCTCCTGCCCTTTTAAAATTTTCATTTGAGACAAATAGGCCCTGGGGGTGCATCATTGTTAAACTCTTCTGTACACTTAGGGTTCTTGCAAAACTGCCAACCCTGAGTGGGTTCTACAGTTTCCCTCTTTAAAAAATTGTCATTAGAAAGCTCCATTTTCTGGTGCTGAAAGTGCTTTTTTTGGTAATCAGGATTCCCGTGGCTGTGCATTGTGTCATTATTTTGGTCTGAGAAGACCTCATTTTCTGTGTTTCCCAGCACACTCTGTAGGGCTTGGAGAAAGCACTGTCCCCATGTAGCTAATGGATGGATTGTGGGCGTGGTCCAAACCATGAGGTGGCTCAGTTACCCACTGTTGTGGATAGTACCTAACACCATATTTCTCCTCAAAAACGAAGGAAGCAAAAACCAATTAATTGGTTTACTCTAACTATAACAGCCTTAATGACTGAGATAGAAATCAAATGCAGATCAACTTGTTACTATTCCTGAAGGATTTTTTCCGCAGTAGTTTAGCATGGGTCATTTTCCTAAAGATGGCGGTGATGATGATGATGAAGGTAATTTCAACAGTTTTGACCTTTTGAAAATTTAAAGCTTATATTAAAAACCTGTCACTAAGGGGCAGGATTATTATGTTTAATAACATTAACAGGAACAAAAAGAATTGAAACGGAGAAATGTCCCAAGATTATTACCTTTTTATCTTTATCAGTCAGCAGCATATGGCAAACTTGGCTTAAATAAAACAACATAGACTTTCATCGTGCAATTCTAACCACATAAATGTGGCTTTGCTGTTTTCTCTCCCAGTCCTCCTCACCCTTGTCAGTGCTGAAGTTGTGGACAGGGAAGAGTGCATTATGTGTGAGCTGGAAGACTGGACTTTTCTCTGCAGGGCCTGTGCGGCTCCTGAGAACCTCTTAGGCCTTGGCGTTGGCCTTTGTGTCTCTATTGTCTTTTATGTTCTCCCCCTGGTGGCTGGGGTGGGTGGGGTCTCTTCTCCTAACTTCTGCATCACTGGACTCGTGTCTCTGGGTCTCGGAGACACTCCTGTCAGTGGAGTGTGCCCCTCCCTTCCAGAGCATGGCACTGCTTCTCTTCCCTGCAGGAGCTTTGCCTTGCCTTTCTGCTGTTAGCAAAGCCTTCTCCAGCGAGAGATTGATGTGCCTGGATGATTTATGGCAGTGGTTGTCAGGGACTTTTGAAGCCCATCCAATTTCAGGATTCGGGTTCTCATTTCTTGTCATTTATGGCACAGTTGATGAATTCTCACTATCAGCCGACATGTTTCATAATTGTCAAAACTTTGATTGAAGTGGTATTTCTGAAAAAAAAAAAAAATTATCAAAGAGGAAAAAAATCAAGGCTCCTTCACCACATTTTTACTTTCCTGTGCCCGTGCCCTAAACTGCTGTGACTGGAGTTTGCAGCCCCATCCTGTATCCTCCCGGCAGCTTGCTGACCTGCCAGTGCCATCTCCTTGTGCTGCTTTGCTTATCTGCGCCTTTTCTGGACCAGATGGTAAAAGCTGTTGACAGTGGCGCCTTGGAGAATGCTTCCCAGCTCTGCCTTCAGCAGTCTCTGGGGTGCATCCGAGTAGTGGGGCGGGAACAGATACAATCAAGCTCCTTCCCTTATCTTCACGGTGGTGTGCTTTGTGTGGTTTGTGCGTTCATTCCACAAGCCAACGGTTTTTTGGCTGCAATGTCAGCTCTCCAGGTCTTTGGCTACTTTGGCAACCTCGAAATCTGCTCTTGTGCCTTGAAGCATTCCTCCTGGTCAAGCCCAGGAAAGTCAGCCAGGGATGGATCTGATCTCTGTATTTGCAGGCTTGTTGTGGTTGTTGCCTGTGCCTGTGCTGCACCCCAGTCCTGTGTGTCTATTTCTTGCAGAGGAAATATCTTACCAACTGTCTCCTTTTCTCTCTACTCTGCCCCTCCCCTCCCCCCGGAAGGATGTGTCCTTCCTCACAAGCAGCCTCCACTCATAGTGCCTTTTGTATCTTCTTGAGATTTTGCCTGTGTAGATGAGGGCACTTCAAAAAGGTTGATGGGAAATCACGTTTAATGATCAATTTACTTTGGTGCAAGAAACTTTTGAAATACATACGTTCAAGGAGTCTTGAAAATGTTCATGAAGGATACACATTATGGAAAAAATACCCTTTAATTCCATTTTCCACAAATGTTTTGAAATGCCCTGCTATACTGTTCACTTTCATACATGCAACGAAACACACACAAGTATACACACACACACCCAGAGATATGGTTTGAACTCAGAAATCTTTACGTTACCACCTATTGAAGACTCACTGACATCTGCTGTCTCCGTTCTGCTGCTTGGATGAAGACATCCTCCTTATCACATTCTGCCAGGACCTGCCTTCTGTGATCAGAGTCTCTAACCCTCCAGCCCAGTGTAGCACCACTGTCTCCACTCTCTCGGTGCTCCACGCCTGCCCTTGCTCTTCCTCAATGGGAGTCTTCCCGGTTTCTTTCGCTACATCCAACACTGTGTTCTCTATTGTATGGGTTCCTAGACTGTTCATTTATAGCATTTATCGCAGTTTGTAAGTTCTTTTTTGTGTGGTTATTTGAATAACATCTTCTCCTCTCTACTAAACTGCAGGTTCCACAAAGAAAACTTGCTCCTTTTTATTTTAGAGGGCATTTTGTCCCGAGAGCTTGTGCATTGTTTGGGATATAGTAGAGTCTCCCGTCGATAATAGATAATACTGGAATGAATGAAACGCAAATGAGGGACTGGCTGGGTGAATGCAGTATAGGAGCTTCCTTGGGTAGGGAGGAAACACTACCTTTTGGACCTGGGAATTTTCTCCTTCTTGTTTCTAACCAGTTCTTAAGAAGCCAGCCACCCTGGAGATGTTGATCATGAAGCTTATATAGGAACTTAGCTTGCAGCATTTCCACTTGTTCACCTTTCTTAATTTGTTTTGTTTCTATGATGGCACATGGTTTTGAAAGATGAGTGTTCCCTGTTTTTATTTTAAAGTTTTGACATCTCTCAATGGAACGTTTAGAAGATAAGGATGTGGGGGTGGGCGGTTGAGAGGAGGGGGAGGTGAGCCACTGCCACTGTAGGCTTGCTGTCCGCTGAAGGTGAGATTCGTGTCCCTGATCATGCTCGTGTTCCCAGCATCTGGCACAGGGTGGGTGCTTAATATGCAGTGTGGGCCGAAATGTGGGGATGCGCAGATATGCAGGAAGAAAAGCCACTGCTAATTCTGGAGCTGACATTATCATTAATGAGCAGCCCTGAGTCTATGTTCAAGTCTTGCTCCTAATCAGCTGCCGGAGATCATGTATGTGTTACTTGCTGCGGCAGCCACTGTTCCAAGTTTGCCATCTCCATTCTCCCTTGAGTGTTAATCTTTGACTCCACAAAAGGAATTAAAAATAGAATTTGGAGTCAGGGCATCAAGATTAATTTTGAAGTATAGTTCTGCATTTGGATGTGGTCCTCATTCTCTTTAAAAATTTGTTTAAAAGGCAGAGAAAGAAGTATCTCCCATACCCTGGTTTGTTCCCCCAGTGTTTGTAGTGGGTAAGGCTGAACCAGGCTAAAGCGAGGAGCTGGAAACTCATCTGGATCGCCCATGTGGGTGTCAGGGACCCAACTCTCTGAGCCATCACCCGCTGCCTCTGAGGATTCACGTCAGTTGGAAGCTGAATCAGAAGCAGAGAAGCCAGGACTCAAACCAGGCTTTTCTTTTTCTTTTTAAAGAGAGAGAAAGAGAGAGAGAGGGAGAGAGAAGTCTTCCATCTGCTGGCTCACTCTTCAGATGGCTGCAGTGGTATGAGCTGAGCTGATCTGAAGCCAGCAGCCAGGAGCTTCTTCTGAGTCTCCCCCTGGATGCAGGGGCCCAAGGACTTAGGCCGTCTTCTGCAACTTTCTCAGGATGTAGCAGAGAGTTGGATTAAAAGTGGAGCAGCCGGGGCCAGTGCCGCGGCTCACTAGGCTAATCCTCCGCCTAGCGGCGCTGGCACACCGGGTTCTAGTCCTGGTTGGGGCGCCGGATTCTGTCCCGGCTGCCCCTCTTCCAGGCCAGCTCTCTGCTGTGGCCAGGGAGTGCAGTGGAGGATGGCCCAGGTGCTTGGGCTCTGCACCCCATGGGAGACCAGGAAAAGCACCTGGCTCCTGGCTCCTGCCATCGGATCAGCGCGGTGCGCCGGCCGCAGCGCCCCGGCCGCGGCGGCCATTGGAGGGTGAACCAACGGCAAAGGAAGACCTTTCTCTCTGTCTCTCTCTCTCACTGTCCACTCTGCCTGTCAAAAAAAAAAAAAAAAAAAAAAAAAAAGTGGAGCAGCCGGGACTTGAACCAGTTCCCATATGGGATGCCAATATTGCAGGCGGCAGCTTTCCCCGCTATGTCACAGCCCCGGCCCCCAAACCAGGCTTTCTGAATGGGCTGCTGGCATCCGAAGCGATAATGTCTTAATGGCTACACCAGTGGCCCATCTCATTCATTTCTGAAGACTGAGGGTTTTGGCTGTGTTTACCACATTGTCCCAGTAGCCTTGGAGCTGAATAGGTCCTCTTTCTGCATCCAAAACATCTGAGGGAGACCAACCATTCCTATTGGAAGCTCCCTTTCTGTGCCAGTGCCCAAGACGGCTTATTTTTGGCTCTTACCCTTTGGTTTGAATGTAGTATCCCTGTACTTCATGACCAGTGGTCAGGAACATTGCTTCTTCCTAAGAATCCTTGAGTTATTTATAATTAGCCCATTGTTTGTATACCGGTGATGTTATTGTATTTGAATTGCTTGCAGATAGTTTAATCTCTTTCAAGTAAATGGTTTCTCCTTGTTTACCTTTTTGTCAGCAAACTTCCTTTTTCCTTAAATACTACAAAAGTAAACTTTACCCCATTTCGTCTTATGAAACGAAATGATTTTGCTCATTTGTGAAACATTTTGAATGCTTACATAACAATTGGTTACATTCCAGAAAATAACTGGGACTTGGCCTTGAAATGTTTTGTAGTGCATGAGTCCATTTATGAAACCAGACGGGAGCTACAGACAAGTACTGTAGCCACCTGTTCTTCTTCTCTTACCTCATTTGTTTGACTTCTGATTTTGCATGAAGTTATCACATGTCAGACTATGCCTGGGTGCTAAAGACTATGCCTTGATGCTATGACTGTTCCAGGGTTCCCAATACTTGGCACTCCCTGCCTTTCCCAGGCCTTTTCTTCTATACACGGTAGGATATACTTCTTTGTGTCATGAGAAGCAGTTGGTTGTTTCCTTTACTCTGCCCAGTTGCATTCCTGAAAATAATAAATCACTGAAATTAATTAAAATACTGAGCAACAGTTAGAGACATTATTGGGTTAATCTTGGGAGTACATAGCTAATGAAGGCACATTAAGAATGCATGTTTGGCCGGAGCAGTGGCTCTGTAGGCTAATTCTCCGCCTTGCGGAGCCGGCACACCGGGTTCTAGTCCCGGTCGGGGCGCCAGATTCTGTCCCGGTTGCCCCTCTTCCAGGCCAGCTCTCTGTTATGGCCCGGGAGTGCAGTGGAGGATGGCCCAGGTCCTTGGGCCCTGCACCCGCATGGGAGACCAGGAGAAGCACCTGGCTCCTGGCTTCGGATCAGCGCGATGCGCCGGCTGCGGCGGCCATTGGAGGGTGAACCAACGACAAAAGGAAGACCTTTCTCTCTCTCACTGTCCACTCTGCCTGTAAAATATTAAAAAAAAAAAGGATGCATGCTTATTTTTATATTCCCCCAAACCTTGCATTATTTTTTCTTCTTGCTCTCCCAGTTATATATAGTGTCAACCTCACTTATACTAACTAGGTTGTTGGTCTTATGGAAGATAATTTGTACCCAATACAAAGGCAGTCACTGAGATTTCACTAATGGCTGTTTACTTGGAGTTTTATGCATCTGGAGGCTAACTGAAATTCTTGGTTTTCAGCCAAGTTTCTTTCTTATTTCATGTGGAAAACTTTTAGTTAAGACCTGGCTGTCTTGCTCTTTGCCTTTGCTAACACAGGTTGATCAGTGCAACTAAAATGATTAAGAGGATGCTGTGGATTTGGGTAAAGAGCAAAAGGATTAGGACTTCAGAGTGGAGAGATGAATGGAGACGTGTGAGATATAGTCCGGGGGAACTTGGACTTGCTCACCAAATCCCAGAACGCTGTAACAAAAGGGCACCTCTTTAAGCTCCTTAGTTCAAAGGAAATGGAATGTCTTTGCCCAGAGGAATAACAAGCAAATAGAACTCACTTTTCTCTGCACCTCTACAGTCTGGAGTCCCAGGCCGTGTGTACAGCAGTGATTTAAGCAGAATCTGATGATGGTTTTGCGAGGTTTCCACACATCCAGACACCAGCCCTAACCTTTGGGTGCGTCATCACACAGTGACATGCCTCTGCTGCATAGAATGTCTTTTGATGCTCTTGTCAGACATAAAGTCTGATGGGAACTGGACTTCTTGTCTGACCTGGGGTGACAATTTTTATGTTTTTAAAATTGGCCATCTTCCAGAGTGTCCATTTTATAGTGCTTCTATCTCAGTACCTGAACTTGTGCAGAGAAGTTTTATTTGAGTCATAAATTTTTAATGTCAAAACCTTCCTGACAATTATTAGCTAAATGTTTAGCCCAGAAGAGAGATTAAATACATAGATCTTATAACTTAGCTACCAAATAACTTGACTCAGAAAAGATTTTCAAGTTGGAAGTAGTTTCATAAGATTTTGGGGCAAGACAGCTGAAGATCTTATATATTAGTAGTCAGAGCAAAACTGTAGTGTAACACATTATCATCTGCCTGCCATATGAAAAATACACTTGTAGGCACTTCTTACCAATTAAAGCCCTCTTCTAATTTTTTTAATAAATGTTCATATTTGCACAATAAATGATTTATAGAGAAATTTTAATGTGTATGTTTTCCACCAACTCTAAAATAACTGAAATTAGAAAGCTTTGAACTTATAAATATTGTTCTAACATATGAAGTGCCCTGGAAGCTCTAAAATGTACAGCAGTTTATCACTGAAAAGTTAAGCTACATTGAAGGATGTAGATTTGGCTTAACTCTGTCATCTCCACGTAGCTCAGTAGTCTGATGTTGAGTAATTTGCTAAATGATTTTTTACATATATCATTTTATTTGATCTGTGCCACTACCCATAAAGTCAGAAGGAGGGCAGATATTATCGTCATTTTATAGCCTAGGAAGCTGTGGTTGAGAGAGGTTAAGTGACTTGTTGGAAGGTCGCTGAAATGGGAAAGGGCTGAAGATCACATGGACACGACGCACAAATTCAGATCTCTTCCCACTGAGCCATGGAAACCCTTGTTGTGATATCGTTTGGTCAGGCACCACCTGAAATAACCTTATACAGTGCTTAATGTTGAAGGGCATATGCTGTGTTTTAATCAAAGAAGACAAAGGCAGTGGGGATTAACTGTACTGGTGATCCCTTTGTTGAATGCTGGGAAGCCATATATTTTAAAAAGCTCTTAATATGTGTCTTTGATCAGATAATTCACTAAGCATTGTCTTATAGAGGATTATCATGGGATCTACAATTTTATTTTTGATACCACAACTCAGATAGTTCTGATTCTACTGGATGCTTTTAAAGCCACAATTATTTTGGACACATGTGAAGAGATTCCAAAAAATTTGTAAAATAATGGAACTAAAAGATGCTTATTTTGGTGCAAAAAAAATTTTTTTTAAACCCCTGATTGATTTTTCCATATTATGTGTTTTCCATGAACCTTTTGCAAACTTCTCATAGTAGGATTTGATTAAAATATAGCAAAAAAGCTAAAAGCAAGGGTGTATAGACAAAAGGCCATGAAGTATCTTTTTCCATACTGCTTATGGTTTATGTGAGTGTAGGAACCAGGCCAGATGGGTTTATGGCATCAGCTGATAATTTCCAAATAGAGTTTATTGAAATCCTCTCTAGGTAAGAATTTTTAAATAGAGATTACTAGTAAAGTCTCAAATTCAGATACTTAGATTCTCTTATAAAACAAAGCAAGTCACTTCTGAAGCTACTGGAAGACCTTTAAAACAATACCTTTCAGTAAAAGTCAAAGAGATATAAGACTGTGAAGAACCCCAGAGGTGATAACCAGGGTTGCCCGACCTTGTTGGATACCTTTTCCGCACTGGCCTGGTCAGGTGTCTGACACCTGGAACTATAAAGCAGTGTTCTTCATGCACTGGATTTATTGCTTTTGGTTAGTCACTGCCTTCTTTAAGGCAGTGTTGCTGGGGCTGAAAAGGGCAGAGTCTGGATCCTGGGCGCTTGAGTTCTCATCCTGCCCCTGCCAGTTCTCCTGACTATGTGAAGGAGATGCGTCCAGTATTTAATACATGGCAAGCGTGTGAGATAGTGCCAGGCACACACAACTTCCTTCTGTTCAGATCATCCAGTTAGAATAGTCGGGCATGATGGGAAAAGAAGACACAAGGCCTTGGAGACTTTAAGGCTTGGTGGAAAGGATTCTGATGAAGATCTCGGCTTCTCTTTCTCGGTCCAGGTGGCGCATGATGAATAGTGACAGGAGATGCATCTTTCCCGCAGTAGAACCTGAACCCACCATTTACCTGTGGTTCTTCCCACAGGTTAATGCTGGGTTACTCATGTTAATGATTATTCCTGTTCTGACAAGCTGCTGTCTGAATCATATTCATTCTCTTTCTCATCTCCGCCCTCCTTTTCTCCTCTGCTTCTCTCTCTCTACTCATATACTTTTTGTTTGTTTGTTTGTTTGAGAACAGCCATTCAGGGCACTACTTAGAGAAATATGTGCTCAAGACTAAAGTCTTTCCTTTGAATCAATTTTTCTGATTCTCCCTCTCCCTGTTACTGCTACACCTTCCTACTACCTAAGTGAAAGAAAAAAGGAATCCATGGAAGTTAGGGATATCAAAGATTTCAGAAACAAAAACTGGGTTTCTAAAGCATTCATACTGTACCGAGTTATTTTGTGTCTATTTCTTTAAGACTTTTTCCTTCCTTTCTCTGCCTCTGGAGCCACCAAGAGCACATTGATCACGTTTTACAGCTTTGCCATGATAGGTGCAGTGGTTGCTTTTTTATTGAACCGTAGATTGCAGCATTATAAAACATACTCATTCAGAGGAGTAATGAAGGCCATTTTTAATTGCACTTGGGAAGCAGGGCCCTCTTATTAAATTATACCTGCATGTGTATTAGAAGGAAAAGAGAGAGAACCGGATTGTGTTCTCCTTGGCAGTCGAGGTTTCCTGGAGCTGCAGTGAATTCAGGGCTGCATGACAAAATTTGGGATTTCAGCCTTTTGGGATTGTGAGTCAGAATTGGCCCAAGTCCTGCGATTAGCCTAGTGCACTTCTAACTGTTGCAAATCAGGCAACCTAGGGGTTGGTAATAACCAGGGTTGTCCACTGGCAGGCACCTCTCTATGACTGAATGGTGCCCCAAGCTTTTGAGTTAAAAATTGTGTGGCTCTGTATTGTATTAGTTTGCTAGGGCTGCCATCACGGGGTCTACAAACATGATGGCTTCTACTGCACATATCTATTGGTGCTTAAGGATGGAAGTTCAAGATCAAGGTGTTGGAAGGGTTGCTTCCATCTGCAGGCTGTTAGAGTCTGTTCCTTTCCTCTCCCAAGCTTCTGGTGCTCAGTAGCGATCCTTAGTATTCCTTGGTTTGTAGAAGCATTACCCTCATCTCTGCCTTCATCTCATGTTTCTTTACCTCCTGTCTGTGTGTGTGTGGGTCCGAATTTCTTTGAAAGGGCACTGATCCTAACTTAACGAATTACATCTGCAGTGATCCTAGTTTCTAAAGAAGATCCATTCAGAGGTACTGATGTTTGGGGCTTCACCATATGAAGATGGGGGGCAAGGGACACAGCTCAACTCGTAACATAACCTCTAGATTTGTCCTTATTGTCATATGCACGGATGATAAGGTTCTGCTATACGTTGCTGAGAATTTCTCAGAAGTGTGGAAATTGGTCATAAAGAAAAAAAAATCCTTATGCAGCAAATAGCACTAATTTCCTTTTTGACATTTCAGGGAAGCTTTCCGCAGAGTGAGATGGCTCTGAGCTGGTGGATGCAAATCCTGTGCGAGAGCTCCTTCCTTTTGTTGCATTTTTCCGAAGATTCTTTTGGCAGCACTGGGCTGAGTCCAGATGCCTTCCGCGTCAGGTGGTTTAAGCATGTGTGTACACGATCGGGCACAGGGTTGTGCGAAGCCAATTACAGTTGGAAACAGTTGCTTAGCTGGCAATTAGCTTCCTCACAATCTCGAATTATGCTGCTTTAAATTAAGATTGTGCAGATTTGAGTTGCTTTGATAATTTGCAAAGGCCATTTTGGGGCAATCACTACAAATGTAATCTTCCAGTTAGGAGGTTTTCTACCTCATACCTGCTTTGTTCATCAGATTGCAAGCTCATCTTAAAGATTTATCCTATGCCTTCTAAACCGAAGGCAGAGTGCTTGCATTCCAACCAGGTGAGGGGCAACACAGAGGCAGAAGCCTGGCTCTTTGTCTACTTCTGACTGCAGCTTTCTTGAGGGCCCACTTCTGGCTTGGTTACTGTTTACTTTAGCGACTCAGGTGAAAACATGCAGCAGATAATCTTGCGTTTTGTAGAAAATCTGAGGTTTTGCAAGAGAATGAACCTCTCAAAAGTGAGTCCTGTTGTTTAAACATGAAGTAGTATTCTCTTATTAACCCAGGCCAGCTGAGACAAGCTTTTTAATTAGCCTACAAAACAGAGGAAAATGCATACGGAAAAGGAGGTAGGGTGTACACAGCAGTCTTGGATGTTTAAAAATCACTCTATGGCTATCAAGATTCAGATTCAAGCAGACAAATGGATAGCAGTATTGTCAGTTCCAGGTGATGGACCTCTTACCTTGATACATCATCACACCAGTGCATCTAGGGGAACAATGTTACACGTTCCCTCTTTTATTGGAAATTGCACAAATGTTCCATGCATATTGGGAGGCTCACAGGTGACCAGGATGCAATTGGATGGTTTTCCACAAAGTGAACACATGTATGTCACCAGCATCCAAATCAAGAAACAATAGTTGCAAGTGCTCAAAAGTTTGTGATTTTGTGATCGCAACTAAATCTTGGGCCTCACCGCTGCCTCCCAACCCCCATGCCTCTCTGCTAGCAGTAAACACATTAACATCGTGGTGTTGTTTATGTTGCACATTAACTTTGTGCGGTTTTCATGCTTCTCCTCTGTTCTGCTGGAGGGTGGGTTTAGCTCCCTTGAGCTGAGCCTTCTGGTTGTTGGTGGGACAGAGAGCAGACGTGGCCTTCAGTGCAGCCAAGCAAGGTCCTCCAGCTCCTGTCTACCTTCTCCCTCTTCCCACGGGCCAGAGCTTCTGTGCTACCTTGAGACCACCAGGGGCTGCTCCTTCACCTCCAGGTGTGTGCCTGTTGCTCACCCCTGGCAGACCCCAGCTCCTTTGGCTCATTGCTACTGTGCTGGTTTCCTGCAGCTGCTGTATGGAAGTGTCACAGATTGGGTGGCTTTAAACCACTGAAATCTCTTCTCTCACTGCCCTGCAGGCTGGAAGTCAGGATCTCGGTGGCAGCAGGGCGGAGCTGCCTTCCACGCCTCTTGCAGGTTCTGGCAGCCCTTGGTGTTCCTTGGCTTTGACAGTGGAACTCCGGCCTCCGCTGTGTACACCTTAACAAGGCGGGGCCGTCTACTCTCTCCATCTGTGCCTCTCTGTGTCTTTGCATGGTGTTTTCTTCTTCATAGGACACCATCATACTGGACTAAGGCTCACCCTACTCGAGGGTGGCATTACAGCACCAAAACTGTCTTCTTTTCCAAATAAGGCCCCACGTTGAGACCTTAGGAATTAGAATTCTGGAGAATCTTTTTGGGAGACTCAATCAGCTCATAACATGCATTCCCCCCTTTTTGGTTCAAACATCTCTCTGAAGTCTTCTGGTGATATTCCTACCCCCAGCATCTGGCTCTGGTGTGCCTCTGGACATTAGAACTCCTCCCATTATAACACTCCCCAGCATTTCCTATAACGATTTCTTTGTATTTACTGCTGGTCTCCTGGCAGAGAGATGTCACAGATAGTTCAGTGCATTTTACAGGCCCCCCCCCCCCCCCAAATTATCAGAAGCCTAACTTTACAGAAAAGTGGACATCTGTGCATTTTGATGTAACTTAAAATACTGCTACCTGAAGTGTTGTCATCATCATCATTTCTTTGGTGATGGGGGAGGACAAGATGCGATACTTCCTGGGTTATTGAGCTCTACCCCTGTCCAGTTTCTGGCATCATGGACACAGTTTCTGAATCCTTGGCTTGAACACCCATGATTGTTGAGCAGATGTGGCATCAGTGCCTTCCAGGAGCGTAAGGAGCTTACCGATGCAGCAGTTTAAAGACTGTTTACTGGCCGTGGTAACATTACTTCTGGATGCCTGTCTTAATTCATTTTAGATTAATCTGTCTTGTAGTTCGAGGGAAAATGAATTGAGTCAGTAGCTTCAAGACTTATGTAAAATCTGTACAGTGCTAAATAATTGAATGGGGTTTTATGTACGGTCTTGAAATTGGAATGTCAATTTGACACAAATGCTCCAAAACAGAGTGTTAGATGAGTTGATGTGTTCCTCACAGAAAAGCTGTGAAAATTCCAGTCCTAGATCACCATTCCCCTCCTTTGCGGACTGTCTCAGGCCTGTTTGTTTTCCTTGAGGGATGCTTCCTCTGGGGGAGGTGTGTCTGCAGGTGTCACTGTTAGGCTTGGGGCTGCAGTTTAAGGGTGCTGGTGACCAGAGTTGAGGGTATGAAGAAGTACCTGGTGAGTTTCTTGTTGCTTCCTGGGCCCCATTCCAGAGTCTCTGACTTGGGAGTTCTGCTGTGGGATGTCCTGCAGAAAAGTCCTTTGGAACTGACATCCTCAGACTACATTTTAAAGAAATATTGGTTGAGGGGATGCCAGGTTTTGTGTGTGTGTGTGTGTGTGAGAGAGAGAGAGAGAGAGAAAGAGAGAGAGAGAGAGAAAGGGGAAATTCAAGACTATTTCTCATGAAGTGCATTTATTGCAGCCACGAAGCTTGAAAATACTTTTGGGTGAGGGAAAGGGCATTTTGCCAATTCAAAGAAAAGAAATTCTTGAGATTTCCCCTAAGACCTGTTGTGGGCGGAAGGCTCTGATTGCTATCTGAAACTAAATTTGAATCTTATGACTAATTCCTATAAGCCCATTCTACAGATGGGAAATATTTGAGGCTCAAAGAGCTAACATTTGTTGAGCACTTAATACATTAAGTAGCATCAGTATTAATAGTTACTTTTATTGTCATCACTGTGTTTATTTCATTTAACCTGGAGAACAGCCCTGTAAAGTATTATCATTGCCTTTTTAGGTATGTAAAGAAAAGAGGTAATTCAAGCAATTCTCGGGGTGGCACATTCAGTTTGTGACCAGCTTTCAAGCATAGGTCTGTTTGATTCTATATCTATGATCTTTTCTAGGGTTGCCAAATAAAATATAGAATCCTCAGATAATTTTTAATTTCAGATAAACAGTATATTTTTAGGATAAACATATTCTATGAACTATTTGAATATGCCAAATAACTAGGGGATATTACTCATACTAAAACCTTCATTGTTTATCTGACATTCATCTTTTTTTATTTTTTATTTATTTATTATTTATTTTTGACATTCATCTTTAACTGGGTGTCCTGTATTTTCATTTGCTAAATCTAGCAGTCCCATACTGATGTGTGGGTCGTGGGTTTTTGAGTTGTAGGCATGTACCCTTCTCACTTCTGACTCCAAGTCCAGCCCTCTTTTCTTAAGCACCATGTCTTGCTCATACCTAACACCAGGTCTCTGCTGTGTTCTTTGGGGTGAGAGTGAGTGGCTTGTCTAACACACACACACACACACACACACACACCGTAGAGACAACACAGCCTAGGCCAGAATAGTGTCTGTTTCACATCAGTGAACACAGACATGGCACAGACTTTCGTACCTACAACATGGATATTTCCATCTGCTTAAAGAGCAAGAGCCTGGCAGTTTGCTTCTGAGTGATAGAAAGAATGAGAGTTCTGCTCTGCTGTGACAAATTTAGGAAAAGGCTTTCATTTTAGGTAAGACTAGTGTCAGAACAGTTAGAGGAAATTAACAAATGGAGCAGCAGAACACCCCACAGTAAAAGTTTTACAAGAAACACACTACTAATTTTTTTGATTAATTGTAAATTGATCACCCATTAGTGCTGGTACAACATACATCATTCTTTCAGGCTGCCCTGGGAGGGTAGTTAATATCATCCCATTATAAAGATGTAGAAGCTGGTAGAGAAGTGATAGATGCAGCCCGAGATCAAACAGCAGTGGTGTGCAGAGCTAGAATTTCAACCAGGTGTGTCTACACCAGAGCTCTGTTTCTGGCGCTCTGAGCTGCTCTTGAGTTTGGAGCCTTCTGCATATGCAATGCCCCTGCACACTGCCTTGTCAGACGATGTGCAGGCTTCAAGGGACCGCAGCCCAAAGGATGTTGTAAACTCTGACCCAGGGCCAGTGCGGAAATCAGGTCTCTACCACAGGTTCCAACAACTTCCTCTATTGAATTGTAAGAATAGCAGCTTCCTAGGAAAGGGGACACTCCTGCGGAGACTTTTGACACCTGTGGCAAACTAGGAAGCCCCAGTGACTTCCTCAGGTTTAGACCTTGACCCTGCAGGGGAAAAAATAAACAGATGACCATCTGTCGTCTTCTGTGTGCAGCAGAAAGCTGTCAGCAGCCTTCTTAACTCTTGATGGTTACAGAATAGCTTTGGGCTTAAAGTTGACATCTGGCATGCACGTCGCTGAAGATTCCTTACTTTGGGCGAGAGCTTGTCAAGACCTCCATCCATGTGCTCTCCTTATTAGTGAATGCCGGTGAAGCGCTTTAAAGGAAGGAAATGTGAGTGGGTAACTCTTGCTCTGTGAGGGGGAGCCCTGAGCTGGAGCGCAGGTCCTTGGAGGAGCCTCCCCTGGGGCTCCTGGACCACCCTCTGCCCTCGCCTCTCAGACCCTGGCGCCAGGGTCAGTGTGTCTCATAGTCTCCGTATTCTCTGTGGGACTCTTGGCTGCCACCATAGTACTCCCATCTAGAGCCAATATAAAAGCAAACTGTTCCTGTTTCCACGTGCTGAATCGGGTTCCTTGAATACAGTGAGATCCAAGGGCAGTGCGGAATTTGTCTCTGAGTGATTGTTGTTTGATGCCATAGAGCACGTCAGAGGGAACTTGATCTTAGGAAAGCCAAATGAAAGCCCTTAGGGGACAGAGAGTGGGAGGGCAGTGCAGGAAGAGAAAGATGTGTAGGACTTGGGAGTCAGACAAAGCAGTAACAATCACCTTCTACATATGTGGCTTTGGGTGAGTTGTCTTAGCTTCTCGGAACTTTGGTTTCCTTAATCTGACACAGCAGTGGTATTGCTAAGGTCAGAGAGTCCCAGGAATTAAGTCAAATATTGCATAAAAGATGCTAGGCCTGGTGACCCATACCCAGGCTTCATTTACTCAACACGGTTTTCCCTCCACATACTCTATTGCAAGGGATCTTCAAAAAGGTCTGGGGCCTTGGGGTTCTGATGCTTTCATCCCACATTCAAGTGCCTGGGTTTCATTTCTGCTTCTGGCGCCTGACTGTGGCTGCTTATCCATGTGGACCCTGGGAAACTGCAGCTGATGGCTCAAGTAGTTGCATTCTTGCCACTCACATGGAAGACCTGGCTCTGGTCCTGGGCTAGTACTGTCCATTTCAGGCATTTGGAGAGTAAATCAGAAGATAGGAGCTCTTGTCCTTCCCCTAACATCTGCATGGGAGACCTGGTTGGAGCTGTAGGCTCCTGGCTTCAGCCTAGCCTAGCCCTGGCCATTTTGACCATTTAGGATGTGAATCAGCAGATGAAAGATCTTTCCCTCTATGCCACTCTTTCAAATACATACAATTAATCCTTTAAAGAAATTAAAGGTTCTTGGGAAATGCATACTGTGAAAAAAACAATATGACTTTCAAAATATTTTAAAAGTTTTATTTATGGATTATTTCAGAAACAGAGAAATCTTCTATCTGCTGGTTCACTCCCCAAGGGCCCACGACAGCAGGCCTGAGCCTGGTTGAAACCAGCAGCCACTCAATCTATCTCCCATGCGGTGGCAGTTCCCAACTATTTGAACCATCACCTGCTGCTTCAGAGTGTGCGTTAGCAGGAAGCTGGATCTGAAGTGCAGTGAGGACTTGAACCCAGGCACTCCAGTATGGAATTTGGTCTTCCCAAGTACCGTCTTTTAATTAATTTATTTATTTTTTATTTATTATATGAAAGGCAGACTTATGCACAGGCAGGAAGAGACAGAGCAGAAAGAGAGCAAGAGAGAGATCTTTCATCCAGTGGCTCACTCCCCGGATGGCCGAAACAGCCAGGGCTGAGTCAGGCTGAAGCCAGGTCCCAGGAGCTTCATCTGGGTCTCCCATGTGGGTCCAGTGGCCAAAGCACTTGGGCCATCCTCTGCTGCTTTCCCAGGCACAAAATTAGCAGAGAGCTGGATCAGCAGTGGAGCACCCAGGACTTGAACTAGCACCCATATGGAATGCCGGCCCTGCAGGTAGCAGCGTTATTAACCCTGTGAACTACAGTGCCACCACCCCACGCCCCAAGTAGCATCTTAACCCCTGTGCCAAATGCCTGTCCCTCAAAAATTTTTGTAGCAAGATAAACTTATCTTTTAATCCCATTTTCCACAAACTTCTTGAATTACCCTTGTATGCTAGACGGAAATGGATTTTAATTCACAGATATTTGATTTCATAGACACATTGTAAAATTAATGCACAGCTATTGCCTGATTCTTGAAATTCATTCATTATTATTTTTTTTTTTTTTTGACAGGCAGAGTGGACAGTGAGAGAGAGACAGAGAGAAAGGTCTTCCTTTGCCATTGGTTCACCCTCCAATGGCCGCCGCGGCCAGCGCACCGCGCTGATCCGATGGCAGGAACCAGGAAATTCATTCATTATTATTCAGAGCAGAAACATTTAGTTGGCACCTACTATGTTCCAGCCACTGCTCAAGCCGTTGGGCATAGAGTATTAGCAAGACAGGCAGGATTCCTGTCACTGTACAGCATTGGTCCTAGGCAGGCACGTGGGTGACAGATAAGTGAACAGAGGGACTGTGCCTTTGATGTCGGGTGCAGTCCCAAAGCGGGCAAGGATCAGGAGTCCAAGGACACTTGGCTGTGGTAGCTGGTGAGGACCTCACTGAGGAGGTGACGTTTGAGCCCAACACTGTTTGTGTTGCACTGGCTTCCCAGCCATAACTGACAAGTATCCACAGCTGCCCAGAGACAGCCTCGCTTGCATGTGCCTTATTGGCCCTGGCTTTGGCTTACTCTGCTCTTCTCTCGCTCCACGGCTGTCCTCCCAGTGTCATCTTACTGAACGGAGTTGAGTTACCCCACCGAAAGCTGTCATTAATCTTGTCCTCCCGTTGGAGTGTTACTGTAAACCTTGGCACCCAGACAGCCTGTCGCAGACGTAGCTTCCAGCAGAAGGAGAAACCGAAGCCCGAGAGAGCGAGATGGGAGCCGAGAGGCCTTACACATTTCATGAGGTGCCTGGAGTCCCTGGCAGCACCGGGGGCCGCTCTGTTGCTGCTGAGAGGCGACGCCGTGGGCCCACGGTGCTGGAAGTGTCCCAGCCCAGTGTGCTGCACCATGTAGACATGCCCCCTGTGGACCTGAATGCTAACACGCCGTGGCATCGTGTCAACGCTTCTCCATCCAAACAGATGAGATGGATTTGGGGAGGCCAGGCAGACATGGTCAAGTGAAATTTACGTTGGATTACTTTGTAAACAGTCACAGTCGGAATTCTTCCCAGCTGGTGGTCGAACTGCTGCTTTTTTCACTTACTTGCTTTGATGCGATATGGGGAGAGGTGAAACGGAGGTTGGTGGGAGAGGGAGGTAAAAAATCTGAAAACATGCATACTTCCTGCTGGCCCTGCCTCCCAAGATCCATCTCCGATAAGCGTGAAAGACATTGGTAGACATGGATTGCTCGAAGTTTCCATCTGAGCTCGGGGATTTGGCTTCACTTGTTCTTCAGCCCCATCTGCAACTCTTGGCCACTTCCTAGAACACGGTTTCTCACCAGCCTCTTCCCTGCCTTGTTTTGCCCTAAATGTTTTTGCTCCAGGCAGGTGTAGACCCAATGTTGGCGGATGCAAATGTTGCACACCATTTTGGAGCCACGGAGTGCTGGCTGGTATCTGGTCTTTGCTGTGCTCCGATTCTTTTTCTCTGTCCTTTTGTTGGCTTTGTTTCTGTGAACTGGAGTCACCCATCTCCGATGGCCTCATTTTCCAGTAACGAAAATGGGAGTAGGTGACCTAGCAGTTCTATTTCTTTCTTCCAGGACTGAGGTAATCTGGGAAATGCAGTTTGGCTGCCAAGAATTTGGCATTTCCTAGACATTCTGGTGGTTGATGAGAACAAGAGAGGAGTGTGTTCAAATCTGAGAGGTGTGTGTTTTTTATTTATTTATTTATTTATTTATTTATTCCTCAAAGTAGCTCAGGAGGTGCTGTTTCCAGAAAGGACTGGCTTATTTCTGATGTCAGTATTGTGATGTGACCTCTGGGGCATCTCCATGGTGATCCATGGGCCACACTCTCTCACATATGTTGGTTTCCAAACCCACATCTTCTGGGATTTCCACATTAATCCTTGCTTCCTTCCCTATTCCCTTTTAAATGTCCTGGATGTCCCACTACTTGGAATTTTTCCTAATGGTATACTCCTATAGGTAAGAGATGACCTATATCATTAACAAAAATCAGAGGCAACACTTGCTTAGCATGTCTTGATTCTAGAAACTAAGGATTTTTATATATTTTCAACACATAGCATTCTTTTTTTTAAGATTTTATTTATTTATTTGAGAGAGGTTTACAGAGAGAGGGAGACAGAAAGGTCTTCCATCCGCTGGCTTACTCCTCAAATAGCTGGAACAGAAGGAGCTGGGTTGATCTGAAGCCAGGAGCCAGGAGCTTCCTGCAGGTCTCCCATGCAGGTGCAGGAGCCCAAGCACCCAGGCCATAGCAAAGAGCTGGATCAGAAGATGAGCAGCTGGGATATGAACTGCCGCCCATATGAGGTGCTGGTACTGCAGATGGAGGCTAAGACTACTATGCCACAGTGCTGCCCTCCCGCTTATCCCCCCCCCCCCCCATTTCTTCTAAAAAGAACAGTGTGAGATAAGACTAATAGTATCTCTATTTCCAGATAGGACCCTGTAAATAGTACGATGCTGTAAAATTTATGTGAAGTTAACTAAAGACAGTTCTTAAATTGCAGCTTTTTTTTAATTAATAAGAAAACACTGAAAAATAACCTAGTTGATGTGTCTAATTAAATACATAATGTTTTCGCTTCCATATTATGGGATATTGTGTGTAGCTTCAGAAAAACAGTATCAAAATTTTAACTTATTAATAAGAAAATTTCCATGTTATATGAAATGAAAGCAAGTGGATCTGTATACAGAGTATAGGAGGGTATTTCAAAAAGTTCATAGAAAGTGGTATTAAAGCATGTTTATTTTCTTGTAGCAATTTTTATGGTCTTTGCATAATTTTTCATAATGTTCATCGTCCATGAACTTTTTGAAGACCCTTCATACTATGCGACAACTGTGAAAGGGGTTAGAGGGAAGATGATTGTGTTTCATAATTTCTAGACCATTACCCAAGAGATTAATGATAGTGATTATCTGTGGTAGGGAGGAGCCATGCGGTAGATGAGAGAGGCAGGTAGAAGGGAGATTTCCTTTCTTTCCATTAATTTATATGTGCATATTTGTTGTGAATCATGTGAATGTACTGTCTATTCATGACTAACAAGATAAATTTAAAATAATAATAATGAACCTCACTGAAGCACTATTATGTGTGAAACATAAACAAACCGGCCCACATCATAGTTTCAGCAACCAGAAACGACAGCAGGCACACACGTTTGTTGATGCAGACACTTTGCACATATGAACTGATCCCAGCAGCCTTGATGTGATCCATGTTCCTAGCTCTCTTTCAGAGAAAGGAAACTGAGGACTGTTGAGCAACAGCACCAGCCTCGAGGTGAGGATGGCCAGCTCAAAAGCTCTCTGCCACTTTCTGCCTTGTCCCTGGATTCACTGTGCCCGTCATTGGGCAAATTAGATCCAATCAACCTGATCAAATTACAAATTATATTCTTACCTTATAAATTTGCCATGTTTTTTTTAAACAAATGTGTCTCTGTAGTTATGTTTTTCTTTGTTTCTTTGAAACTTTAATTTTAAACTACAACTGAAGGCTGGTGCTGCGGCTCAGTAGGCTAATCCTCTGCCTGTGGCGCCGGCACACTGGTTTCTAGTCCCAGTTGGGGCTCCAGATTCTGTCCCAGTTGCTCCTCTTCCAGTCCAGCTCTCTGCTGTGGCCCAGGAAGGCAGTGGAGGATGGCCCAAGTGCTTGGGCCCTGCACCCGCATGGGAGACCAGGAGAAGCACCTGGCTCTTGGCTTCGGATCAGTGTGGTGCGTCGGCCGCAGTGGCCATTGGGGGGTGAACCAATGGAAAAGGCAGGCCTTTCTCTCTCTCTCACTGTCTAACTCTGCCTGTCAAAAAAAATAAAAAATAAAAAATAAAAAAACAACTACAACTGAGGCACCCTTGGAGTAGATTTGTGCTCTAGACTTTTTGGGCAAGATTCAGAATCTTGGACAAAATTATATCCTAACCTGGGGTTGTACAGTGTCTTTTTTTTTTAAAAAAAAATTATTTATTTATTTTAAAGGCAGAGTTACAGAGAGTCTGAGACAGAGAGAGAGAGAGAGAGAGAGAGAGAGAGAGAGAGAGAGAGAGAAAGAGAGAAAGAGAGAGAAAGAGGTCTTCCATCCACTGGTTCACTCCCCAGATGGCCACAATGGCTAGAGCTTGTCAATCTGAAGCCAGGAGTCAGGAGATTCCTCTGGGTCTCCCATATGGGTGCAGGGGCCCAAGGACTTGGGCCATCTTCCACTGCCTCCTCAGGCCACAGTAGAGAGCTGGATTGGAAGTGGAGCAGCCGGGACTCGAACTAGTGCCCATATGGGATGCTGGCACTGCAGGCGGTGGCTTTACCTGCTACGCCACAGTGCCAGCCCCATACATTGGCTTTTCAAAGTTTGTGAAGCTCTAAGGAACTGTTGGCAGGCTTGTGTGTGTATTGATTTGCATGGGGTCATTTTGCTTGGATGGACGCCCCTGGTTTTCACAAAGATACCAGAAACTGAAGACCTCTTTTCTTCCTTAGAAGAGGTCATTGTCATCCTCACAAGGATGCAATAGTTCTTATGATAGACATGTTTTCCTTGACCATTACAATTTTTTTTAAGAAATTGAATTAATTGCCAATAATACAATTGGAAGGTTTCACATAAAAATCTAGATTCTGTAAGTAAGAAAGAAAAATTGAAAGATTTGTCAGCCCTTGGTTGTATTTCTACATGGTAGCTGTGTTTGGGAGAGAAGTGTGGGGCCAAGTCCCTTTAGGGTTTGTCTCAGGCCACTCAGCAGGAGTTGCCACATGCTGTAGTCTAAATGGCATTGGCTTAGGTTCAGAAGTGGGTTCTGGTCTCTTTTCTCCCTACAGCGACTCTGAACATGCATAAGTTTCACAGGTGACGAAAGTGAGACTCACAGGACGGCATCAGCTCAAGTTGTACGTTGAAGCGATTTAGAATAACATGAAAACTGAACTCCTGTTACCTGACTTCATTCTAATACCCTTTCCACTGTACTGCAGTTGTCTTCCACTTCATTTGAATTTCATAACATGACGAATGACAATCCAAGTATTATATCCGTTTTACAGATGAGCAAGCCAAGACTTGGGTTAACTCTGAAAATGGAGGTGACTTTACTAGAATCCCGAAAGGCCAGAGCTAGTAATATCTAGTCTTGGATTTTCTGACTCCAGACACTAAGCCCTTTCAGTTGTACTCAGAAACTTCAGAGACTTCCATGAATTCTGAGACTCTTTGTAGCTGTTAATGATTCTAACATGTTTGATTGCAACAGAAGCAGGAGAGGTGAAGGGGTCCCCGTTGTTGATGAGAATCGGTAGCAAGTTGCCGAGGTCAACCAGACAACTTGTAAAAGGAGACCTGCCTTGTACAGAGCCCTCCTGGTGTGAGCGCTGTGCAGTCTAAGCTACCAAGGAGTAGAGATGTTCTGAGGAATTACAAAAAACTCTCCAGAGTCCTGTAAACCTAGCTGGACATCCCTGAAAGGATTTAACCCCTGTGTACAGGCCACATACCTGTTACTATTACTTTGACTGTTGTTCCCTAGAGTGCGCTGTTGTATGCTGTGACTCACAGGTGGCTGCTTGATGGGACCTTTCGTATTCGGGGCCTACTGATGGGAGCCATATATTAGTGACCTAATTTGTAAGGTTGAATGTTGTCTATAGTGAATGAAGAAACATAAGGTGTGCTGTTTTCTTGGATGGCCTTTTCCTGTTGAAGAATTGGAAGCCATTCTACCATCTTCACTCACACGTGATGTAGGAGGAAATGTGCAGAGAGAGCCTGTGATCTTAAAAGACAGTTGGGTGGTGGTGAGAGCTCTGGGCTGCGAGCTAGTCCATCAGATTTAATTGTTGGCTTTATCCTTTCCAATTTGCATGACCTTAGATTATTTGCAGGTTGCCTCCCTTTCTCCCTCGATTAAAATGGGAAGAATAGAAAAAACTCAGGTTCCAGCGACAGTCAACATATGTCTTAGGACATACAAAACGGTGCCAGTGTGTTAGCTGCTGCTGTACTGCTGTTTTTATCATTGTTAAGATGCCCATTCTGTGTCAAATAGAGCTTGGTCCCGAGAGCTAAGGAACTGGGGACCCAGGCAGCAAAGCTGTAAGTATATATCCTTAGAGGTTAACAGTCATCACTACCAGTATCAGAGCTGCAGACACCCTGGGCTCCCCTTCAGTCACAAGGAGCATTGCTAACACTTGATGGTCTTGAAGTTGGCCCAGCCCCTTCACACAAACCCTCGCTGGCCAGGGTTAGGGGGAGGAACGGGAGCTTTGAGCCTCGAGTCCTGACCTCCGCTGCCAGCCTTCTTGGTCTCTGGGCTCTGTCTTCCCCACACCCATGTAAAAGTGGGTCGACAATATCTTCTCCCAAGATTGCTGGGAGGAGCAAATAGATATTGGCTTGTAAATGTTCTGCAGAATGTGGTGGCCCAGTGAGTGCTCAGTAAGTGTCCATGGCTCTCAGTACGCTTGGGAGTGAAAAAAGTCTAGCTTAAGATCCTGAACATGAATATCTTTCACGCTAGCTCCTTAAACAAAATTGTTGCCCAAGATCCTCAGCCTGTTTGAAGACCCATAATGCCATTTGTGTATTGCCTGAAGAATGTGGGTGAACTAATTGCATCCAGGCAGGGGTTGATTTGCTTGAGATTAAATCCAAAGGAATTTCCTGGGTTTGTGATGTAAGGGAAGCTTTCAAGTGCTGGTTAGAATTCTCAGGACACTAACCCCCAGATGCAGAGCCCAGACCACTGAGATGCAAGTGACAGACGGGGTTGGCAGTGGAAGTGAGCTTCCTCCCTGTTCAGTGTCCCCCTTTAATGACTGGAAGGTGTGGTGTGGCCCTGCTCTTCTCCCCAGCCATAAGGCTTCATTTTTTCCTATCTTCTGCCTACCCTCTCTTGCCTGCATTTGCCCTGTCATTCAGTAAGTATTTACCTGGCTCCTAAACATTTATCTAGGGGCTAAATGTGTCAGGTTCTGGAAATGCAGTGGTAAAACATGCATGCATACACATACACACTTGCACATGCACCCCCCCATGCACACACATACGCACTTGCACATGTTACCCCCCCCCCCCATGCACACAGACGTGGACACACAAGTACGTGAGTCCCTGTCTTTGCAAAGTATACCTTATAGTTTGAGGAAGACAGGAAATTTACAAAGTAAGAAATAAAGCATGTTTAGTCTCTTTAGCATTGTTGTGGGTTTCCATATATTTTTTTTTTCTGACTGCTATTTGAGACTTGTGTATTCTGTTCCTATTCTTTGAGGGACTCCTAGCTTAATTGCTTAAACTTAAAAACCCCTTCAAATTATATTCAGACTGCCACTTACAAGGCCTTAGTTGTCCCATACTGTCACATTTAGGGATTATGGTTTCATCTGCCATTCACTACAAGTTTTGTAAATAGGAATGGACTTTTAGCCCACATTGTAGTTATCTGGATTTGATTCCCAGCTCTGGCACCTGACTCCAGGTTTTGCTAATGTGGACCATGGGAGGTAGCAGGCGGTGGCTCAGGAAATTGGCTTCTTGCCACCCACGTGGGAGACCTGCATTGAGTTTCTGGCTTTAGGTTTCCTGTCTGTCCCAGTCCTGTCCATTGCAGTCATTTGAAAAGTGAACCAGTAGATGGGATATCGCTCTTGGTCTCTCTCTTTCTCATCCTGTCTCTCAAATAATAATAATAATAATGATAATGATAATAATATATTTGTAAGCATTTTATAATTTGATGGTTATCTGGCTTTCTGTTAATTGTGCTTTTAAAGGGAAGAATATAGTTAATATAAGAAATGTGAAAAGTACCTAACTTAAGGTTTATACAAAATAAAGGGTGCTTTTTACTTCCACCAGTTGTCAAATAAGTCCTGTTATTCTGCAGGATTTTTCTTTAGAAATTAGGATATAGTGGGTTGGCGTGTTTGATATGGAGCAGTATTTATATTGTATCCAAAGTGGGCAAAATTTACATTTTGAACTAGAACATGTAGATCTGATTTTGGGGCAAATCAAATAGGCTGGCAATGAAATTTTAAGAAGTCTATAAAGTATTTTTAAGTTTATTGGAAAAATCTCTGACCTTGCTATACATCTTGCAGGCTTGTAAAGGGTGCTTTTCTTTCTTTTTTTTTTATTTTTCATTTTGAATTTTGACTAAAAGTCTAGATTCTTGTAAACATTGTGTAAGAGTTCTAATGGGACCTAGGAATTCTCAAAATCTTAATTCTTAGTGGCTTCATGCAACTTTAACAAACACTGGGAAACCTACACATTTTTTAAAAAAGATTTTCTTTATTTATTTGAGAGTTAGAGTTACAGACAGTGAGAGGGAGAGACAGAGAGAAAGGTCTTCCTTCTGTTGGTTCACTCCCCAAATGGCTGCAACGGCTGGAGCTGAACCAATCTGAAGCCAGGAGACAGGTGCTTCTCCTGGTCTCCCACGTGGGTGCAGGGGCCCAAGGACTTGGGCCACCTTCTACTGCTCTCCCAGGCCACAGCAGAGAGCTGGATTGGAAGAGGAGCAGCGGGGACTAGAACCAGTGGGCCTTCAGAGGCCAGTACCTGCCCATGCAGATACTGGGAGCCAGGAGCTCAATTCAGATTCCCCACAAGGATGGCAGCCACCCAACTGCTTGAGCCATCGCTGCTGCCTCTCAGGGTCTGCACTGGCAGGAACCTGGAACCTGGAGCTGAGAATGAAGCCCTGGCACACTGACACAGAACCTGGGGGTCTGAGCTGCTTGGCCAAGGACCCTGCCTATAAGCTGAGCTCTAAAATAGTTCAGCATGTCCCATCACTTTGCCTTCATTAAATTTTTCTTCTTTATTACTAACGTGATGAACATTATTTAGAAATATTATTACATCTTAGTTGTATTATTTTTATTTTGTATATATTTATAACGTACATTTTTATCTAGTAGAGTAGTGCATGTATATTACCTAAAACTAAGCCTGTATGTAGGAGCTGCGTGGTCGAACTCCATTTTTGAATGATGGGTGAGTGTACAGTGGAGAATTTAGAAGACCACAGAATGAGATATCTTCCTGTGACAAGGGCCTCCCAGGAACAGGCTCATTGTGTGTTTTATTTATTTATTTTAAGATTTATTTATCTGTTTGAAAGGCAGAGTTACAGAGAGAGCACAAGACACACACACACACACACACACATATACACATGCAGAGAGAGAGAGATCTCCTACGCACTGGTTCATTCCCCAAGTGGCCTCAATGGCCAGGGCTGAGCCAGGCCAAAGCCAGGAGCCTGGAGCCAGGAGCTTCTTCTAGATCTCCCACATGAGTGCAGGGGCCCTACTTGGGTCATCCTCTGCTGCTTTTCCAGGCCATTAGCAGGGAGCTGGATCGGAAATGGAGCAGCTCGGACTTGAATTGGCACCCTGTGGGATGCTGGTGCCACAGGCAAAGGCTTTACCCACTACACCACAATGCCGGCTCCTATTTTAGAAGTTTAACGAATTAAACACATTTGGATTACTAAATGAAGAAAACATGCAGGACAATGGGGAATTACTTCTCCTTAATCCACCCTTTCACTTCCTTGTCTCCAGGATGTGTTGGACCCCCAGTTTTAATTGTATAGGGACCTTCAAAAGGTCATAGACAGTATATATAATGAAAACACCAGCCGGCGCCATGGCTCACTAGGCTAATCCTCTGCCTGCGGTGCCGGCACCCCGGGTTCTAGTCCCGGTTGGGGTGCCAGATTCTGTCCCAGTTGCTCCTCTTCCAGTCCAGCTCTCTGCTGTGGCCTGGGAGTGCAGTAGAGGATGGCCCAGGTCCTTGGGCCCTGCACCCGCATGGGAGACCAGGAGGAAGCACCTGGCTCCTGGCTTCAGATCGGTGCAGTGTGCTAGCCGCGGCGCGCTGGCCATAGCAGCCACTTGGAGGGTGCACCAATGGAAAAAGAAAGACCTTTCTCTCTCTAACTTTGCCTGTCCAAAAAAAAAAAAAAAAAAAAAAAAAAGGATGGTTTTCAATTTTTTTTTTTTACTGAAATGGACTTATCTTTAGAGATTTTGCTACCTTTATAAGTACAGTCACTTTCTTTGTGTTTGTAGAACTGTGGTCTCTTTCCCTTCCTGTCTCTAAAAAGATAAGCATCTGACGGTGACATCCATGATGTGATGATTTGTCAAGTGTGCTATTTCCAGTTGCAGTTACTAGGAACTGCACGAAGGCATTGGAAAATGGCACTTGGCCTGTGCTCTGCTCTATTCAGATTGGCTGTTTTCCAAGGCCCCGTAAGATCAATGATGCATGGAGTGCTAAAGGGCAGCTGCAGGGTCAGGCATATTTACTGCTTGCTGGGGCATGTTATTGACCAATAAGAAGTTAAACAGTGCCTAGCTCTCCTAGCGAAGCCGGTGCCTCTTCGGCAGGAAGACGCGAGATCACCTCGGGCAACATCCGTTTACACAGACAGACGTGTACAGCGGAACCCAGGCTTGCAAGCTCCAGGCAGCTCGTGTGTCTCCAAGAATTCCACTCTATCTGGGGGCGGTCGCGAAGTTCTGCCGCACCTCCGTGGTGGCGTGTGTGGTTTGCCTCTGCCTTCAAGGCAGACAGGGATCATTTCATTTTGAAACCTCTGACCCAAGGTCACTGCAAGGTTTGTCTAGGTGACATGTACTGGCTCATGTTTCTCATGCTAATTGCCTCCATCTTTCCCTGTGTCCCTTCTCTCCTTCCTTCTTTAGGGCCATTAGGGTCTATCCTAAAGGCCCTTGTGGTTTAAAAACTAGGTCCCCACTCCCTATGAGATAGCCCTTTCATTTTTGTTTCTTGCATTGAGGATTACATTTGTGTGAGCTTCCTAAAAAGCAAGAATCATGTGTTTCTCTAACCTCTGCCTTGTAGTGGAAATTTTTGTCATGTTAGATGGTTTGTGTTTTGGGAAGGCGTAGATCTGAATATCCCTAGCACTTCAAAAGAGTGTCTAACGCTGAAGTGTATTTAGGAGTCCATTATTTCATCACATTTAATACAGCCACAAAGATGATAAATACAGCATGTGCCTGAGGTACAGTCTCCATGAAGCTTTGTACTTTCTGCTATTCCAGTCTCTATAGAATCAAAGTGTAGGAGTTAAATTGTGTGGTATCTCATATAGATTTATCCAGAATCATCTCTCTTTAAAATCTGATTCAAATATTGACTGTTACTTAGGCATTACTTAACTGCTTTTTACTGGTTTAGGCAGTGGGAAATGTTTTGTGCAGAATTTGGCTGTTTTCAGACCTAAGTAAGCTATTGCATTGTTTCTAAATGATTCTATTAAATACTAAATTAAATCAACCAGCATCATAAATGATGGTGCTGTGTAGTTATTGCTGGGTTTTCACATTCTCCTTTGAAACCCAGTTGGCTTTCGATATGCCAAACTCTCCAGAATTTCTGAAAGGAAGAGGAAGAGTGAATTAATGTCTCCCATGGCCTGCTCTGTCCCTGCCGTTGTGTTATACATAACTTATACTCCTTCTTTTCTTGGAACTCCTGTGTGTTCCTGGCATTACCTTCCTTTTATAAGGAGAGAAAGATGAGCTAGCTTGGGCGAGGCCACTCCTCTGTTAGGGAGTCTTTGAGCTAGAATTAGAATGTAGCGCTGACTTCTGTGCCTATAATTTTCCTGCTTCTGTTTCACTAAAGTGGACTCCTTCAGGTTCATTTGGTATTGCGAGTTTGCCTTTGGTAACAAGTACCCAGGAGCACCTGTAATACAGCTCTTGTATATTTGTATGATGGGCACAGAACTCTTTGATATTTACACTTTCTTGTCCTCAAGGTTAGCTTGAATCCACTGACGGAAACAATGTCCTCTTTAAAAATGCAGAGTTTTGGCCGGCGCCGCGGCTCAATAGGCTAATCCTCCGCCTTGCGGTGCCAGCACACTGGGTTCTAGTCCCGGTCGGGGTGCTGGATTCTGTCCCGGTTGCCCCTCTTCCAGGCCAGCTCTCTGCTGTGGCCAGGGAGTGCAGTGGAGGATGGCCCAAGTGCTTGGGCCCTGCACCCCACGGGAGACCAGGAGAAGCACCTGGCTCCTGCCTTCGGATCAGCGCGGTGCACCGGCCGCAGCATGCCTGCTGCGGCGGCCATTGGAGGGTGAACCAACGACAAAGGAAGACCTTTCTCTCAGTCTCTCTCTCTCTCTCTCACTGTCCACTCTGCCTGTCCCCCCCCCCCAAAAAAAAAAGAAAAAAGAAAAAAGAAAAAAGTCAGAGTTTCCCAAATGCAGGAATAGCAGGGGATTCCCTGTCTCACTGAAGACCCTTTGCAGAAGTATGAAACTGGTGATCACATGGGCAAGCATTTGGCGGTAATTGAAAAAGAAAAAAGGGTGCGTGTTCTTCCCTTCAATCATGTGAGGACCCAGCAAGCAGGTGCCATCTGTGAAACAGAGAGCGAGCCCTCACCAGAAACCAAATCTGTTGCTGCCTTGATCTTGACTTCCAAGTTTCCAGAACTGTGAGCTGTACATTTCTGTTGTTTATCAGTTACCTGGTCTGTGATATTTTGTTATAGCAGCCTGAATGGACTAAGACACCATCTAAGCAAATTGATTACCCTTCAATTAAAAAAAAATTTTTACTTTTTTAAAGGAAGATTTTAAAAGATTCTTTTTTATTTTGTTTATTTGAAAAGCAGGGCCGGCGCCTTTGCTCATTAGGCTAATCCTCCACCTGCGGCACCGGCACCCAGGTTCTAGTCCTGGTTGGGGTGCTGGATTCTGTCCCAGTTGCTCCTCTTCCACTCCAGCTCTCTGCTGTGGCCCGGGAAGGCAGTGGAGGATGGCCCAAGTGCTTGGGCCCCTGTACCAGCATGGGAGACCAGGAGGAAGCACCTGGCTCCTGGCTTTGGATCAGCTCGGTGCGCTGGCAGTGGCGGCCATTTGGGGGGTGAACCAACGGAAAAAGGAAGACCTTTCTCTCTGTCTCTCTCTCTCTCACTGTCTAATTCTGCCTGTTTAAAAAAAAAAAAAAAAAAAAAAGCATGTTCACTCTCTCAAATACCTGGAGTCACTGAGACTGTGGGCTGGGCTGAAGCCAGAAGCATGGAGTTCAGCCCAGATCTCCCACCTGGGTCACAGGGATCCAACCACTTGAGCTGTCACTTACTGCCCTCTAGGGTGTGCGTTAGCAAGAACCTGGAATGGAGAGTAGAGGCAGGACTTGAATGCAAACACTGCAGTGTGGTCAGCAGGCTTCCCAAGTGGTAGCTTAATCCCTGAGCCACACACCTGGCCATTTCCCTTTTTACTTAGGAATGGTCTTCAAAAAGTCCATAGAGCGTGTATATTATGGACAAATATGCATGGATTCCCCAAATAGTTTATACCAAAATAAGCTTATGTTTTAATTCTGTCTTCCACCACTTTTGAACTACCTTTATGTAAGTCAGTTTAACAGTTTGTTCATGTTTCTTCTTCCTTGATCTCCTCCCCAAAGCAGTTTCTATTTGACTTTGTGACATTAACTACTTGTTCTTTAGCCTATATTAAGAGCTGCCAAATTATGGCCCATGGGCTATATGTGACCCTTACAAAAAAAAAAAAAGAATTGTTAACTTTGGCCTATATTAATGATTTTGGCTTTATTGTGTGTATGCATTTATTTTAAGCAACTACCAATCCTTCCTGAAAGTAGGTGGGGGTAGAAATCTAAATCTGTATCTATCATTTTATCCCAGTTGGTCATGTTGAAAGTTTGGAATTATGCCCATCCTAGTTTTTATAGCAATTTGTGAAAAACAGACAGACATAGCATGATGACCATACCATACAGCAAAGGGCTAATTATTGCCCAGCTTCTGATGTCACCACTTACATCATACAGACGAGCAGACATGGACTCTCCCTCTCCCCTAATGAGTGAGCTTCATTGCAGTTGAGGATTTGGAGTGCGGTGCCCTTTCCTTCACGTGGCATTTGCTGCTTATTGATTGCCCAGGCACAAGGAGGTGCAAGTGTGACACAGAGGAATGACTGACAAGTTTGTGCAAGGACAGATAAGATCACAGAGAAGTTGTCTAGAATAAAAGTCGTGCTCTGTTGGCCTGCACCTGCAAAGGTACTGGTGGAAATTTTAGCTGCTTCTCCTATAAGATGTTAACTGCTTGGCCCATAATGAGCCAAGAGGCAGTGACATAGATGGAGTGTTCAATTGTGTTGTTATAGGCCTCTTTACCAGGCCTGTTTACCCTTTACCTGTTGCTTTTCTTTTCTTCTCTCCCGTCTTGCTTTAAGAAATACAAGAATAATATAGTTTTGCAAGAGGTCTAAGATATTCTAATATCAAAGATTTTTTTTTCCAGTTGCTGTGGATGCATCACAAATTACTCCAGAATTTACTGGCATAAACAGCAGCTTATTAAGCTGATGGATACTGGTCGGGGGTGTCAAGCTACGGAAAGGGCAGAGCACAAACGATTTGCCTTTGCTTCCTCGTGGATGGGGCCTCAGCTGAGGAGCTCAAAGACTGGGGCTTGAAATTATCTGAAACAGAGCTGTCTAATAGGACTTCCCGTGATGCTGAAAATATTCCAGAGTGGTGCCCCCTTATCCACATGGGGTACATTCCAAGACTCCCAGTGGATATCTGAAACCTAGAACCAAGCCATTTACTCCTATACTTAATAGTATATTATTTATTTATTTTTTAAAATTTTGTTTGGAAATCAGAGTTCCAGGGAGAAAGGAGAGACTGATAGATATTCCAATGGCTGGTTCACTCCCCAGGAGACAGGAGAGACAGAGAGATATTCCATTGGCTCGTTCACTCCCCAGATGGCTGCCTTGGCTGGGGCTGGGTCAGGCCAAAGCCAAGAGCTTCCCACGTGAGCTGCAGGGACCCAAACACTTGGGACATCTTCTGCTGCTTTTTCCAGGCATTAGCAAGGGAGCTGTATCGGAAGTGGACCAGAGGCTGGCGCTGTGGCATAGTGGGTAAAGCCACTGCCTGCAGTGCCAGCAATCCTGTATGGGTGCTGGTTTGAGTCCCGGCTGATCTACTTCCAATTTAGCTCTCTGCTATGGCCTGGGAAAGCAGTGAAAGATGGCCTAAGTCCTTGGGCCCCTGCACCCATGTGGGAGACCTGGAAGAAGCTCCTGACTCTTGGCTTCTGCTTGGCATAGCTTCCTTCAGCCATTGTGGCCAATTGGGGAGCGAACCAGCGGATGGAAGACCTCTCTCTCTCTGCCTCTCCTTCTTTCACTGTGTAACTCTGACTTTCAAATAAATAAATAAATCTTAAAAAAGAAAAAGAAGTGGACCAGCTGGGACTTGAACTGGCTTCCACATGCAATGCTGGTGTCTCAGGTCATGGCTTTACCTGTTGTGCCACAAGTATGCCACAATGCTGGCCCCACTGTGTTTTTTCTTATATGTATACACCTATGATAAAATTTAATATATACTAGGCAAAATAATAATAGATAAACAATAACTGATAACGTAGAACAGGTTACATGGGGAGGTACGGCAATTGGTGGTAAGGGTGGCTGTCTCCAAGACCTATAATATCTATCATGATAATAGGCTGGCAGTAGATAAGGGCCCGTTAGTTTAGACACATAGTCTCTGAAGAAACAACAGGACAACTGGATCTTAACTTTGCACAGGAGTGGCTAAGGTATTTACCAAAGAAAAGTTATTTAGGCAAAAAGTGAACATTTATGAAGGAACTTTAAAAAAGTCACATAAATTGCATATTATGAGAAGAACTGAGTGTGGATTTAAAAGTTTTTTGCATTAAGGTAAACTTGCCTTTTACAACCTTATAGAAGTACCTCCATACAAAGGCAGAAAAGGGGGAATAGCTAGGCTTTCACTGGACACGACTCAGCCCTGCGGTGTCAGGGGAAAAAAGAGTGTACAGCTGCCCCGTCAAAGCATAGCCTTCCTATGATTATATGTCCCACTGGCACCATGCGCCCTGAGAACCAGGCACATACTCGGCAGGTAGCCCATCCAGAAAAATCCATAGCCCAAGGGGGTATCATTGATAAATGACAGACAAGTTGCCTGTCAGCAGGAAGCGTGGATTGGATTAGAGGATCCTGGGACCACGCTGACTTTTCTAAAGAAGATCTGCCTCCAAGAGGACCAAAGATGCCTGAACACAGGATCAGCATTGAAAACAAATATTGATTGGACCCTGCTGGGGAGCTGAGCCAGAGTGGGTTAGAATCTGATATCAGACAGTGCTGGGTGTGGAAAACCATTAACTGTGTTGATTGACCAGAATGAAAGCTCCATTTATTTTTAAGATCTCAAAAATGAGCCTGAAATACTCGAGTGTGTAGAAGGACAGAATTGACGGTGAGAATTCAAGACTGGGCAAAGGCATCTGTCCCAGGTGGCTGCTGCTACTCTGGGCACTGGTCTTGGGAGAGTCTTCCATATCAGCTATTCTGCAAAGCGTTTTCCGGACCCATGACCGATTCTTAATGCTGTGCAAAATCCGCTTAATTGAAAGTGGATGTCCAAACAGCTGATGTTCTGTGGTTTTCAGATTTGGGATTCAGACCGTCTGCTGGGTGTTCTTATTACACTGGTAGAAAAATACTCTGGCTGAGTCTGATTGCATCTGACTGTTGACTGAGCTAGAAATATTTCTGTCACTGCCAGATGTGTAAGATACTGTAAAAGGAGCTTTTTCTCTAGCAAATGAGATTCGCTAGCTCTGTGGATCTAGATTGACTGAAGCAGCTCGCTGCTCCGTGGCTAAGGCTCGATTTGGTTCAGTCATTGCTTTGAAACACAGGCATTCAGGAATCTGATCTAGAGTCCTTTCAGGGAAGATTTTCAAAATCTGCCACTTTTATTTTTAAACCTATGATTTGTTTGTCCTTCGCTATCAGCACTTGGCAATAGAATTTTTTGGGATAATGAAATGCGCTCAATGTGCCTGGTAACCATGAACCAGATAGGAACGTTGAGTCCTTGAAATGTAGCTAGTGCAAATGAGGGCTGCATGTTTAACCTGACTCACACTGACATAGCCCTGTGTGACTGGTGCCTACCCCTTGGATCAGCACCGTTCCAGGAGCTGCTTTAGAGATGGTATTTGCTGAGAAGAGGGTAAGAACTGTGCTAACTCCCTAACTTTTCAGCAGTATCTTAACTTGGGGTTTCTTCGAGAACAAATCTCTGGAAAGAAGTAATGGCTGGAGGTGCAGAATAAGGATTGAGATGGAGCATTGAGAAAGGGTCCAGTTCAGCTATAAAATCTGGCTTTTTTTTTTTTTTTTTTTTTTGCTTTGTTCATTTTCCTAAAACATGTTCCACAAAACAACTAGGGCATTGCTAGTGGTCCCATAACCAGAGAAGTTTGGGGAAGGCCAAGTTACTTTCACTTAAGCAGATTTCCTTTCTGAAGCTTTTCCCAGACTTAAATATATTGCTGCAAGTTGTGAGTGTCCCTTAGGGGCTATTTGTGGTATCGGTGCTAAATATATTTTGTTTGATCAGAGCCCCTTTTCTTTTTCTGGTGTTATGTTATGATACATATGCAATGAGTCTCTCTGCCACGGTAAAAGAGAAACATGAGGTATATTATGGATGCTGTGTCCCTCTTCTGAGCTTATACTTGTGATTTGACTCTGATCATTCCATCACTGTGTTTGCCTTATTGGTTGACTCTTTGAGAAGCACATATCCACGTTGGCCTGGCTACGTTGCACATCCCTCTAGGCCGGGTATCGAAGTGGATTTGAAGAGTTTTAGTAGCCCTTTTAGCCCAGGCTGTAACGTCTGGCACCAAAGCCTGGACATAGCCATTTCTTCTTTCTCTCCTGGGACGAGGGAATACTTTGTACCTATACTACTGCTGTGCCACTGTGGTTGACTTTCTGAGAGGTTCAGTTTAGTTCTTGTAGTTGGAGAAATGCAATCCATCCATGATTGATTCTCTCCATCCTTCTCCCTCCCTTCCTTCTCTCCATCTCTCTCTCTCTCTCTCTCTCTCTCTCTCTCTGGGCCTCATTTAGATGTGAGTATGGATGTATGCCTATTTTTCCATTTTTAAATAACATGGTCAGCCAGCAAGAGACAGAGAGCCTCTCACAGCTCCCTGTCCCTGTAAATGAAGTGAGATGCAGTTAGTTACTAAAGGAAAAGAAAAGAAAGAAATGCAAAAGTGTGCGGAGAAGTGTTTCCTCTTCCTCTCTCTCAAAATTGTTCAAACTGAAACTCTGTCTTCCAAAGAATAAGTGTCATTCGGGTTCTGAACTGGGCCTGTTCTCTTTTTGGTTGGAAGGAAGTTTGTGCCACAGGACAGAAGTGAAACCAGCAAGGTGCTGTTGGTGCTGAGGGGTTGAGCTTTATGAAATGACAGCAAAGCAGAAATTGTTCTGATTGACAGTGTCCTCACTGAGGGGTGGTAGAGAATTCCTGGAACAGGAGGCATAGACAGGCTCTCCAGTTCTCAGCTCCCATGCCAGCCTCACGGTCACGGCCGTCCGACTGCCATGGAGGGAGAGCCATCTCTCCTTCCTCCCCTTAGTGGTGATCTGGCCTGTGCCCATTATCTTGTCGGGAGACAAAGGGTCTGCAGGCTGAGGGGAGCTCAGAGAGCCTGGGGAGAGAGTGCCTGGCTAATGTATGAGGCCTGGAAGCCTCTTATTTGTTAAGAAGATTCTTGAGTCTCTGAGGAATGTAGTAATCAGGGCTAGGGGAAGATTTGGGGCCAACCCTTTGTATCCTAAATCCATCTGCTTTAACTTTTTAAAAAAAATTAAAAAGTTTTTTTCTAGCTAGTGGAAAAGAGGAGGTCCCATAGAGGTTTATTTGAGCAAATATTTGCTCTCCCTAATTATGCACCCTGAGCAGCTCTCCTGAATGTTTAACGCAAACCTTAATATTTACAATAGCATAAGGAAGAGTTTATGATGTGTTTGGGAGGCTTCCGATGTTGGGGTAATAATTCTTCTTTGCGCTTATATAAGACTTTTCTTCCTAAGAGACCTGAGCCGTGTTTACCTTAGCCACTGTTCGCACTGAAATGAAGTAAGGGAGGTGAAAACTCTAGAGAAGGCAGGAGCCCCTGTGGGCAGCTGCAAACATGTTTTATAGGTGAGATGCTTGTCTTTGCCATAAGTTTTGAACTAGCTCCGACCAAAGCATTTAGGATTGCCTCCTGCTGTGCACATGGTGAACGCCCTGGGGGCCGTGCTTGGCTGTTGACCCTAATGGAGCTGTCTTCTGGCTCAGATTTCTCCTCTATGCCAGGCACAGTTTACCCCTTGTTCATTAAAGACCGTGGGGTCTGGAAGAAATGAATTAGAATCATTCTCCATCTTTCATATGGACCTTTGGAAGGTTGTTTGGGTGCTTCCTGTTTCTTACTTGTCCAGCACGTGTAATAAATGTCATTCCCATGTGGTTTTCGTGAAGATTAGACATAGTGCCTGGGTAAACTCTTGTGTTCAGGCAGTGGCTTTTACTCTCTCTGTCCTTGGAGAGCCTCTGGACATGTCAGGGCCACCTTCATTTTGCAGGTTGGGTAGCAATGGACTCCATCATGCTTTCCAAAGTGTTTTTGCCATGCCTGGTATCCAGCATCATACAAAGAGGGCAGTTATTCTGGGGTCCCATCTTGCCACAGAATTGCAGAGGAAGGAGTGATTCTGTCTTACTCAAGCAAGGTGATAAAGCATGTTATGTGCCCAAGACCTTAAGGTGAGCAGTGTAGACACAAGATGCATAGACTCAATGCTAATGTTCAGTAACCTTGTGAGTGGCTGCTTACTGCCAGAATGGGTGCAAATAGCTACAGAGCATTTTGCTGTTGGGAAAAGCATGTATTTAGGTGAATAAGATTAAACATTCCCTTTTTGGGTTGCTGGAATGTGCTATGATGTCTCTTTGGCTCAGGAGTCTGCTGCGTTATCCACTTTTTAGATGGTTTGATGGTTTGATGGAAGCTGTGTCTGGCTTTGGGTGGTCTTGGTTTCTTAGAATTTAACATGAAGTCACTTTCTTCTAGTCTGCAGTCACTAAACAAAATTCCTCTCCTTTCCTTAACTGTTGCTGTCTGCAAGGGTGGAAAACAATACATTTCTCTACAGAGAGAGACCCAATCTAACTTCCAAAGGTGAATTTGCTTTTGTCCATTTTTCACCAAGCAAACGCATTTGATTGGTAGCTTAGATGGTGTCACTTGAGCACAATTGATGGGGAATCTTCTGGTGGGCTGGCACCTGTTGTTCTAGGGCAGGCAGCAAATGCAAACAGATAACATCTCATGCAGATTGGTTCTCCTTAGTATGAATGTTGATGTGGGAAGTGGACTTCCTGTTCTAGACATTTCTTTTTTGAGGGGTTGAGTGAGTGACTGTTCTCAGACCCCAATATGTGACTTGGTAGGTGACAAATGACTACCAACAGGGCTTCCCCCAAGTGGAACTTCCATATGCAAGGAACCCTTACAAACAGAATGGACTTGGGGATTGGCCGAATAAGAAGAGCTATTGAGCCAATACTGCAGGCTCCATCGTGAGTCCTAGGAATGCCCCGAGGAGTCTGCTCTCAAGAAGAGCATGATCTGTTGTGGTACACAGACAACAGCCATGGGGGCAAAATTAAATAGATAAGTGTAGGGGAGTGGCGGTGGAGTAAAAGCAGGGAGATCCTGTAGTAGGGTTTCGATATACTCTGGACCAGAGCAGCATGGCTTAGAGCAGGGGGAAGCCAAGGGAGCTGGGGGAAAGAATTTGCCTTGTATTTTGGAAGTAGAGCCAGTGGGACTTGCCGGGTCTTGCTTCTGCTGTGGCTTGGCTGTGCTATTTCACTTCTCTTTAAAACCTCCATTTATTTTTCTCTGTAAAGGGGAGATACTCGGAAACCTCATGGAGCTGTTGTGGTTAAAACACAATAGGTTTTCAGTTCACAGTTGTTTTCTAAGTCCTCACACTCGTTTTCAGAGGCGAGTCCTCATCCTATCTCTGTGTGGCCACTGGGGGCCCAGAGTTGGTCTGACTCAGCACACAGAGACCACCTTGGCGTTTGGCAGCAGCTGGTTATCCCCCCACAAGCCACCTTCTGCTTGTTGGGGCAGAAGTCACCCAGGGCAGCTTGGGAAGAATCTCGTACAGGGGCTGTTCCTGACTCCGAGGGGCTGGAGGATGCTGGCGGTAGGGTAGCTGCGGGTAAATGGTGGAAGAGCCCACTGCAGGCCTGCCCTGGCTTGCGGCCTGGTTGGTCCTGTCTCCTCTTCCCCTAGCAACTACCATTGTCTGCCCATGCCTCGGTTTCTGTTTAGCACACTGGTTTGAAGACTGGGCTCTGAGCATCCTTTGCAGTCACCTAGACTGCTGTTAAACCTGCAGTCTCTTGGTCCTACCTCAGACCCACTGAATTAGAGTGAGTGACACTTCTCTATGAGTTCCCTAATGTAGTGAGCAGTATACTCCCTAAATTTTGGGCATCTCTCATTTAGGAAATTTGATTTTGCTTTTTAGAATAACAGCTAATATTTATTGATGGATAACTTTGGGATACTGCTTGGTGTCTTACATACAGTAACAGAATTAACCCTGAAAAAAATGACATAATAAATAAATAGATACTAATATTACCCTTGTATCACCGGTCAGGAAACTTAGTCATGGAGTATTTAAATAATTTGCTCCAATACTGATTGAAGAGCTAGTGTTACAACCCAAGTCCCAGGCTTGTTCTTGCCTGTTCTGCCCAGCCTCTGTTGAGGAGTGGGGTTTCATGAATGAGTTTTCCTAGTTTGAAGTGAGTGAGTGCTGGGTGACTTAACATTAAAGGGAGCAAGTCCAGCAACAGGTAATTTTGAATGAAGCCCAGAATTTGACTCGAGTGTCCCTTCTGCCCCCAGCCAGTTATTGTAAGGCACGATTCCCCTTCATTCCATTTGGTGAGTGGGACCCCACTGTACAGCCATGCTTTTCACATAGACCTTGCCCTGCTGGAGGGCTCTCTGTCCTGTGCTCTCCTGCATGATCAGCCCCTGCCTGTACAGGTGATGCCACTGCCTTCCCCACACTTACGCTTGATCTGTGTCTTGGAGGCTATAGAAGGAGACAAATCTGGGGATTTCCCAGTCTGGAGATTGTTGAATGGATTTTTGTTTCTTCTCAGTGCTTCCAGGTTAGTGTCTGAGAAAAGTTGGCTGTGAGAAGGGGACCAGCCCAAGCAGGTCTGAAGATAGAAATCAATCATTCCATTCCTAGTACTTTCCTACCTCTGTGTCTTATTGCTTCTTGCTCCCATGGGGAATTTGCTAAAGAACCAGCCTCACAAATAACCAAAGCTGGAGGAAGATTTTTGAGAGATATATATATATATATATATATATATATATATAGATGGTAGGGTCCCTAGGAAATATTATTTAGAACAGAGTGGGTGGGGAGAGGTTTCAACAAGCGTTTTCTCCTTGCATCTCCGCTTCTGAACCTGTCAAAAAGTACTACTTGTACCCGAGACCAGTCCAAATTTGCATTTTTGAAAATAGTTTTGTTTGCCTTAGTTGCACTTGAGCTGTGATCACATGGAAAATCTGAAGTTTGATCTTTAGTGAAAGTAATTTTTAGAAAGATTTATTTCCTTGAAAAGCAGAGTTACAGGGTGAGAGGGCATCTTCCATCCACTGGTTTATACCCTAAACGTCTACAAAGGCCAGGGCTGGGTCAGGGTGAAGGCAGGAGCCTGGCACTCCATCTGGGTCTTCCACATCAGTGGCGGGGGCCCAAGTACTTGGGTCATCTTCCACGGCTTTCCCAGTCATATTAGCAGGTACCTGGATTGGAAGTGGAGCAGTCAGGACTCAGATCTGCACTGATACAGGAAGCCAGCGTTGCAAGTGGTGTCCTAACCTGCTGTGCCGTGACCTCAGCTCCAGTGCTGTTTTTTCTCGGTACTTTCTGCTTATATGGAGGATGCTTTGCTGTTGTTCTGGAGCGGAACAAAATGTCTACGTAGGAGAAAACATCTGTTCTGGTTACACCAGATAGTTTCCTAACTCCTTGTTCTCTACACACTGGATAGGAAAGTGTGGTGACCACATGAGTAGTTTATGGTGTTGCAAACAAGTATCCTCATGTACCTGAGGATATATCCTTATGTCCTGGAGATAGCTTTCCCAGTTACACACTTGAAAGGAATCGGTACAGTTGCTGGCTGGAGCCATCACAGAAGGGACAGACAGCCCGATGTGCAGGTCCGTGTGCCTGTCCCCAGGTGGTCAGCATCCCCGGGAATGCTGTGGGGGGTGGCAGTGACAGAGGAGTGTCATCACATTGTGTAGAGCAGGAGCAGGAGTGGCACAAGAGAAAGCAGGGAGAAGAGGGAACACAGGGAAAGAGAAAGGCCAGTCCTTGATACAAAGCAAGGCAGAAAGAGGGGGCTTTGGGCACAGCGTGTGTGTGCGTGCATGTGTGTGAATCTGTGCACGTATGCAGTTGTGGGGCTCATTTTACACATCACAGAAATAAGTACTTTGTGGGGAGCAACTCGGACTAGACTAAGTTACTGGAATTAAGACTTATTCTATGCATCTGCTCTCCCACAATATGGCGCTGGGAGAGGAGGAAACAGCTTCTACACAGCTGCCTCCAGTTCAGCCAATAAACAGCAGGACCTGCTCCTGATTGGAGGAGAGCAGCGTACTCGGCGTGTGGGCAGCCGAGTTGGGATTGGCGGAGGAGGACTATAAAGGAGGAGAGAGAGAACATGCACCAGGAACATCTAAGGGGAACATCTAAGGGGAACACCTGTGCAGCCGCCGAGAGAGCCGGCCGGCGGTGTGCCGCTCCCCTGCGGAAGTGGGGAAAGTGGCCAGGGGGAACTGCCCTTCCACGGAGGTGGAAGGGACAGCAGCCAACCCGGGAAGGACCAGCAGCAAACCCGGGGAGGGCCGAGCAGACAAAAGAACAGCGCAGGGTTTAGTGTCGTTCCTCCATGAAGAGGGGGAGTGACATAATGGTGCCGTGACTCGGATATGAAGCCTAGGCAGGGTTTAGTGTCGTTCCTCCATGAAGAGGGGGAGCGACATAATGGTGCCGTGACTCGGATAGGAAATCTAGGACGGATAGAAAACTTAGGAGGGAAGAAATGGGAAGAAATGGGAAAATACTGGAGAGAGAGAGACTAGCAAACAGCCTAGGGAAAAGCCGGACGAAAAAGGTGCCAGAAAAAGCTATTGAAAGCCTAGGCATAGACTCAGATACGGACTACAGGGGGAAGCTGGGAGAAATCTCTAAGGTCGAAAGCGAAAGTGAAAGCTAGAACAAACAGACTTGGATACGGACTGTGGGGAGAAGCCAGGAGAAATGAGGGAGGAATATTGTTGGAAGAAAGCTTGGGGAAACATACCGGGTAGAGAAAAATGTTAGGGAAATTGAAGCCGTGGGGGGCAGGCCGAGGCGGAGATGAAAGCCACTTTGGGATTCTCAAGTTAGCCCGGGAATGGGGGGCGAAGAGTTGAAACCAGAAGCGGAAACGTAAGCCAGATTGGGATCCGTCTGATTAGCCCGGGGAGCAGAGGACAGGAAGCCAGATCGTGGGGCGGAAACGTGAGCTGGGTTGAATTCGCCAGGCTAGCCCGGGGAACTTAGATTGAATACTAGTGGCGGAGACGTGAGCTGGGGCTGTGTGACTTGCGGAGGCTGCCGCGCGCAGAGAGAGCGTGCGGGGCACAAGTAGATAGGGAACGCTGGGCTAGTGCGAGACCGCGGAGTGTGCGCGCGAAGCCGAGCCGCGCAGAGCCGCGAAGCCGCGCAGATAAGAGAAGCGGGCTGAAGCGGCTCAGCCGGGAAGCCGCCGAGAAGCAGCCTCGGGGCGGGCACCGGGAAGCCGCAGGGATAAGAGAAACAGAAGTTTAGAAGTAAAATGAGAGAAATAGGAATGCTGGAAGATAGAAGCAAAATGGGAGAAATACGAATGCCCGGAGATAGAGAAGTAGAGAAATAGAAAGGCCTCCCCACAACATGGCAATGAGAGAGCTTGGATTCGGTCTGCCTGATTAGGAAGGCGGTGAGCACCTGCGGGCGCCTAGCAGCTTATGCGCCGCAGGTCACCGAAGACAGGCACGAATTAACATCAGTAAGGCCTCCCCACAACACAGCAATGAGAGAGCTTGGATTCGGTCTGCCTGATTAGTAAGGCGGTAAGCACCAGCAGGCGGCTCGACCAGAGTATGAGCCGCAGGTCACCGAAGATAGGCACGAATCAACACCAATAGGCCTCCCCACAATATGGCAATGAGAAGGCTTGGATTCGGTCTGCCTGATTAGTAAGGCGCTAAGCACCAGCAGGCGGCTCGACCAGAGTATGAGCCGCAGGTCACTGAAGACAGGCACGCATCAGCGCCTAAAAACCTCCTCACAACATGGCGAAGAGAGGACCCGGATTGGGTTTGCCTGATTGATAGGACTTGTAAGAACCTGTGGCAACTCTAGCAAGCAGAGCAGAGTGTGTGCCACGGGACACCGAAGACAGGCGCGTATGAACGCCAAAAAATAAAAAGAAAGGGGGATCTGTGGGGAGCAACTCGGACTAGACTAAGTTACTGGAATTAAGACTTATTCTATGCATCTGCTCTCCCACAATATGGCACTGGGAGAGAAGAAAACAGCTTCTACACAGCTGCCTCCAGTTCAGCCAATAAACAGCAGGACCTGCTCCTGATTGGAGGAGAGCAGCGTACTCGGCGTGTGGGCAGCCGAGTTGGGATTGGCGGAGGAGGACTATAAAGGAGGAGAGAGAGAACATGCACCAGGAACATCTAAGGGGAACATCTAAGGGGAACACCTGTGCAGCCGCTGAGAGAGCCGGCCGGCGGTGTGCCGCTCCCCTGCGGAAGTGGGGAAAGTGGCCAGGGGGAACCGCCCTTCCACGGAGGTGGAAGGGACAGTAGCCAACCCGGGAAGAACCAGCAGCAAACCCGGGGAGGGCCGAGCAGACAAAAGAACAGCGCAGGGTTTAGTGTCGTTCCTCCACGAAGAGGGGGAGCGACATACTTAAATGCCCTTTTGTTCCTGGGGTGGGTGTGGAGTGCTGAATCTCAACTGTTCATTGGTTCTTTTTCATTTTCACTCAGAACGTTAGAGTTACATATAGTAATTACACTTCTAGTACCTCTTCCAAGGGAATAGCCAAGCACTCAAGAGTCACCACTTCCGTTTTGCAAACAGGTGACAGTACAGTAGGTTTATGTCGAATTCTGTGTGCGAGCCGAGGAACTGCGGGCAGGGGAAGCAGTGAATGCTTAATCCAGATTTTTGGAAAAACGATTTGTGAATCAGTTTGTGCATTTTAGACTTGTTTAAATCATGCATATGAGAACTTAGTCAAAGAGACAGCAATTGACTTTGTCATGAGTTAGCATAAATATTGACTTAACTGCAACCAGTATAGCTCCTGTATGCTGCTGTGTCATAGTATCATTTAAAATGTTAGAAAAGCGGCTGAAATGGATAAAAATTATTTTCTCAGGTTTTCAGGTCAAGTCTTTCTAATGTCTTCTTTCTGATGATGTCTTGATTTCCCCCCAGTTCCTCATTTCTCACAGGCATGAATCTTTCTGTGGCTGTGTTGCCACACCAGGTGCTCTTTCTATTCCCAAGGGCCCGTTCTGGAGGTCTCGTGCCAATGTCGTCCTGTGTCTGTGCCCAGTGCTGCGGAATCTTCCTGTAAGGACTGAGCTACAAGGTGATAACAGGAAAGATCGGAGCTTGCTAGAGGCTTTCTCCCTGATGCTATCAGGGACAAAGAAAAACACTAATGGAAAGGGTGACTGTGTGCATAGCACAAGGGAAGTTGTCAGGAGAGATTGTGGCTTACGTCTGTGAGAGCTACAGTGTGAGTGAGCACGGGCTTGGTTAATATTGCAAGTTTATCAGAACCGACTCTGTCCCCCAGAGATTTGATTTAGTGTGCTTGGGTTCCTTTCACTAAGGGTTTGGAAAAAGCTAACGAAAAAATGTGTATCATGAAAAAACCAGGCATACATTTCAAAATTTTTTTTGCACCCAAATAAACTTACCTTTATTTTGAAAATGAAGTTATTTATGTGAGAGGCAGAGAGACAGAGGAAGAGACAGAGAGCGCTCCCGTCTGCGGATTCAGTCCTCAGTTGCACATAATACCCAGGGGGCTGAAGCTGCAGGCTGGGAACTCAGTTCAGGTCTCCCATGTGGGTGACAGGGACCCAAGTACTTGAGCCATCGCCTGCTGCCCCTCGGATGCCGTATCACAGCCAGTTCTCGAATCTGTGCACTCAGATGGGGACCCCCAAGTGTTCTAACTGGTGACGTAAATGTTAGCTCAAATGCCCACTGTTAAGCTTATCTTTTAATTCCATTTTCCCCATGGACCTTTTGAAGTTCCCTCATATTAATTCAACAGCTAGTAGCCAAAAGTTCCAAAGAGCTGCTCCAGAGTTTCTGGGTCATTTGTGGGGAGCCTGGCAGGTGGGCAACCCTTTGTCTTTCCCAGGCACCTTGAAGGCCTTTGTGATTGCACACAGAGCTGGAGCCGTGAGAACTGTTCGCGGCTGTCTTGGCTCCTCTGATGTATTCCCTGGCTAGGGCTGGACTTTGCTGGCCTGAATCATTTTTGAGGTGGTAGAAGCAGTTAAAACAAACCTTGTTTTCCCATTTTGATTGTAGGAGACACTGGACCAGTCAGCTTCTTATCAGCTCCATGTCTCTTTTAGATTCTTCCCAGAGATGCTTTTAAATCCTGTCCAGCTCCTTCCCTCCCTCCACCCCTCCTTCAGCCAGCTGTTCTGCTGAACTGGCAGAAGGTCTTTGTCATGGCTTAAGCCAGACCATCCTGCCATTTGCTCAGAACCCATCCATGGCTTCCCATCTCCACGGCGTGGCTCCAGCCACTGTGCCGGCCATCTCGCTTCACGACCCTTGCCTGGACCACTCTGCCCAAGGTATCAGCAGGGCTCCTTCTTCAACCCTGGTGCTCTGGCTCCAAGTTAATTGCATCAGAGGCCTCCTGGATTGCCATGCCCAAGGCACTGTCTGCAGTCCGCATTACCCTGTTTGTCGTAACCATTGTCATCGCCACCACCATGCAGGTTTCATAGCTACAGGGTGACTCCCTGTTTTGTTAACTCATCTCTCCAGAGCACTCGGAACAATGCCTGGCACAAGGGAAGGGCCTGGTAAATCTTTTGTTGGTGGTGAATAGCAGGTTGGAGAGTTTTCCATTTCTCGATTACATACTCTGATGATTCTAATAGGAGGGAGATGCTGGGAAGAATGCAAGGCCATAAGCAAATAAGGAATGATGGATACGTACAGAGATTGGAGGACTGGGCAGGATGCATAATCAAGGCTAAGCTTAAGTATTATGGTTAGCTTCGGAAACAATAACACATCGATTTCTGTAGCCCTTTACAACACACACACACACACACATTAACTCATTAGATTCTCTCTTAAAGTTCATATTAAAGCAGTGTCTAACCTTATAATGCATTTAATATTGATCTTATTTATAGTAGGGCTGTCTCCATTTTTTTCAGAGAAGGGATCATGCGTGTGACACATGCATCAATACTGCACTTGTATGTTGACATTTGTATTTTCTCATAAATATGCACTTGTAAAAAAAGATTTACTATTTATTCAAAAGTCAGAGTGACAGAAGAGAGACAGAAGACAAAGAGGTCTTCTATCCTCTGCTTCACACCCCCGTGGCCACAGTCGCTGTGGATGGGACCAGCTCAATGCCAGAAGCCCAGAACTCCATCTGGGTCGTCTGCATAGGTGGCAGAGGCCCAAGCACTTGGGCCGTCTTCTGCCTTCTCAGGTGCGCTAGCAGGGAGCTAGATTTGAAGTGGAGCAACTGGGACTCCAGCTGGCACTCCCATAGAGGATGCTGCTGGCACTGGCGGCAATTTAAGCTGCTGTGCCATGCCAGCAGCCACAGGTTTTCTCAAGTTGGTAATTCTGCTGTTTCAGGATGATGTTCCTGACTCTGGCTTTTCCCCTGCCCTGGCTGGCGTAGCTGCCATGGAGAACAGTGAAGATTTGCCAACCTCATTAGCTATCTTCTAGAAGACAGTGCGTTTATTTGGGGGTGGAAAGGAAATCTTAGAATGAAGCTATATTCTTAGCCTTGATGAAATGTCAAGAATATTTAAGTCAAGAGTAGGAGAATGGTGCTGGGGCGCAAACTTGTATTAGTTTTTCATGTGGAAAATACTAATTTTGAGTATGTGGGAGGATAGACAGAACTCTAAAGGGTCCCAAGGGTAACACCTTATTATATATACCTCCTATCTAGTTATCTAATTAAACATGAACGTTAGGGTGACTCTGAAGAGATCCCAGTAGAGGTAATCGTGGTTCTAAGTGATTGGCCATAAAATGGGGAAATTAAGAGTATCCTGGGCTGGGGCGATGGCTCACTAGGCTAATCCTCTGCCTGTGGCTCCGGCACTCCAGGTTCTAGTCCCAGTTGGGGTGCCGGTTCTGTCCCAGTTGCTCCTCTTCCAGTCCAGCTCTCTGCTGTGGGCCAGGAAGGCAGTGGAGGATGACCCAAGTGCTTGGGCCCTGCATCCGCATGGGAGGCCGGGAGGAAGCACCTGGCTTCGGATTGGCACTGGCTGAATTTGGGGGGTGAACTAACGGAAGGAAGACCGTTCTCTCTGTCTCTCTCTCTCCCTGTCTAACTCTGCCTGTCCAAAAAAAAAAAAAAAAAAAGTATCCTGAATGGACCTGACTTACATGAGCCTTTCAAGGCGCTGGATACTGCCTCAACGTAGATGGGAGCTGTTGGGGAGATTGGGGCACATGGCAAGAAATACAAGTGTCCTCTGGTCACTGAGTGTCCGGCAGCTGATAATGCAGTGAGGAAGCAGAGATGCCAGCAGTGCAGCCACAAGGAGCTGACTTCTGCCACATCACTGTCCCAGGGCACCACATGCAATATAGACCGACTCACCCCCAGAGAGGTCCTGAGCCGACGAATCAGACTCTGCATGACTTACAGAACCGTGAGCTGAAAACTAGATGCTGTTTGAAGCTGCTGTGTCTGTGCTAACTTATTACAGCAGTAATGGAAAACTAATAGAGGAGGGAAATTTCATTTTACAAAAAATCTGGGGAAAACATACCCCTAAGGATTTAAACATGAAATGCAGTGTACTTTCTGGAGAAAAGTCTTTCTTTCAGGTATGTAGAGTCAGCGTAGCATCCGTGGGCAGTGGGATCCAGCTCAGTGCAGCTTGCTTTGCTCCGTAGAGACCTGGTTAAATGAATAGGAGAAATGTTTTTTTAATTAGTAGATCCACTGTTTATAAATTAATGGGTAGCTCCACTGTACTAGAGACCTAAAATAGTTTGTGCCAAGTGCTTTATCTATTCTTGGAACACCCTTATTCACGTATTATAATTTGCTTAGCAGTCCTTTCTTCATAGACAGCTCACGAAGATTAGTTACAGCCCTGCTCCTGTCTGAATAACTGTATTTCCCTTATTAGTAGAGTGAGAATTGATAGCCTTTAAAAAAAATGACAGTAAATAGGCATTTAAAATTCCCAGTGTTGCTGGTTTTATATAAAGAGAGAACCGTTTGTGAATGTTATGATGTCCCTAGAAGGTTTTCTGCAGAGGCATGTTTTCAAATGGGTTTGCGTAAAGAAGATCACTTTATTGGGACTTAGGCAAAGCATCTTTGTAGAAGGTGCACTCAATAAACTCTTGAAAGTGACACTTTGGGAAGGACATCGCAAATGCATCCGAGGGCTGGCTTGTGGATGAATGACAGCGCAGCACTGGGAGTGTAGAAGGCCAGGGGCTCTGCCATTGCAGGGGGGCCCCTGCCCCGCTGTGCAGGCCACTGCATGGGGCTGCCCTCCCAGCAGGAGTGTGTATTTGTCCTGGTGACTGAGGACTGTGGCTTGGCCTTTCTGTTTACAAGAGAGAGGATAGCAGCTTGTGTCCTCCAGCGGCTGTGAAAACAGTGCTGGAGAACCAGACCCGAGTTTCCACTTAAGAGCTCACCCTGGAAAAAAGCACCACCCGAGCAAACAGACCTTCCTAATGAAAGACCATCTGGGTTCAAATACAGACCACTGGGTTAGAACCAGATGACAGGAAAACGTAATGAGAATAGTTGTTCTTTAGCAGACTTTCCAAGTGGGATTTCCATATATTAAGCTGGAAGAGGGCCCAGCCGTGAAAAACAGGAAACTGACTGAAGCCAGTACGTTCAGTTTGTAAGCAAGATTTCAGCAGTGGAATCCACTGTGCATGCTGGGTAAAGCACGCCCATATCAGAAGGTCTCTGCAAAGTGAAATGGGTAGCCAGTATCTGGCTAAGTATGGATGTGGTGAGGTGGCTCTCAGCATCTACACGGGAAAGTGCCTAGAGTGACACTGTCACGTGCCAGGAACTGGACTGTGATGTCACGGAATACTTCTGAAAAACACCAAGAGTTCTCATTTTTCTGTTCCATTGGAGGAGATAGAAAATATCAGTTATTTGTTACTGGAATTGAAGCAATCATTAGAAATATTTCTGTGATACCAAAGAATCAGCCAGAGCAGGGGTGGGCATTGTGACGCAGTGAGTTAAGCTGCCACTCACGACACCCACATTGCATACCAGAATGCTGGTTCAAGTCCTGGATGCTCTGCCTCCAATCCAGCTTCGCTCTGGTGCATCCTGGGAGGCAGCAGATGATGGCCCAGGTTGCTTGGGCCCCTGCTACTCCTGTAGGAGACCTGGAAGAGGTTCTTGTCTTCTTGCCTTGGCCTGGCCCAGTCCTGGCCAGTGGATGGAATATCTTTTGCTCTCACTTCCACCCTGCCTTTTAAGTAGATGAAATAAACACACACACACACACACACACACACACACATAAAGAAACAGCCAACCCAGTGTTTCAGACTGTGCTGTGTGCTGGCAGGAGAAGATGCGCAGGGGCAGGAAGATAAGGCTCAGAGAAGGCCTCTGAGGAACAGTGTAGGCAGAGACAGGAATTGAGGGTGAACCAGCCCTGAGAAGAGCTGGAGAAGGAACATTCCAGACCGAGGAATGCATGTGGGAATACTGGGGTCACTGCAGCAGAGCAGCATGCTGGTGTGCACTGTAAAAATCTCTGCCTGCCGATATAGCGAATAGATTCTAGAGGAGGAGGAGCGAGCCGGGGAGGTGAGTGAGGGAGCTATATCGGCAGTCCAGGTGAGCAGCAGTGGTGACCTGAATTGCAAGGTGACAGTGGCGGTGGCAGATGGCGATGAATCGGAGCAGTGCACTGCAGGATTGCTATCTGGCCATGGGGACTGGGGAGAAGGGTGTGGCAAGGACAAGGGTGACTCCCCAGGCCGTTCTTTCCCTACTTCTCTATTACCCTGTCCTTTCATTTCCGCCATCACTCAGAGAAGGGTTGGAGTTCTGGATCTGAAATTCTGTGCTGAACACCAGGAAGTCTCTGGACACTGCTATGGAGCATGCGCACTCTGAGAATCAACACCCAGCTAAGCATACTGTAGGCAGGAACCACAGTATCCTTCACACCACACATCTCTTCATTACAACGTTACTACCTTGCCTGTAGTGTCTATATGCGTTGCCCTAAAGACTCTCGTCCTAGTTCATCATTGGTAACAATGGCATTCCCCTGTGGGGATGTGGGAGAAATCTTGGGAAGCTGACAGATCACTGAACAGTTTGCTTCAGCAGGAATTTATTTTCTAGACTCTGTAGGTCACCCACTAAGGGTCCAAATCACTGCTGGTTTGTATGTGTGTTTCAGTGTTCTATCACAGAGGTTTAGAAAGATGATTTCAGAGAGATAGATTAGAGGCCTAACTAGGGCATTTGTTGTATAGATTGTGTATCAGGTATAAACAGTGTGTTGCCTGGACTAGATAACTAAGATCTGGAGGGAAGCCCCCCCCCACCACCAAAGATTAATTAATTTAATTTATTTGAAAGTTAGAGTTACACAGAGAGAAGGAGAGGCGGGGGGGGTGGGGGGGAGGTATTCCATCTGCTGGTTCACTCCACAGTTTGCTGCAATGGCCAGAGTTGCACTGATCTGAAGCCAGGATCTTCTTCTTGGGCCATCTTCTACTGCTTTCCCAGACCATAGCAGAGAGCTGGATTTGGAAGCGGAGCAGCTGGGACTTGAACCAGCACCCATCTGGGATGCTGGCACTGCAGGCGGTGGCTTTACCTGCTACGCCACAGTGCCGGCCCTGTGTTTTTGTCATCTTTTCCTTTAGTATCCATCTATCATGATGTGCCAGGTTCTTTTATTTCCTGGAGTGTGTTTTTCTCTTTCCTGATATTTGGGATTACATTAGTCATCAGACACATTTCCAGAACTTTCACTACTTGCCTTTTCATAAACCCTCCTCCCCCCACAAATTATCATAAAAGTACATCCCTGTCATTAGTAATGGGGACAGAGATCATTGAGACCAAATGACCCCATTTGTTTTTTTGCTTAACACAGTAATATTTTCTTCTTGGCCAGGGCCCAGGACCTGCAGCATAGGATCGCAGGAGAGGCATGTCTCTTGGTGTCATTTCCACGGTATCCATGTGGGGCTCTGCTGGTTTCCCAGATGGACCCTGCGGTAGCTCTAGGTCTCTGACTTTGTCTCCTTGTATGTAACATGGTAATGACAATACCTGTTCGACCTCTATCACTGGTTGGAGGGAAAATCAAATTTCAGTGGCTTTGTCAATGGTGGAGCTCCCTGGTACCATCTGTGTTTGTTGGTGTTATTTCTGGACGAGTCATCGATGTGGTTGAGTATGCCCCAAACCAAACTTTGTCTTTCCAGTGTGTCTGTTTGCTGGTGATAATGACTACTTTAAAACAAACACCATTCGGTCAGCACTAAAAGTGTGAGTCATGTCGCTGTGACAAGTTTGTAGATAAACTTATCTGGGCTGTCCTGGGAATGTCTGGTTTATGATTCCTATATATGTCTTTCCACTCCACCCCATCACATCCTTGTACAAAAACGTAAGCCTGGTTTTCTTTCTTTTCTTTCTTTTTGATTTCATTAGTTGAGATAAGTTGTGATTTGTAGGGGAAAAATTTCAGATAAGAAGGACTTTTGCAGTTCGACCTCTGGATTCCTCTGTGTGTCCTAGCATTTGCATTAAAATTCCAAAGGGGTGATGTACTGGCTGAAAGCGACTGATGGAGTGGGGATGCGGAAGAAATCATTAACGCATTACTCAGTTTTTATCTTGCAGCCACTTAGCATAAGTGTATGTGTAAAATATGAGGGTAATAGTACCGCTTCAGTTACAACCAGAATGTGATTGTTCAGAAATAAGTAAGCAAGGGGTTGCCACACGTTCACCTTTGAGCGGGCATCCTGGATTTTTGGTAACCAGCTCTGGCCACCCTGCCCATGAAGCAGAGCATACAGTGGTCTCCCACTTACTGAACAGTGCCTACATGTTCATCAGCAACGAGGCTCCTACACCGTCTCGGGTTAGAGCAGACATGCATTCCATCACCTTCCTCCAACAGATTCTCTTGGCCAGGTCCTAGACACTGAGCCAAGATTACCTCTGTTGACTGTTGGGGTCGGGGGTTCTTTGTGTTGGAGTGAACCTCCTAGTGGCACTGTGCGTTTTCTTGTTTACTCTATTGGTTGATGCCTGGATTATGCATGGGTTCTCTAATTTTGGGGGAGAAGGAAAACCTGGTGGCTGATTTCAGGGCTTGGGGCCTCAAATTTAAATCCTTTGTTATGGAACTGCCAGGCCCCTGTTCTTGTGCAGTGGGTGAGGCGATATTTATCTGGATCTTTCTCACACCCTCTCATCTGAGGTTTAGATCAATAGGAAGACAATGATGGAGAGGCCCCCAAATCCAACTTTGGGATTGACCAATGATTCCTTTTATACAAAAGTTAATCTTCCCCTTCCGCCATCTGTGTTCGTTTCTCCCCTTGTATGTGCTTTTTGTATCTGGTTGACAGATTTAAAACTACTTGTGGTCTACTGTGAGCCCCACATCATCTTCTCAAATTACTGACTCATTCTAACTCTATCCCAGCATCTGGCAGTTTCTTTTCCTACTGACACCTTCTTTACTCTACTACCTGGTAGGTCCCTACATAAGGGGCAGTTTGGATATGTAGTTGATGATATGAAGAACCTTAGGATTTAAAGTCTTCACAAGACTTAACACATTGTCAAACAACTGGTGCATGAGTGATCAGTTCCAAATTCTATTCTCTGCATCTGGGAGTGCAAACATGAGAACCTCAAAGCCCAGGGCCTCTTTCCCTTGAGGGTTCAAACCTGGGGTACTGCTGCTCTTACATCTTTTGGGGGGAGGTATCTTTTGATGGGGATGCGAGAGGCGTGGTCCCTTTTTTTTTCTGACCCTAGTAAGTCTGTTCATCAACTCCCACTTGATCTCTAACTCCTCTTCTCCTGCTACAATGTTTTATGATTAAATCTCCCAGTGGAGATTTATTTCTAAACAAATTTGTGTTAACTTAGGATTTCTTAAAAGTATATTCTTACATGATGTGCCAACCCTTAAATGTGCAACCTGATGAATTTCTCTGTGTGTAGACACCCATGTAATTACCACTAGGTTCAAGATACCAGACATTCCCAGTCCCCTGTAATGCCCCTCATGCATTGTTCCTGCCAGGAATTTCTTCCACATGTTTGTAGATTTCACACTGTATCTATTCGTCTGTGTCTGGCTTCTGAAAGTCAGCATTGTATCTGGGAGGTTACTCCTCGAGATTGTGTTTCCCTGTGGTTCAGTCTTTGCCCGGCTGAGCAGTGTTCCATTGTCTGAATCTACTACAAGTGTGTTTACCCATTCTGTTGTGGGTGAGCATTCCAGTTGGCTCCAGTTTGGAACTGCTAATGAATAAAGCATCTATGAATATTCTTATACATATCTTTTGATGGAATCAAACATTTATTTCTGTTGGCTGGATAGCACCAAATAGAATTGCTGGGTGGTATGCTGTTTGCTTGGGATTTTTAATGGGAGGTAACAAAATATGATCTTGAGAATGACGTGTATCTGTAAGCTTGTTGGGAGTATGTTTTCTGTGCATTGACAAATAGCTCTAATATGGGTGTGGATACATTTTCATTTAGTCTAAGATAAACTGTTTCTCCAAATTGTCAATGTCACTTTGAGGACTAATTCATTTTTTTAAAGTCCCAGACCAGCTGAACTTGGTTTAGCTCATGTTAGTGCAGTCTATGCTAGCCTCCTTACTCTTCCAGCATTCAAATAATTGTTGAAGAAATAATAATATGTGGTCAGAATCTTTCTTATAAAACTACTCCTAGGTTGCCATTGAACTCCAGATGACAAGTTCGTCAAATTGTGAGAGGTAATATTAATATATAAGGAAGTTAATTTTTCAGATGGATTTATTTGGACAACAGGGATTTATGAAGCACCAGGTGACACCATCACTCTGTCAGGTACTGCAAAAATATAGCCATTATTTGCAAGGAACCAACAGTTCGGTATTAGGTGCAGGAAAAAAAAAACAAAAACAAAAAACAGTATTTACTGTGTCATTTAAAACCCTGCCCTGCGTGTTAGGAGGATGGGGTAGGTTGTGGAGGCGTGAAAATATGGATGAAAGCAGCAGCTTCAGGGACTCAGAGCTTCTTGAAGGAGTAGGTTATGAAGGAAAAGTTACTTACTTGGGAAGCTAAAGCGGGGGGATGAGGGCTTTGTACCCTAGGCGAAGGGACCAACTTACGTGTTTAAAGGAATGGAGGCATGAAATAGTATGATCTATCTAGTAGTCCATCTAAGTGAGAAAGCATTTTTTATTCCATTGATGGTATTCATATACATTTCTGGAATACCTCTTTTGGAATGACTTTCAGTCCTAATTTTCAAACCCCACTCGAAAAATCACTTGATACATTTTAGCTTTGAACCAAATGGTATTTCCCAGCTGGATGTTCACCAGATTTGTCTCCTAACACTGTTGGCTCATTCCAAAGAAATATAATCTGTCTTCAGAAGGTTTAAGGCCCACCACTATTGAGAACATTCAGAAGTGTGTGTGTGTGTGTGTGTGTGTGTGTGCGCGCGCGCGCGCATGTCCCAGAACTAAGGAATCAATTCTGAAAGATGAGTTGTGAGCAAAAAGCACTTATCATTGGAATAAGTCTATAACCTCTTAATATTAAGGCTTAGTTTCTCAAAGCCTGAACAGCCATCCAAGTTTCTGTTTTAGAGATTTTATGTCAAAATTGTCTCATTTTTGTATCAGAGGATGGGGGAAGTAGATGATGGGGAGAGAGTGGGTATGTTTTATACTAAATCCAAATTATTTTTGTAAAAAAATCCTCAGATTTGGTTAAATTGCATTATACACACAAGATTATCTGAGACAGAGCAATGAAAAGTAAAATCCAGGTAACAATCAATTCTGGTATCCACATGATTTGGACAAGTGAAAATACACATCTGTGTATCCATAGAACAGATGGGAAGAATGGGGAAGGTAAACAGAGTAGGGAAATGGGATTGAGGGGGCTGGCACTGTGGTGTAGTGGGTTAAGCCCCTGCCTGCAGTGCCGACATCTCATATGGATGCTGGTTCATATCCTGGCTACTCCTTTCCCATTCAGCTCTCTGCTATGGCCTGGGAAAGCAGTAGAAGATGGCCCAGTGCTTGGTCTCCTGTACCTGTATGGGAGACCTGGAGGAAGCTACTGGCTCCTGGTTTTGAATTGGCTCAGCTCTGGCCCTTGCAGCCATTTGCAGAATGAACCGGCAGATGCACGACCTTTCTCTCTGTTCCTGTCTCTCTCTATAACTCTGCCTCTCAAATAAATACATAAGTCTTAAAAAAAAAAGGGAAGGAGGGTTAGGGAAGGTAGAATGTGCATTGTGGAGGTCGAGGAAGCTAGCCCAGCTCAGACAACTGTTGGCTTCATCTCTGCTGTACATTTTGAGTTGACCTCTTCGTAGTTCAGTGAGTAGTAAGACTTATAAGCAGAAATACACCAAAAGCTCTCCTACTGTCAATGTGGATTTGTCTATTATTTCCTAGCTGTTTATCAACCTTAGTTATTTTTGAATATGGGGATACTTCTATGACCCAGTGGGATGTGAGGGTAGGGAAGAATTGCAGACTGTGCACTTTGTGTACTAACTTTATTGCTGAGAGATCAAATAGTGAGCTGGTCTACACTTCTCCAAAACTTACTTACACTTCTCTGGGGTCATTTATTTTCACTTTTCCAATAGTTTGTTGAATTACTTTCTTTATCTTGAGTTGAATAAAAAAATACTACACACCAGGTATTTCTGAGTAGTGTCTACACAGTTGTGCTACTGTCTTCTAGCTGTGTTTATAAGCTTTTTTTGCGGTGTAAAGGCCACAAATTAAGTTGCCATAACATTGGTTTACTTGTAAATATCCATCAATACCTTTAGCAGTGGAGATCCTGAAGGTTGCTAGAGTTTTCATCTGTTTGTCCACACAGATTACATAGCCCCATACAGAGCTGGTTAAAGCAATAGCATCAGTCAAAGCCCCCTGAGCCCAGAGAGTTTCCGTAGCTCTTGCAGTAGAAGTGGAGGGACTTACTGCAGTGTCCAGTCTCCTGTCACTCTAGCTAGTACCATGTGCTGCCTTCAGCTCAATGTTTAATGAGGTTGCCCATACTGAATCAAGGTAGGGCGTCCGGAGATGAGATTTCACTCTTACACATATAAGCACCGGCACTTAATTTCTCCCAGTATCGGATATTTTACAGTGGCTTATGCCCTACCACATAGTTTATTTCTGAGAAAGGTGGTTCAGCATTAAGGTAAGGTCAAAAGAGATCTGTTCTTGGTTTTCTGAACCTTCTTTGATGCGAGTGAAGCATAAATTTGCCACCATAAGTTAGATGTGTACGGGTGTGTGTGAATTGTGCAAAACTGTGCATTTTCCCCCTGAGTTGGAAAAAGAGGCACTTAGAAAATAATGAAGTTGCTCTTCTGACACTTATTTACCTCCTTCCAACATCCGAGCAAGAGTGATTCCATATATTGTCATCTGGCAGTTGACCTTTCTGTGTCTACCTATTACTTACTAATTTTCTTGTACCCAGCACCTTTGCTACACATTTGCTTTTCAAGTAGAAAGCAGTAAATATTTCTTGACGATGTTTACTGCTCTGAAAAATACATGGGCAGAGGTTATAAAATATTGAATGTCGCACAACAGATTCTTTAGCTGCTCTATGGAAATCCTGGACCCTCTCCTGGTGCCAGACTCCATTTTGTATTCCTCTTGTTCAAGTTGTCAGATGTTATGAATAGTCCCTCTGCTGATGCTGAACACATTGACCTAGACCTCAAGAATGTCTTTTTGGAAGAAATCAGGAAAGAGGGTACCATTTGCAAAGCGAGTTCACCCAAGTGATGAGTAAGCATCTCTAATTTTCGTGACCACATTCAAATCATGCAGTAGAGAGGCGGATGGCTGACCATTCTTTGTCTCTTTATCACTAATACTAAGTTGAAAAGTTTTTTGCTTCTTTGTGGTTGAATTATTAATGATCATGAAGAGTTTATAAACTGGATTTTATCTTCATTAATATATAAAACTCAAAGAGTAATGGTCTTTTCACTATAAATAGACTACTTCTCTAATTTACCCTCACATCTGCCTTTCTTTGTTCCTTTAGTTTTCATGGTGCTTGTAATTCCCAGAAGAATGATTTTGACTGGGGAACATACATTAGGAACTATTTTGGGAGTTTAGTCCCTGCTATATTTTATGACTTGGACAGAGTTTATTATCATTTTTCACTTGAGGAGTTTGCCATAGTTACTCAGGCCTTGGGAACAGAGCGGGTGGAATAGTGTTACAGGAGAGTTGTAATGGATGCATTTTCTTAGAATTTTTATTATGAGTGCAGTGGTATGGTTTGAAATGAGGCCAGGTGTTTGCAGGCTATTCTGTTTCCAAACACAAGAAAGGAAAATCATTTTGCTCTTTGTAGGAGCTGTGGGCAAGAGGCACTGGGGAGGACCTGAGAGGCAAGCTGGGTGGCCCAGTGCTCCCTTGCAGGCTGGATCCATGCAGTATGGTGCCTCTGTAGGGAAAGAGGCCAGGAGAAGACACAGCAGGGCTAGAGGACTCTCTCGGTTCCAAGAATCCTACAGAAGATTTCTCTGAGGTCCTCCATCCTCCTGAGAATTCTGAAAGATTTTATCATTACTGCCTTAATTTTTCCACCTGGAAAAAGCTGAGATTAACCAGCATTGCTTACACTGCTAGTAAGCAGCAGGAGGTAGCAGAATTGGAATCCTTGTGTCTGTGTTGTGATCCACTGCGTGCCCTCTGTTAGTGCATGTTCTCAGTTCGTTTCAGGGAGATTTGGAGTTCATCTCAGTCAGAGTTGCATTTGTGAATTCACAGTATGAGCATAGAGATCACCAAGAATTTATAGACAGTTTCTTTTTGTTCACTGAACCAAGTACCTTGGGATCAGTTAAGGGTCCTTCTTTTATTTATTTATTTATTTGTTTATTTGACAGGCAGAGTGGACAGTGAGAGAGAGAGAGACAGAGACAGAGAGACAGAGAGAAAGGTCTTCCTTTTCCATTGGTTCACCCCCCCAATGGATGCTGCAGCCGGCGCACCGTGCTGATCCAAAGCCAGGAGCCAGGTGCTTCTCCTGGTCTCCCATGTGGGTGCAGGGCCCAAGGACCTGGGCCACCTTCTACTGCACTCCTGGGCCACAGCAGAGAGCTAGACTGGAAGAGGAGTGACTGGGACAGAATCCAGTGCCCCAACCGGGACTAGAACCCGGTGTGTCGGCGCCGCAGGTGGTGGATTAGCCTATTGAGCCGCGGCGCCAGCCAAGGGTACTTCTTTTAAATACAGATTCCTGGGGCCAGCATTGTGGGGTAGCGAGTAAAGCTGCCACCTACAATGCCCACGTCCCATATGGGTGCCAGATCATGTCCCAGCTGTTCCACTTCTGATTCAGCTCCCTGCTAATGGGCCTGGGAAAGCAGTGGAAGATGGCCCAAATACCTGGGCCCCTGCCACCCATGTGGGAAACCTGGAAGGAGAGCCTGGCTGAGCACTGGGCATAGTGACTTCTTGGCGAGTGAACCAGCAGATGGCTGCCCTCTCTGTCTCTCCCTCTCTCTAACTCTGACATTCAAATACATAAATAAGTAAACAAACAAACAAATCTTTTGAAAGTACGCAGATTCGTGGGCCATTGCTCCCACCAGTTAGGTCAGATGTTCTGGAGGTGGGTCCATGTGGAGGCCTCCCTGGGAGATTCTACTGTGCCCTAAAATTGGAGAGCCAAGCAATAAAACCTCTTTATGGTGCTTCGGTATGAAAATGGTCTTTGGGATAGGGATGGCTCAACAGGGATCGCTGCAAGCTGCCAGTGTCTGAATTTTCCCTGGAAAGCATCAGGTTCAGCCCTCATTTTACGCAGAAGGAGACAATGGTTTAGAAGTTTTAGTCACTCATGAAAATTCTCTCGGCTCATTTGTGGTGGAGCAGAGACCAGAACCGGTCTGCTTCCTTCACACCATAGCTTGCTGCCTCCAGCTAATCAAGGTCACTTGGATCTGTTTCAGTTCTGTCAGTGATCGCTACACTCGACATAAAAAATGACTCCTGTGAGAACGACCTTTCTAATTCACACTCATTTGAATGTTGAAAAAAACAGTGCATTTCTTCAGAGTTCTCTGTAGGAGGTGGAAATATTCAATAAGGTTGCTAAAAAGTTTTCCATCACACACACACACACACACACATACACAAACACACACAACCAGACAGCCCAAGTCTGTCACATGACTGGCAGGCAGACATGCATAATTTATTCAGAATTTTCATTTTTTTTTTCAGTATTTGGAAGTGATTTCTTCAACCATCCGTTAAAACACTTCCATCAGATAAGAGGATTTGAAGCCGGTATTGTGGCGTGGAAGGTTAAGCCTCCGCCTGCAATGCCGACGTCCCATATGGGCACTGGTTTGAGTCCTAGCTGCTCTACTTCTGCTTATAGACTGGGAAGGTGGTGGAAGATGGCCCAAGTGCTTCAGCTCTGCACCCACGTGGGTGACCTGGAAGATGTTCATGGCTCCTGGCTTCAGCCCGTCCCAGCCATGGCCATTGCAGCCATTTGGGGAGTAAACCAGTAGATGGAAGATATCTGTCTGTCTGTCTGTGTCTCTCTCTGCCTTTCAGGTAAATAAATAAAAATCTTTAAAAAAATTGGAGAATTTTTGTTATTGGGATTGGTGTGCATATTTCTTTTTTTTTTTTTAAAGATTATTTATTTGAAAGGCAGAGTATTATAGAGAGAAGGAAAGACACAAAGAGAAAGAGATCTTCCATATACTCGTTAACTCCCTAAATCGCTGCAACAGCTGGGGCTGGACAAGGCTGAAGCCAGTATCCTGGAATTCCATCCAGGTCTTCCATGTGGGTGACAGGGGCCCACATGCCTGGGCCATCCTCCGCTGCTTTCCAAGGCGCATTAGCAGGAAGTGGGATTGGAAGTGGAGAAGTTGTTTGATGTTAATTTTCAGTCTGCATGTGTCTTTGTCAATTGAGATGTGTTTCTTGTAGGCAGCAGATAGGTTTTGTTTTTTAATCCATTCAGCCAATCTGGAGAGTTGAGCCATTTACATTCAAGGTAACTATTGATAAGTAAGGACTTGGCCCTGCCATTTTTCCATAAATATTCCTATTGTTTACTTTGGATTTCCTTTGTACTTTCACTGGGAGATTTTCTGCCTTCACTTTCTTTTGTAGTGATAATCATGTTTCTGTGTTTCTGTGTTTTGCAGATACTTAAACATCTTTTATAAGGCTGGACAAGTAGTGACGAATTCTTTCAATTTCTGTTTTTTTGTGGAAGGTCTTTATTTCACCTTCATTCATAAATGAGAGCTTTGCAGGGTACAGTATTCTGGGTTGACAGTTTTTTTCTCTTAATTCTCAGAATGTCTCGCCATTCTTTCCTAGCCTGTAGGGTTTCTGATGAGAAGTATGCTGTGATTCTAATTGGAGATCCCCTGAATATAATCTGGCATTTCATGCACGTTTTAGAATCTGTTCTTTGTATTTTACTGTGGAGAGTTTGATAACAATGTGTCATGGTGAAGATCTTTTCTGTTCATGTCTGTTAGGAATTCTTTGTGCTTCTTGTACTAGTACATCCCTTTCTTTCTACAAATTAGGGACTTTTTCTGTAATTATTTCTCTAAAAGGGCTTCTCACACATTCTTTCCATGCTTTCAGGAATTCCTTGGACCCATGTTGTGTCATTTGATAGTATCTCATAAATCTCAGATATCGTTTTAATTTTCTTATTTATTTATCTATCTTTTTATTTATTTATTTTTGTTCTGACTGTAAATTTTCCAGAGATTTGTCTAACTTGGATATTCTTTCTTCTGTATTATTGAGTCTATTTCAAGGCTTTCCTCCATATTTTTTATTTGTTCTATTGAATTCTTCATTTCCAGTGTTTCATTTTGATTTCTTTTTAATATCTCAATGTGTGGGGAAAAATTTTCATTCATGTCATGTACTGATTTGTTTAGTTCATGAATTTGCTTCTGACTACTTCTAAGTAATCCTATTGTCAATTTTTTTAATTCTGTTGCTGGCATTTTGTCAGTCTCCTCAGCTTCACACTAGTGCTGAAGTGTGTTCTTTTGGGGTGTCATGTTGTCTTTCTTATTCTTGTTTCTTGAATTGTTGATTTTGTTATTAGGCATTTGTGGTGATACTTGTTGGTTTTTCCCCCCCCTGTGATGGCTTTTATCTTTGAACTGTGCCTTTGTGGCTTAGTGGAGTGTCCACTCCTTCAGTGAAATACCCAGAGGGGTGTGCTGGATATGGTCAGGGAGCTATGTTCAGTGCTCCAGGGTGAGGGGAGTGTCTAAGGTGGCACCAAGCTGGGCGTGGTAAAGCTCTCCTTTTTTTTCTTTTAAATTTCTTAGAAGGAAGGTTTGTTCAGTTCTGTTGGCAGTCTCACGCTCACCTCTTCTTGATGGAGACCAATGCCTGGTCTCTCTTCCCATACCCCTCCCTCTTCCCCCAGCCAAACTCAGGTGTCTCCTTTTGGCTGATTCCTTAGTATATGGGTACCAGCTGGCACAGCTGTTGCGTGTGTTCAAAATGGTGCCCATCCTCTCTGGGTTAATTACAGGATACTGGTGCTGGGTGGTCTGGGAGAGAGAAACGTTCCCACTTTTTTCCTCTAGTTTGGCAGGTACCCTGTCTCTCACAGGGCTCCAAGCTGTACTTATACCAGGCTCTTTTGGTAGCTTTATCGCCAGTGGCTTTGGCTGCTGCAGCCTCACTCCAAAGCTGGTGCTGAAGCTCTTGTCTGCCAGGGTCCTGAGTTGTGTGTGTTCACACCCTCCATATAGGTCCACTGTGTCCCGCTAATTTGTGTGGAGTTTCTTGTGCCATTTTATCCCTAACCCTTCCCTGAGACTGTGCTTTCTCTACTGTGTGTTTTTTCCCCCCCTTAACTGTCTTCCCCTAGTCTAGAACAGTAAACTCCTCCCTTATTCTACCCCCTTGGCTGCACTGTGTTATTTTATTTTTTTCGATTGGATGATAGCTTCTTTTGGTCTGAGGCATGGTTGGCATTTCCTTGGTCGTTGGCCAAAGCAGAAGCCTCACACAGGAATGGGAGCTGAACAGAAATACAGTTTGTCAGTGAAGGGATGGTCATAAACACAAACCTCCCTCCTGGGACATTCAGGTGTATTCTGGGAAAGCCAACTGATTCAAAACACTCACCTTGGCAGGGTCACCTTTAAGAGCTAGACACAAAACGATAATGAGCTTCCATTCTCATAATTCTTCTTTTCATGATTTTCTCAGCTGGATTCTTCAAAGGATTGTTTGTAAAGACCTTTATGGTGTGTTATGATTTAATCAGATGTAGCTCGAATTCTCCAAGATGTGTTAATTATCATCGCCACACAAGTGCAACAGAGGAAGCAAAATGTTTTTCATTTGGACAGGTTGAGGGTTTGTTTAAGATGTACTTAGGGCCATTAGGATCAAATCAAAATACAGTGCATGGTAATTATGCATGAAATAAAAGATTACCTACTGTTTAAGTGGCCAGTTTCCTGATAATATTGCAATAAAGTCTTGAGATAAAATTGGTTTCCTAATAAAAGTAGAATACCTTATTTAAGGGACAAAGTGAACTGTATTAGGTTGAAAAATAGATTTCATCATCAAAATTATCAATGATTTTATCCCCGGTCTTAAAATTCTTTTAATCTTTCCCTTGGTCAAAATAGAGAATGGTTTCTTGGCATTTCAATAATAATGGAGTGGTATGTTTCAGATGTCATGAAATTAAGACAAGAACAAATTCGCCATGCAAGAAAGGACGCACGTGTATAAGCCTGAATAAATGACAGGAGTCAGAAACCTGGCTTCAAAAGTCAAAGAAACTCCAGGTTGAAAGTCAGTCCCTCGGCTTAGCTGTTTAACCTCCTCCATTTTACATAACCTCTCTGACCCTCAATTTATTCTACTGCAGAATGGGATGTTAATAGAACAGACCCTGTTGTGCAGTTTAAGTGAGATAATGGGTTTAAAGTATTTAAGAAGACGTGTCTGTTGCATAGCAGTGCTAAATTAGTGTTAGATGTTGATATTATCCATTCAATAGGGACTATGTCTGGTTAAAAATGGTCCAGAAAGCAGGAAATAAAAGTTTTAAGCTTTGAAATCCTAAAGCCATAATATACTTTGCGGGGGGGGGGGGGGGGGCTCATCAAAATTCCAGATTCCTCCTTCTGGAACTGGGTGCTCCATGTGGAATGCAGTCATAGCAGGGAGGGAAGTTAAAGCTATGCAGGTGGTCTTTTTGAAGAATACAGGGATGATTTTCTGTGTTGTCCATTGGGTACTTTTGTTTTTGTTTCTGAAAAAAAAAATATTAGGACAGACCTATTTTGATGATTTGGCCTATTTCAAAACAAAGTAAGTGATGTCTGTAAAGATTTTCCTGCTGAAGGTCTGCTCTTGATGAAAAAGACATCATTGCCTTGGTCACTGCTCCAGCAGCAGATTTGGACATTGCCCTTTGTTCAGGGTGGGGGAAGATTGAGTTACTGCATGTATCTGAAATATCGTGTAAATAGTTAACACATACTTAAGGTTAAAGATTAACTGGTTAAAGGAAACTCAATTTACCTCTAATTCTAGGGAAGCAGATTCATTTTGGGTATTAGAGAAAAAGCTCAAGAGATTGGCTGATGAATACATTTCAAGCCTATTGTGGGCGTGCTTTCACAACTTTTAACTTCATAAAAAGTAACTGGAAGATGGAGCCTGCATCTCCCATGGGCGCTGGTTTGTGCCCCTGCTACTCCACATTCCGATCAGCTCCCTGCTCATCTAGCTGGGCATATCAGCGGAGGACAGTCCAAGTGCTTGGGCCCCTGCCACCTTTGTGGGGACCCAGAAGAAGCTCTTGACTCCTGGAGCCTGCCTGGCCCAGCCCCGGCCATTGTGGTCATCTGGAGAGTGAACCAGAGGATGGAAAATCTTTTCTCTCTGTCTCTCCCCTTCTCTCTATAATTCTGACTTTCAAATAAATAAATCTTTTTAAAAAAATTGGAAGAGGAAGAAAAGTATTTTTATTCCCTATGTACTACGAAACTGCCCTTCAGGTTCTAAAGTCTGGGTATGATCTTCTGAATTTCACACTGTGTATCAGCAGGACCTAGAACCCTTTAACCAGAGAGGCCTCTGATCCCTCAAATGCTAGC